TTTTTCACTAAGCAATGTGGTGAACATGTTTTGCATTATCAATAAATATACTTGTTGTCTTATAGTGTTTTCTGCTGCTATCACAGAATACTGAGACTGGTGATTTACAAAGAAAAGAGGTTTGGGCTCACAGTTCTGGAGGCTGGGAAGTCAARACTGGGCTACTGTATATAGTGAGAGCCTCATGGTGTTTTAACTCATTGCAGAAAGCAGAAGAGCAAGTGGCTACATGAGACAGAGAGAGACATGAGGGACAAACCTGCTTTGTAACAACCCACTCTTATGAGAATTAATCCAGTCCTGTGAGAGCAAGAACGCTCTCCCACAAGACAACATTAATCCCTCTATGAAAGTGGATCCATCATGACCCAAAAGCCTCTTTAAAGTCCCACCACTTCTCAACATCATTACACTGAGGACTAAGTCCCAACATGAGTTTTGGTTGCAATAAAAAATATTCAAACCACAGCACGTGTATAATATTATTTTAATCATTTGCATAGAATATAATCACATTTAATAAATTCTTTAACATGGATATTTTCAGGGTTTCAGGGTTTCTGGTGCTGTAACATCTCAGTATGTTGGCCAATTATTAGATAATTCTTAGGAGGGGAACAGTGGGTGCAAAGGGTGAACAAGCAGACCTAGGTTCCTTCCTACCCACACCCACCCATGCCTGTTCTATTGAGCCTTTTCATCCCTGCCAATAAAACAGTATTTGCTGTGTACAGTGGAACAAGCCTGTAATCTCAGCAGCCTGGGAGGCTGAAGCAAGAGGATCGCAAGTTCAAAGCCAGCCTCAGCATCTGAGCGAGGTACCTACCAACTCAACCAAGATCCTGTCTCTAAATAAAATATAAAAAGGTCTGGGGATGTGGTTCAGTGGTTAAGTGCCCCTGGGTTCAATTCCTAGTATCAAAATAAATAAACAAAAAAAACTCTGCATTTATATCTTGGATTTGTTTTGTTTATTGCTTTTCTTTGATTACTCATACAGATGAACATTTATCCTTTGCTTACTGGTCATTTGTATTTTTTCTTTTGAGAATTGTATATGGCTCTTGCTCTTTTTTTGGTGGGTTGATCTTCATTTGATGATTTTCTAAAAAATGTTTATTTTTTTAGTTTTAGGTGGATACAATATCTTTATTTTATTTTTATGTGGTGCTGAGGATCGAACCCAGTGCCTCACACATGCTAGGTAAGCATTCTACAACCCCAGCTCTCTTTTGACAATTTGTAAGGCCTCCTTAAAGATTATGGAAAACAACCTTTTGTATATGTTGTAAGTATTTTTTACAATTTTTCATTTGTCTTTTATTTATGATTTTAAGGTCCAGTTGTTTTAATGTTTTGATTGTAAACCAGGCTTGGTGGCACATGCCTGTAATCCCAGTGACTTTGGAGGCTGAGGCAGGAGGATCACAAGTTCAAGTCCAGCCTTGGCAACTTGACACCCTATCTCAAAATTTTAAAAAAGAAAAAGAAAAAAATGTGACTACTAGGGATGCTGCTCAGTGGTAGAGCGCCCCTGGATTAAATCCCCAGTGCCATAAAAAAAGTTTTGATTGCAAAAATAACACTTGGTCCATTGTTATAGATTCAGATGGTACAAAGGGATAAGAGGGGAATAGAAAAGGCTTTCTCCTCTCTAACCCTATACCCATGCCTCAGAAATAACCACTACAGGGGCTGGAATTGTGGCTCAGCGGTAGAGCACTCGCCTAGCACATGCAAGGCCCTGGGTTCGATCCTCAGGACACATAAAATAATAAATAAAATAAAGATATTGTGTCCAGTTACAACTAAAAAGTAAATATATATAAAGAAATAACTACTTCAGGTATCTCTCAGTGATAGAGTGCCTGCTTAGCATGCACAAGGTACTGGGTTCAATCCTCAGATCTGCAAAATAAATAAATAAAACCACTCTTCACTTTCTTACCTAAGCTACCAGGTATTTTCTGTGTTCAAAGTAAATATTTATAAATCCACTAATTCAACTAATATTTGGTGAGTGCTTATCATGCCAGACCCTGTGCTCTAATTTGGGCACACTGTGATAAACAAAATTGATACTGTCTCCACCACCATGGAGCTTATAGTTTGACAGGGAGATACAACAAATAAATCTGTAAGTCAGTATATGTGCACACTGTGATCAACACTGTGAGGAAAGAGATTAACTGGCACTGTGGAGGGAAGCCTCCAAGATGACCTCCATCATTCCTACCTCCTTTATGAAATTCTCAACCTTTGAGTGTGGTGGGTGGGACTTATTGATGCCTTATAACCAATTAAAAAAAAAAAGCAGAGGTGATAAGGTGTCCCTTCTGAAATTGGGTTATAAAAAGACTGTTTTCTGGTTTGGATGCTCTTGTTCTTGGCTCCTTCATACTGGGGGAAGTAAGCTACCATGTTGTGAACCAATTTATGGAGAAGCCTGTGACACCTAGCAAGGATCTGAGGCCCTCAGKTGGACACCCTGTGAGGAACTGAACCCTGCCATGAGAGTGAGTGGCTCTTTTAGTGCTATTACTAGGTGCATATATATTTATAATTATTTTATCTTCCTGATGTATTGACCCTTTCTCATTATAATATGTCCCTCTTTATCTCTAGAATCATTTTTTTTGGTTCTAAAGTCTATTTTGTCTGATTGAATATAGTTATTCCTGCTTTCTTGTGATGGATAGCCAATTCCAAGATATATCTTTTCTCATCCCCTTACTTTTTTTCTTTCCTTACTTCCTTTTCAGTCCTGGGGATTAAACCCAAGGGTGCTCTATCACTGAGCTACATCTGCAGCCCTTTTTATCTTGAGACAGGGTCTCACTGAGTTGCCCAGATGGCCTCAAACTTGCTATCCTCCTKTTTCAGCCTCCTKGGTAGCTAGGATTACAGGCATGTGCTACTGTGTCCACCACATATTATATTTTTATTGCAAATGATACCCTTTTTCTGCAAAAAAAATATTGATGTATGAAATGACTTTTGCCTGATACTAAATGACTCTGATTTTGTTTGCATTAGCTTGATGTACTTGTTCTTTTCCATTAAACCTACTTTTTAAAAAAATCTCATTTATAGGTGGAAGCTGAAACATGGATCTCATAGGAGTAGGAAACAGAATAGTGCTTAACAGAGTCTGAGAAAGTGGTTTAGTAGAGAGAGAATATTAACAGGTATCGGGTATACTTGGGTAAGAGGAATAGCTACTAATGTTCTATAGTACAGAATATTAGTGGTTGATAATTAGATGAATATTTCAAAATAGCTAGTTGAAAGAATTTTTGTTTTTGGTGCTGAGAATTGAACCCAGGATCTTGTGCACGCTAAGCATGTGCTCTACAAAGGAGCTACAAATCCTAGAGAGGATTTTGAATGTTCCCAATACAAATAAATGATAAATGTTTGAGGTGATGACATGCCAATTACCCTGATGTGATCATTAAACATTTTAAACATGTATAGAAATATCACACAGTACCCAGTAAATACAATTGTATCAATTAAATATTTTTTTAATAAGGGAAAAGAATCAGTGATTTTAGATGTCTCTCTTCACTCCCATTGTGAATTTCTGTACTAATGTATCTGCTCTCTGCCACATTATGGGGCACCTTGCCTGTCAGAGTAGCTGAGTGGCCAAGGAAGATATGTTAACAATGATTCACAGTGGCTGTGTGGGGATTTCCCAGGTGCAGTGTCTGCCTAGTTGTCATGGATGCCTTGTTGCTCAGCAGTTGAAGTGACAACCTGCAAATTCATGGGTCTCCCAAGTAGCTTGTAAACATGAGCCTAAATCATGGCTAGAAGCCATTAGCTAACAACTGAGGGAGTCTCACTAAGTGGTTATGGGAAGCTCTCTGCCCTGCAGTCAGCAGCAGGTGGGGCCAGGTACAGAGAACCAGGTAGCACACTCATGTTCACCTTGAACCTTAGTGAAAGCCCAGAAGGAAAGCGGAACAGGGGGTTGGGAGGGGAGGGCAGGATGGAGGGAGAGACAGACTGAACTCATATCATTGAGTCCCTACAATTTAGCTTTGCCTAGAGCCAGATGAAACCCTTAGGACTTTCATTTTGTAAGTCAATAAATTCTCCTTTTAAATTAAGTTAGTTTGAAGTTTAACTTGCAATTGAATGAGTTTTTTTTTTTTTAAAGAGAGAGTGAGAGAGGAGAGAGACAGAGAGAATTTTTTTTAATATTTATTTTTTAGTTGGYGGACACAACATCTTTGTTGGTATGTGGTGCTGAGGATCGAACCCGGGCCGCACGCATGCCAGGCGAGCRCCGCTTGAGCCACACCCCTAGCCCCGATTGAATGAGTTTTAAAGGCTGGATCCTCCCTGAACCTGAGCAAAGCTGCATATGCAAGAGTTCCCAGAAATAATCTGATAATGGTTATAACTTGATACTATCCAGCTTGACTGGATAGGGTCATAGGCCTTTATATTTCAGGAATTTCTTACATGTTTTCCATATACTGTCCACAGTAAAGTGACAAGAAAAAAAAAAAAAGCTGTGATCTTATTTCAACCTACTGGAGCCAAACTGTTGCATAAATTTGGGTCAGAAATGCTTTCATCTGCAAGAGAAAGCCAACCACAAACATTCTGTTCACATGCTCAAACAATGCAGGTAAGGAGCCAGACTCCATCTTCCTGCTCCCATAGTCTCAGCGTATTGGCTTTTCCACTTCCCTCTTTCACCTGATGGCTGTGAGACTGCCCAGAGTGCCAAGCAGCACTCTCTCTCACCTCAAAGGGAGTAGATAGGAGCACAGCCTTCCAGCAGGCATTAGTTTCTCTTCAGAGGGAATTGGGTCACATAGTCACTCCAAGGGGAGCTGGGAAAGGAAGTGTTCTGCAAACAGAGGTGAGATTACTAGGAGGACTTTCTTCTTGAACTGGTACAAAGTCCCACCTTCCCTGAGATTCAAGAATCTTTAATCACTACCTGCCAAAAAAAAAAAAAAAAAAAAAGGATTCTGCGAGCAGGGAAGGAGGGGAGTAGGTAGCAAATAGTAGTTAGAAGAGCCATGTTGAAAGCTGGCCTCAGTCTGAGAGGCTGGGTTTTCAGCTGGATGATTTGCAGGAAGCCTTGACCCCTGGCACACTGCTGGTTCTGGGTGGACGTGGTGAGTGGTTGAGCACAAGGCTATGGCTGCAGCAAGGGGCTGGGAGTCAGAGCTGAGTTTGCTCAGCTCTGTGCTTTCTTGCTCCCATTCCACACTATCACAGTATCTTGTTCTTTATCAAATAAGGAGGCTTGACTGGCTGAATCCTATTTCTCTTCCATGCTAAAAGGCTTGGGTTCAAATTGTCTTGTGTTTCTGAGTCTCTGTAGATCGTGTGCTGGTCTTAGCAGTAAACTTCCCAACTCTTCTATGCTTTCCAGCTTAGCAAAGCAGTCTGTCTCACCAGTGGCCAGGGCTCAGAGACACAGAGACCTGCTTTTCTGGGTAAAGCCCCATTATGCCCAGGTGACAAGATGAGGAGGGGAGGGCACAAATATCAGCCCTAGAGGGAGAGTCTGGGACTTGGGAGCACCCCGTTCTCCTGAATGTCACCCCAAATCAGGCCTCTGCCCTGCCTCAGTAATGGTAGGGACTCCCCAGAAGAGTTTGGGGCTTTAGGGTTATGTGTCAAGCTTGTAGGGCTAGAACAAATGGGCTTCAATAGCTAGCTAAGTCCATCTCCCATCAAAAAGGCACTCTCCTCTAACTTGCAAGACAGCTCTTGGCCCTGGGGAATGTCTGAGAAACAGGCAGTGCAGTATGTGGCAAAACAAAGATGAGGGAGAAGCGTGAGACCCAAGGGCTGCAAACAATCAGCCCTCGGTTGTCAGAAGATGGGTTCAGAGGCCAGCAAGAGGGAAATGACTCCTAGGACAGTAGCTGGTCCTGGGACCTGATCCCTGCCTTCCTCTTCATGCCCCCTCCCAGCCTGTGTCTTTCGAGCCACAGGAGGGGTGAAGGACAGTGGGATCGGATTGAGAAATCTTGCTGGGGAATACACTCAGGACACCATTTGTGTGCAGAGACCTCAGGAGCCCTGAAAAGGAGGGTTAGTCTGAAGTGAATCCAAGCCCTTGGAAGGTATGAGGAGGGAGGGAGAAGGTGGTCCTGATTGCATCCACCCTAGTCATGTGGCAGAGGGGGCTGTTGGATTCTACAGACACTGAGATGATGAGGCCAAAGAGCTTTCCTGATTCCTTTCAAACCCAAAGCCATGAGATTCTATATATCCCATCTGTTTGGGTTTGGTAGAAACTCTAAGTATAATCTTCAAAAGAGAAACAGAAATGAGAGGGAAAAGAATCACACAGAGTTGTACTTTTTTATATAGAATTTGTACAATATATTTCTCTTCATTTGCATATTTTATCCACAACTTAACATCCTTTTTATAGGCTGAACTCACTCAGCTGATATAATCAAAATTCTTTCTTTCAACCAAATAAGAAAAATTCAAAATCGTAAACCTGTAAGAAAACAAATTAAAAACGATGATGAAAATAAGTCACTCCTCTCATTAGGAACAGTGTCTGTACAATATATGATTTAGAACAGAATTTCTTTATAGATTAGGCACATGTTTCCACGACACCATATTCCTGCCAGTTTTATCTCATTCCAGCAGTCTTGCTTCTTAAAAAGGGTCACAGGGATGTTGGCCTTGATGGAAGTCCTTTGGAATTCTGCTGCTCTGGGTTGGGGACCAGGAAAGTGGGGTATGGCTCGACGGCGCCACCTGGTGATCAGAAGCAGAGGCAGCGATGGTCTGTAGGGAGGCTAGGTCAGGCCAGGCCAGGAAAGGCCCTGCCAGATGGCAGCAGTTATGTGTGAAGGGAAAACTTAGGCTTGTTCTATGCAAACGAAGTACAGAGAGACCCAAACAGCAAGGGTGGCGAACAGAGAGAAGCTCTGAGGAGTCCAGCGTTTATTTACAATTTCTCTTCCTTCTGGGAGGGTGGAGTAAAGCTGGTGGGCACTGCTGAGGGAGCAACTCTGCCCTGCCCTTCCCATCTGCCCAGATTAACTCAGGTCAGTCCAAGGTGTGGAGGGGTATGGGTGGTCCCATCTCCTTGTCTATTTTCCAGGCTGCTTCACTGAGTCTGAGCCCACAGTGGGGCCTCTCCTCCAAGCACTGAGACTTGATCTTTGATTGCCCTCTCTAGAAACTTCTCTGAATTGAGACCTTTTTGGGTGAGAGTGGCATGGACCATGGGTCTTCTCTGGTGTTCAGGAAGCTCACAGAGCAAGGTTGGTTTGGTAAACAGCAAAAGGTGAGCAAGGGGTTTCCACCGAACCTGTGGGGACAGAACTCCCCACATCCCAGCAGTGGGGAACCAGGCCAGGCCTCACCCCCAACATTAAGGCAGTGCACCTTAGGTCACTGCTGCCTTTCTTCCTGTCCCATCTGAATCCCAGCACCTCCCACTCTCTGACCATTTTCCCTGTACCCTGGGGCTCGGCTGAGAAACTAATTCTAGGATGGGAAGGTCAATGCATCTTGGTCTTCTCAGCCAGAAGCAAAAGTGCCCTTGCAGGAAGTTGCTCCCACGGCTGCRCGGATCTGCCTCTGTAGATTGAGGCCAAGGGGCACAGTGCGCCATGGTGAATACAATTGGTCATGTTTGGCCCTTCCTTGGTTCGACCTTGTGTGGTGATGTGCCTCTAACCCAGACACCTGTCTTTGAATGATAGCCACCTCAGGCATTCTTCACTCCTGCAAGTGCCACTGAGGCTGGTCCATGACCCACATGCCAATCCAGCTTCACACTCTAAAGTGTGGCTCTGGAAAGAGAATAATTAGCACTTCAGGGCAAAGCTAAAACCATAAAAATAAAATTGTAGAAGAGCATTCATTAGAACTAATGTAGTTATTGCTAGACAAGTGACAGCCAAGCAACCATGCAGGGCCCCACCGGTGGCAGACGTGACGGACTACCATGACCATCAAGCAGAAATRAAATCATTTCTCCTAAAATAAGACCTCCTTTGAAGCACTACAAGCCTGCAGGTACCGAGGCTAGAGGATTCCTCCAGCTCTGCTACTTTCACGTACACCAATTTGTCCCCTGAGCCACCAAGCCCCAGGTCATTCCCTAGGGGCCCTCTCGGTGAGTCAGTATAGTTCTGTTCTGAAAATGCGAGATGGAAACTAAAACACGTCAGAACAACCATCTGAAAAAATCTGAAGTGCTGGGAGCTGGTATGGGGCGGACGTGCAAGGTGGCCTGCTAGCTGTTCCCAAGGGCACTTGTTTTCACCGGGGAATCCTCCGGGACAGCTGGGAGTGCAGGATCTAGGACAATGGGTCCTGTTCTGTTCGGAATGCTCGGGGATTGGTGGTGGCAGGGCTYGTGCCAGTTGTGGTTTTGATTTCTGAGTCTCAAGAAGAAAAAGCAAGGGGGGCTCCCAGCCAAGCTGCCACTGCTGCAGTCTCACTGTGAGGGTGGCTCTGGGCGGCTGGTGCCTTCCCCCTATGATGAGTACAGGCGGCTCCAGCTCAGCAGAGATAGAACCTTTCCAGAGAGGCTGCTTCCAGGCCTTCCCATGCCATAAGCTTCTGTACAGACAGCCCCTGGAGGAGGCTGGTCTCTCAACAGCCTTCCCAAGGGCCCCTTGCCTGCCCTTCCTCAAGTCACTCTGCCCTGTGTTGCTTGTTCTCATGTGCAATGGCCTGTGTACACACCGAGCCTGCACGCAGGGAGTTCTTAGAGATGAGGCTGCCTGGCATCTGAAGTGAGCTTGAGGAAAGCTGGGCGTTGAGGCCATGTGAGTTTTCCTGAATGAGGCTGGATGTCTGCTCTAAACCCCTGTGGACAGGTTAGTGAGACCCATGCATATCACATGGAAGCTAACACTCGACGTTCCAGAGGCGGGTGGCCTTGTTTGGGTAGTTGATGGCCAGGCTGATAGCAGTGATGTTCTGCAAAGCCTGTGGAGGGAGAGAGTTGTCACCAAGGTCCAGGGTCATTCACTTACTCATCCACTGAATGCTGATGAACAAGACCCTCAGCTGAGCACTGAGGAAGTAGGGATAGGTTCCCGAGGTGAGCCAGATGTGGTCCCTGTCACCTGGAGGACTACAGGCTAGAGTGAGAGGTGTATTTTGGGGAAAAACAGCACAAAGGTGTAGAAGAGGAAGGACACGACACACATGAGAAGTGAGTAGCCAGGGTCAGGGAACCCCATAGGGGTCCAAAAAACAGTGTTGGGAAGGCAGATGCCCTGGAAGGCAGGTCAAGTCTGTCCTTCAAGCTGAGGGCAGCGGGAGAGTGGAGGTGGAGGAGGGAATAGGGGGACAGGCCAAAGACCACTGGTGACAAACTAGATGGGCTGTGGGAGGGTCAAGGAGGGCAAGGAGGCAATGGAGACTGGATAAAGGGCAGGTACCAGAGCCAGGCACATAGGAAAGCTGCCATGTTGAGTTTCTAGCACCCAAACTGTCAACTACCAAAACTCCTTATACTGTGTCATGAAACCAAGCATGGTGGCAGCAATGTTGGCAGGTGCTGTTAGGAGGGAAGCAATTTTTACTCTGTTTACAAACCGCAGGTGATGCTCACAGACTCTTCAGTCTTTGCTGAGGCAATTCCAGCTTCAGAGTTGCCATTCCTAAACTGCATTGATCAGGGACACCCTTTCTTTTGGGAAGACTGTGTGCAGAGAGGACTCTCAAGGGATAGAGCTCTTACTTGCTCTGGCTAGGAATTTTAGCTGTATGCCCACCCAGATGTGACCTGTGAGCTTCTGTGTCCTGCCTGTCTGCTATGGGGGTGGGTCACAGTCTGTAAATCTAAGGTTCTCATGAGCGGCCTGAGGCTGGGGAATTCCCAGAGCCCCCTCTGGGGTAATGAAGGTCACATTTCACTGTCTTGTGAGCACATAGTGCCGTTTTCCAGCAGCTAAACTGTGAAAATATTGGCAGACTGAGAGCACCTACAGAAGAGAATCTAGCTGCCAGACATTAAAGAGATCTGCAAAAATGGAACACAATGCCATCCTTCTCAGTAATTATTTTGTAAGATGGGCATGATGATTAGCCTAACGTGGAGTCCCGACTATTTGGGAGGCTGAGGTGGGAGGATCTTTTGAGCACAGGAGTTTGAGACCAACCAAGAATCTGTCTCAAAGAAAACAAACGAGAGTATTGAAATATGAGTTGTTTTTCACAAAACAAGTCACTCATATTAATATGAAATGTGTTTTCCATTATTTAAAAAATTAATTGATAAATGTTTAAATTTTGATTTTAATTTCTAGATTTAAATATCTAATTTCTAAGAATATATAGTAATGTATATGATGCATACTTTCTGGGATCCTCAACAATTTAAAAGTGYGAGGGGGTCCTGAGTCTAAACAGCTGTCGGAAGAAGAGTTTTCCTATGAGGGAAGCAAATTACATCCAAAAATATCTGAAATCTGACTGTGTGGAAACTTCAGGGATCAGCCAAACTAAATTTAAGGCACTAGTTGTTTTGGTTTTAAAGACACAAATTCTTGCTAGTGTCTTCTGACCCTACAGTTTAATACAAGTGACACTGATAAATGGGGCTCGCCTGCTCTCTCTGAGCACCAGAGGGAAGGGACTGAATTGGAACCAAGCTCTGTAAATTGCAGGAAGTTAGTAGTTGTTGCCTAGGGCACGACAGTCTGCCCTGGCAATGGTAGGATCATGATGTCCACCACAGGGACACGGCCTCAGGGACAGCTCTGTTAGGGGAAAGGAGGTACCTGTGCTGCACAGCGGAGAAGGTGATCGTCCGTGGTTAAGGCCAGCAGGTACTCCTGCAGCAAGCCAAGCTCCTGTGGAGAAAGCACGGCCAGTGAGCAAGGGCAGCACGACCAGATGAAGGGAAAGCCCACCCAAGAAACAGAAGTCCCACTTGCTCTAGAGCCATGGAAAGAAACTGACTGGAGAGGCCAGGGGCTGGTTCCAGGGCTAGTCTTGCCCTGAGGCAGGGATCCCCCTCCTCAGGTCAGTCTCTTCTGACTGAGGGGGAGAGGTAAAGGCGTCTGAAAGGCCCTTTCATCTTGCACATTCAATGAATCTATTGTGCCCAGGGGAAGAGAGAAGAGGAGGAAGAGGAACCCACTCCATTCGTTTGATTTTCCAAAACTCTCTTGTTGTCAAGGGCTGGTCCAAGGTGGTACCCCTCCCTCCCCCTTTGGCTTTAGGCCAGACAAAATAAGCAATCCAGTGCTGACCTGAGGGCTTCCCAGGACTAGGGAGAGGAGAGGGCCCAGACTGAGGCCCAAGCTGGCCTCCCTATACAGGCCTGCCAGACAGCCAGTGGCCCAGAATTGAGCTATGGCCCGAGTCCTGCCCTGAGTAGTAGAGGGGGAAAAACACATGGAGCACCATCCTCCCTGCCTAGGCCTTGGGGCTAGAGGTGGGCCGGACCCTCACCTGGGCGCGGTTCTCGGTGACAAAGAAGAGCTCAGTGAGGGCWCGATGCAGGGGGAGGAGGATGCCAGGTTGGGTCACGTCCTCAAACAGGCCGTACTCCATGTGGGTAAAGAGTTGCCACAGTGGCTTCAACAGTGCAAGGTCACAGAGATCACTGCAGGGGGAGTCCAAAACAGGGTTGGATAACTGAAGACCAGGCAAACCACAGTGGACAGTTGGTGGCAACTGCGGCTCAGACCCTTTCTCCCACTCCTGGTTCAGCTATCATAAATCAGTCCCACCCACACTCCCTCCAAAATAGCTGCCACCAACAGCAAAGAGGGAAAAGCAAAGAACTTAAAACCGACCCCAAGGCAACAGGAGAGCCTGAAGTATGTTGACTAGAATTATATTGTGCATCTTTTTTTTGTTTGTTTTTAAAATTTCTTACATACATGACAATAGTGGAATGCATTACATTCATAATTATCCATTCATAGCACAATTTTTCGTAATTCTGTATATAAAGTATGTTCACGCCAAATTATGCCATTATACATGAGCTCTCTTATTGATTTTTTTTTTTTTGTGTGCATCTTTAAAAATGACTGTAGGGAAGACTTTCCAATGACAGTGGGAAAATCTGAAGACAAATGTTAAGTGAAAGAAAGCAAGATGTAACACCACACACACAAAAGATAATTTAAAAGTGAAAAACAGAACTACTTAAAATATCATGACAGCAACCATTATTTTGATGCTAGGCTTGTAAAACACAGAAAATTTGCTTGCAAGGTTGCTCAACAAGAGAGCGCCTAAGAAAAGCAGAGTCCTTTTCAGACCCCTGTGGAGAACAGAATCCAGGGCCTGTGTTTCAGTGGTGGGTGTGCTGTGATTCTAGCTCAGCATTCTTCAGAGAAAAGCAGAAAATCAGTAATATTCTGGGGCTTACTATATGATCTCTCTCTCTCTCTATCTGTCTCTCTCTCTCTCTCTCACACACACACACACACACACACACACACACGTAATGATTTTGCCTTTTCTCTTATGACTTGAAAAAGAATTCTGTCCACTTAAGTGGTATCTTAAGTCAACAGTTTTCCCTCAGAGGAATAAGCAAACAGGAAAATGCAATTTAATTTGATTTATACGGACAGTGTCTTTTCCTTTTTTTGTTGTTGGTTTCAGCACGAGGATTGAACCCAGGGCCTCAAGCATGTTAGATAATTGTTTTTCCTCTGAGTCACATCCCAGACTTTATAGAGACACTTTCCAGCTAATTTTTAGGAAAGCACTAGGAATGTGAGATAAAGGCACCCAACTAGTCTGGCCTCCCTCCCCTAGGGATACCTCTCTGGTTTGGCCTTTAGGCCAAGCTCACAGGCCAGCATATCTCTAACTTTCTAAGGAGCAAACAGCCAAGGGTGGCAAGGTATCTTGGGAGCTCCCTCGAGGAGTGCAGGAGTGTCTCCACTGGAAGAAAATTGGCAAAGACCTGCAAAGACGGTTCTGCCAGACTGCAGACTACAGATATATTCACCCAAATAGCTCTCATTGTAAGTCCACATGGGGCTAAGAGAACTTTGATGCCTGCATATGAGGACATGGAGGTAACAGCAACCATGTCTAGCTTTCACTCTCTCCCTCCCTGACACCACCCTATGGCTGACTTCATGAGCTGTCATTTCTCTTACCTGAATTGGAGAGCCTTTATTTATTTATTTATTGGTGATAGAGGGAATTGAACCCAGGGCCTTATGCATGCTATGTAAACGCTTTGCCACTGAACTACATCCCCAGCCTTTTAAAATTTTATTTTGAGACAGGGTCTCACTAAATTGCTTAGAATCTCACTAAGTTGCTGAGGCTGGTTTCAAACTTGTGATCCTCTTGCCTCAGTCTCCTGAGTAACGTTACAGGTATGTGTCACCCTGTCCAGTGAATAAAGTTTTTTTTTTTCTAATTTTGTTTAGCTGTAGATGGATACAATATCTTYATTTTTATTTACTTTTATGTGATGCTAAGGATTGAACCCAGTGCCTCATGCATGCGAGGCAAGCACTCTATCACTGGACTACAACCTCAGTGGGAATAAAGTTTTTTTGAAACAGCAACTCTATATGACAACAGAAGACAACCTTTTATTCCAAATATCATCAGCCTATTTTGGCTAGCATTCTATATGTCTATATGCCTTTAAAATGACAGAAAGATGCAGGAAAATGGAATTCCTAACAGATGGGGGTCCATCACCTTTCTTGTGAGAGGAAGAATAAGGCAAATAATGCCTGCAATTCCTACTTCTATTCAACATTATATTGGAGGTACCAGCTAGTGTAAAAGGCAAAAAACTGTTTCTAGGGCTGGGGATGTGGCTCAAGCGGTAGCGTGCTTGCCTGGCATGCGTGCGGCCTGGGTTCGATCCTCAGCACCACATACCAAGAAAGATGTTGGGTCCGCCGAGAACTAAAAAATAAATATTAAAAATTCTCTCTTCTCTCTCTCCCTCTCTCTTAAAAAAAAACTGTTTCTAAGAATTAAATATAAAATGTACACAACATGACTGAGCAATGTTTTATCTACATGTACACTCACTCTTAGAATAAAAAAATTTAAACTAGGTATGGTGGCACACACCTGTAATCCCAGTTACTTGGGAGGCTGAGGCAAGAGGATTGTAAGTCCAAGACAGTCTGGACAACTTAGCAATATCCTGTCTCAAAATAAAAACCAAAAAGGGCTGGGAAAGTAGCTCAGTGGTGGAGTGCCCCTCAGTTCAATCTCCAGTACCACAAAAAAAGAACAAACAAAAAATTTATCAAGGTTACTAGATATTAGGGCAATATATAAATATATATCAATTTGTTTAGTCTTTTGCTGAGATATGCATATTTCAGCAAAAACAAAAGTAAGTTTAAATTATTAATTATAATAGCATCAAAAACATTAAACCCTAGAAATAAATTTTAAAAAAATGTTGTGCAAGTTGTCTACATAGAAAACCATGAGGGGCTGGAGTTGTGGCTCAGCGGTAGAGCACTCGCCTAGTACATGTGAGGTCCTGGGTTTGATCCTCAGCACCACATAAAAATAAATAAATAAATAAAGATATTGTGTCCAACTAAAAAATAAATATTAAAAAAAGAAAACTATGATATATTATGAAGAACTAAATATGGCGGAAGATATAATGGTTGTGGATTAGAGGACTTGATTCTCCTCAAATTGATCTATAGAGTCCATCAATATCTTATTAGGGTGCTTTGAGGTATAGCTCAATGATAGAGTGCTTGCCTCACATGTGAAAGCTCTGAGTTCAATCTTAGTACTGCAAAAAAAAAAAAAAAAAAAAAAAAAAAAATTCCTTAGGTGAGATAGGTATGCATGTGTGAAAATGTACGTGCGTGCTCGTGTGTGTGTGTGTGTGTGTCTGTGTGTGTGTGTGTGTGTGTGTGTATGTATATGCAGGTATGGAAGCACATGAAGAAATTAACAAACTGATTGTAAAATGAAGTGCACAAGGTTAAAAATACCTAAGATAGGGGCTGGGGTTGTGGCTCAGCAGTAGAGTGCTTGTCTAGTACATGCGGGGCCCTGGGTTCAATCCTCAGCACCACATATAAATAAAATAAAGGTATCGTGTCCAACTACAACTAAAAAATAAATATTAAAAAAAAAATATCCAAGACAGTTGGGCATGGTGGCACACACCTGTAATCCCAGTGGCTCAGGAGGCTGAGGTAGGAGAATCACAAGTTCAAAGTCAGCCTCAGAAATTTAGCAAAGCCTTGTCTCAAAAAAAAAAAAAAAAAAAAAAAAAAAAGAAAAAGGCGGGGGATGTGGCTAAGTGGTTAACTCCCCCTGGGTTCAATCCCTGCTACCAAAAAACTCAAAATAATCATGAAGATGAACTAAGCGAAGGATTTATACTCTTAGATATGTAACTCTGTTATCTCTATTATAAAGCTATAATCTAAACAGTGTGATACTGGCAGATGGATAGCCAAAAGACCAAAGAAACAAGAGTGAACAGAAATAGACATATGCATGTATGGACAAGGGTAGTGCTGCAAGCGGGTGAGGGAAAAAGTGGTCTCTGAAGAACAAGTGGAGACTTGTATGGTGGACTATAGAGCAAAGTATGCAAGGAAAAACAAGCTTCTAGAAGGTAACATGAGATATCTTCATGACCTTTAAGTATGGCAAAAATTATTTAAACAGGATACACAAAGCACTAACGGAAATGACAGATGAAATGGAAGACATTAAAATTACATAAGCCTTTTTATCAAGACACTACCAACAGAGAGAAAAAAGCAAGCCATAGGGTGGGGGGAGACATCTGCAATCCATATGGCCAACAAATGACTCAGAGCCTACCTGTGGGTGCAACAGTGCACAATCCTCAGAAGTAAGTGGATGGCTTTTAGTCGCTGGTGACCAGTTTGGCGACAAGCAACGCCCACCAGCCATTCCCAAATTTTGCCCAATGGGAGATGAGGCACGACCCTTTCTTCTGACAGCATCTGCTTCAAAATCTCGAACCCTGGCCAATCCCCCAAAACACAAATATTTTAAAAACCAACTCTAACAATTAAGTACATYAAGAATTATACATTTTATAAAAATAATATTTTATAAACTGCACAGGTTTTAATAAATAGGATAAAATAATTGTGATCATTAAAATTTTAGCTGAAACTAAGCTTTTTGTAAAAATAACAGGAAAAACAGGAACAACATTCTCAGTTTATCATTTTTTACAAAATGTCTTGGCAATTCCAAGGGAACCAGAGTCTTATTTTGGTCCCAACAGATGGCTCTTTTATCTGACCATTCACGTTTACAACTAGCTAAACATATCATATCTAAGAAAGGCAGGCATGAAGTTTGTGAGATACCTTTGGGAAGCCTTAGAGAAAAGTACTTGCTTTAAAGTTCACGATGCCACTAACAGCTACAGAAAGTCCTGGCCAGCAAATCATATGAACGGAAAGAGTAGAGCACACACCTGTCTGGAATCGTCCTAGGTGTCCAGCCGTCACGGTGAATTTGTAGCCCCACTCAGTGTTGCTCATGTCAGAGGTAAATCGGTAGTACAGAGTATCTCCTGGGTCACAAAGAATCAAAGATACATCAGGAAACAGGAGCAACAGGGAATGGAAACTGAGGTGTTTCGAATGAATGTATTAAGTTCAATTTGAAATCCTCCAATAATTTCCCTTCTCAGTATTACATTTAAAGCCTTCATGTGAAGAGTATTTTTTTACTACCTGGAAGCTCAAAATCTTTCCATTTCTGTTGAGACCCGCTGAAATTATGTCGATCCTGCTGAAAGTCACTGCTGCTAGACATGGCTAATTCGTCACAGCCTTCCTCTGTGTTGCACTGAGGGTCAAATTTGATTGAGAGGTAGATTGCACCAGGAATGTGAACTTTATCCTAGGGAGGAGTGACAAAGAATGCTTCCATCATTACTGACCACTGGGTACCACTGTGACTGTCACTGCAACTGGGGGTATGAGAATGAGTAAGTCAGAGTCCTGCCCTCCAGGGGCTCTCAGTCCAGCTGGGACATGGAGAACACAAAGACCACTGTGTGGTACAGGGTAGGGCACAGCAGGACAGGCAGAAAAGGGTCCAGTGTAGGGGTGGTCAGATTGTTGTGAAAAACAAAGACAAAGGAGAAACTTATCAGGAGAAAGGGGCACATAAACACACTGGGGAGTCTTCAGGAAAGGAGCAGCACTGGAAAGGTCTGGCGTCTTCAGGCTCTCTTTGGACAGCAGGGCGTGCCTTAGAAAGGAGAAAGCCTTGGTCTTGACTAAGGAAGGGTCACTCTACAACTGCTTAGAGACAGGCTGGGCTGGGGCCAGACCAGAGGTGGGGAGTCAGGAAGGAGCAGCAGCAGGAACCCCACAGAAGAAGAAGAYAGTTGGGGGGATACAGGGAAGACAGTATGATACTCTTTTGGGCATGACTTGGTGGCTGATCAGAGATTCTGTGAGGTCTGGGGAGTGGGAATGGAGCCYAATAAAGAAGAAGCTTGGATGGAGAGGGTGAGGTGGACTACTGCAAAACAACATCTCAGCTGAGCAGCAGGTGAGTTTTAAACCAGCTTTCGGCACCCACCCTGTTGCTGTAGGGTGCTTTCCACTCAGAAGCTTAGGTCTTGCCAACTCCAGCATTTCTAAAGGGCTGAAAAATGGCACGTGCTATTGTTGAGAATAATTGAGGCTACCCCACCCCTGRTTCATCCAAATTCCTCTCTCTCTGTTTAGATACAAATTAAGGGTGGAAAAGATGAGGCTTTTTGGTTCTGGTAATTAAAAATGGGGCTGGAGTCACTAAGGTGTGGCCAGGTCTCCAGGAGACAGTCGAAGAGCAAGGCTAAACTAGAGCCACACACTCACTGCCACCAGAAGCCAAGGATTTACTCTGAGGAGCTTGTGTGGGAAAAAGTAAACTCCCTCCTGGAGCCAGGGAGCCATTTTCCCCCTACTAAGACAAGGAAGGTGAGGAGAAGRGAGACTTAGCTTCAGAGAAGAGACAGCAGGGTGCAAAAGGAAGCACTTTCTTTGTTAGGGCTATGAAGGGAAGAGCTACTGAGGGAGGACGTGAGGGAACTGCTTAGGCCATACCTCAAAGCTGGTGTTGTTGTTATAGGGGTGTTTCGATTCCCTCACTTGCACCTCCATTCCTGGCTCCTCCATGAACTGGCAGGCAGCCAGGGCCATGGTCCCCAGCATGTTCTCTCGGCAGCCCTGCAGCACCTTCTGTAGGATCTGGTGGGACACAAGGCAACTAAGGGCAGGACCTGCCAATGGCCTCAGGAGGAAGGAGGGAGAGCCTACCTTGGCCCAAGGTCCACTCAAAGGTTTTAGCATCATCCTGGATCCAAAACAAGTCTCTGCCACCCTTTCCCCGCAAAAACCAACCCATTGGCCACTTTTAATTCAACCAGGTCTCTGCTGTAAATCAAAATACTGAAGTCTTTTCAGAATAATGCTACTTCTAAGAAGTCTGAAAGAACTAATAAAACCAATCAGAGATGATCCTGGCCCCCAAAGAGATACTAGCTGAGCAGGTAGAGGAACCTCTGGTTAAGTAATTCCAGCACACAGTGATTAATGGCCAGGATGAAGTATAGAGTGAGGAGCTCCACAGGATATGAATGGAGGAAGGACATGTCCAAGAGAAGGACTACTAGGGGCATAATAGTTCCCTTGTATCCAGAAAATAAATATAACTAGAGAACTGCAAGCATCTCCAGGGCTGTGTCACTGGCAGATGACCTAGAAGAGACTTAGAAACTGGTGGTATTCTTAGATGGATGAACTAAGGGTTAGAAGACACCACGTGAATGTAGGCCAGGGGGATAGAATGGAAAAGTACTAAATGTGACTTGAGATTTCTGCACTTGAAATGGAAAGATGGTGACAAAACTTTCTGATTCAGCTGAAAGAAGTAGCCAGGGCTGCTGAGTTCTAGGCCAGGGTGTCTTCTGCTATGTTGGGTTCTCTGCTTCTAGGTAGTACGAAGTRGAAGAGAGGCTTCTCACTCAGCATTACTTTAAAAAACAAATTGAAGACTTAGTTTAAAAACAACAGAAAATGGCCTTCAGCTTGAAAGTTAAGATTAGAGAATTGGACTTCAGAGAATGGCAGAGACCCTGGTGAGACTCCAGCTCTGCTACCCAGAGGCCAGGAGTCTTGGCAAAGCCGCTCTGGCTTGATCTCTACCTATGATATCTGGGGTCATGATGTAACACAGGTATGAACAGAGCATCTGACCTGAGTTGACATTCTAGAAATGATGCTTTAAAACAGAAGACAAAAACCTCTGTCTTCCTGTATCATGGAAACAGGCTACCAGAGAGTCCTCATTAACCCTGTCCTCTGGACTTTGCATTATGTGAGACTCCGGGACAAGAAAAAAACAAAGACTACCTAGGAGAGTTGTATGATGTGTAGGTGTAAACAACAGAGGCAGAACCCAGGCAGGTTTCATGGGACCTCTATTGCCAACATTCTCTGRGCATCAAGTCTGTGCTAGATCGTAAACTCTGCTCCAAGTCAATCTATGGGAGAATCAACAGTGACTCTATCTTTGCTGCTTCATATCTGTCGGGAACTAACTCCAGAAGCCTATCCAAACTGAGACAGGGGCCACTGAGATAGGGAGGAAAGGGCAGAGCCTGGAGGATGAGTGCATAAGCTTAATATGTTTAACTACCTTCTCCCACTGGTGTTTTTCCTCCAGCTGCATGAACATATCCAAAATATAGGTCATGTGTGCAGGACCACTTAGCTCCAGGATGTCCTCGCTCACGGGCACATGCCCGGGCCACTCGGCTAGCAGGGAGGCAAGCACATGGCGGGCATAGAGGACAGCTGTGGCTTCATTCACTCGGAAGAGGTAGTCCCGGACAGCCCTCTTGCTCTTGCAGTTCAGCTCCTTGTGCAGGAGGGCAGCACTCTTGCTACGGCGCTGCTTGGCGTAGCTCTGCTGTAGCTCGCTCTCCGTGCTGGAGATCAGCTTCTGGGTCACAGGGTTTGATTCAGCAGTGGCTTGGTTGCAGCGTGCAGGCCAGGACTACAAAGCCAAGACCACTGTTACAAAGGTCTGGCCTTTTCACAGTGGGGGAGGGGGGTGCAGACACTTTGTTCCCAAGGTGAGTGACATACCAAGCATGGCAAGATAATCATGTCTGTATCCATAGCTTTGGCGCTCTGCTCTTCCAGTCTCAAACTTCTACTGGGCTGCCACCTCTGAGCCAGAGACCGTATCCTTTCATCTGTGGTGAGCTCATCTCCATCAAACCTGAAGGGAAAAATACATAAAGTTGGGTACATCAAATGTACAAAGACAAGCATTTCACCTGTAATCAAATTTGTCAGAATGTTATCAGGACTATTTTCTGGTAAGTATGCAATTACAGTATTACTCTCTATATTCTATATATTGAAGTCAGCATTTATTCATTCATGTGTGTAGAGGATAAAAACTATCCTTCAGGATCTATTCTGTTTCTCTTTTAGAAACAAGGTTCCCTGGAATTCTAGCAGGAGACCCAGTCACCCGGCTAGAGACACGGTGTCCAGCCCCAGCAGCTTGATGTACATGCAACTAGATTCTTGCCAACTGGAGGAGAGTGAGGTATTGTGCCCCATCCAGAGACTACCCTCAAACAATTGGACTAAAGATGTGCTCCTCTCTCTCCCTCTTATCTTTCTTCTGAAATGGACCCAGAGATGGTGAGAATGAGCTAGCTTTGATTACACACATGAGGATAACACCCTTGGGATCACTAGATTACTTTATGGGGCAGAACTGTCACCAACCCTGGACTGTTACATGAAATAAAAATTCTATTTGTCTTGATCTGTAATATTCCTGCTTTTTAAGTTATAGCAGCTTCAACTATCCTTGACAGTCATCGTCTCATAGCCTCTGCTTCATCTCACAAAGGACTTAAGGCAATATATAAAAAAGAGATATATGATAGAATAGAAACATGAATAAAAAATTAAATTAGAATTTATGATAAACTAGAATAAGAAGTCAAAGGGGTGGGGGTGCAGCCCAGTGGTAGAGTGCTTGCCTAGCATGAGTGAGGCCCTGGGATTCATTTTTAGGACCACATATGTATGCATGTGCATGTGTGAACACACACACACACACACACACACACACACACACACACACACACACTCAAGAAGTTAAAATTAGGATCTGGAGATAGAGGAGGAGATCAGATTGCAGATACATGAAGTTCTAAACAAATTGACGAGCTAAGCCCATGAACAACCTCTGAACCTCTTGGCCAAGAGAAAGGAATATTATTAATTATATAATCACCATTGAGACAAAGCCAGGAAAATAATTTATAATGGTGAAAAACCAAATCCAAAACCAAAAAAACCCCTTTTGAGCAAAAATGCCTCCTCTGTACTGTCGGCTCATTGGGGTCACATATGAAAGACAGCCCAGTGACTGCATCCATAAAATGGGTTTGCTCTAAGAGGCAGACTGCATAGGTATCCTTTTCCAAGAAAGCCAACCACATTCTTCTTGGTGATCCATGCAGTGCAGCACAGTTACCTTTCATGTGACTCCAAAAAGAACTACAACCCAGCATCCTTCCTGAGCCTGGCCTGGTAGGGCTTCTTTCTGGATCCCACTAGCAGCTGGCTCATCCTCCTACCCTCACTTGCTGTCTCACTTGGCACACTGTGGTGCAATTAAATGTCCCTTACCTCTTCTGAACTTCCAGGAAGAAAGAATCGGTCTTTTTCATCTGCAGCTCAAATATGGCCCGGAGAATGTGCAGAGGGGCATTGAGGGCATCATGAGCCATCTAAAGACATAGGAGGAAGCAAAAGAGAAACAATGAGCAGTGTTTCAACACGTTAGTGAGAATCTGAAATTAGAAGGGATAAAAACCATATCTCAAAAGTTACTACAGGTTATGATTGAAGAATATTATATAGGTAATTTTAAAAAGCACATAAAATTATAAAGCATTAAAACATGAACTATAAAATTTACATTACTATTGTAAATTCAAAGAAAAGATGATGACAACAAAACACACAATTCTAATAGTTAATATTCGTCATTCCCTGCCAGCTTCTCTGTAGCTGTCCCATACTCAGGTTTGACAACCAGCACACAAACCTAAGCACTATACTTTATTTATTTTTTTTATTTTTTAATTGTCAATGGACCTTTATTTTCATTTATTTATATGCTGTGCTAATAATCGAATGCAGAGCCTCACACATGCTAGGCAAGTGCTCTACCACTGAGCCACAACCCCAGCCCCAACTATACTTTCTTTTGAGATTTTTTTAAACACTGTTTTTCTGGTATATATTCTGCACTCTCTGCTTACTCTTCATATAGTTAGACTCTCTGAAGTCCAAGTTCCACTCATTTCACATCATTCCAAACAAAAGTAGTTAATGTGGGAAAGTAAGAGTATTTCTGAGAAGGGGAAAGAGACTATCATTTGGGAGTTCATAGATAGGCCTTGGGGCTTTATTTATTCTGGAAATTACATGCAAAATTTTGTAAGCATATGTAAAATTGAATATGTATTTTATGGGAGAGAGGATTGACAGTTTTTGGGTCCACRACTAAAAACATTTAAAACTATTTCTTTGGCACTTTTCCATTTTTCTGGATCAATTCTGCATAACATGTAGACTGAATCTTTAACAAGTGAATTCTCAGGACATGAGACTGAAGCATTTCATGTTTAGGCTAAAGCTTAGCCTGTACCAAAAAGAACCCACACCTCCAAAGCCATGCTCCATCTGCACAATAACCCAAGAACATACCAAGAAACATATTCTGGTGGGCTCATCCAGGCCTTCCAGAGGGTCTAGCTTTTTCTGATCTGGGTCTCCAGGACTACTGAYTGGTCGTTCCACCTCTTCCTCTTGGTCCCCTCGCTCATCCAGTTCAAGTTCTCCATGTTCAGCCAGAGTGCTGATCTCCTTTTTTGAGGAATACAGCATGATGGACAGAATCTACATGGAGAGGAAATCAGGTAGGGCAGAAAGGTAATATTCAGTGGRTGAGAAGACAACACAGTTCTTTAACCATGTAAAGGGAGAAAATATTTTACTTAACTTTTTAAGACATTATAATTCACATAAAACATGTAAAATTAGTACAGATACATGAAAAAGTGTTCAATTGCACTTGAAATCGAAGAAATGCTAATAACAACCATGGAGGTTCTGAAGTTTATTAACTTTTCCATGACAGTGTAAACTGATATTATCTTTCAAAACTTGTTCTGATAAACTGTAAAGAGCTATAAAAATGTTCATATTCTTTGACCCAGTAATTCATCTTTAGGAAGAGTATAAAATATGTAAAACGTTCTATTCAAAATACAGTCAGTGAAGAATCAATAAGGGCAAAAACCAAACCAAACCAAACCAAAAACTGCAAAGCACCTTCCTGTATCATATATAGCCATCAAAAACAGTGATTATAGGGCTGGGAATGTAGCTCAGAGGTAAAGAACTTGCCTAGCATGTATGAGGCCCTGGGTTCAATCCTCAGTATGTCAAAGTCAAGCCCAAAATTGTAGCTATGAAAACTGCATAGAAACTGAGAAAAATGCCTGTCATATGACCTCAATTTATTTGAATAGTATATGAATTGTGCAATATAAATTTGTATTTCTACTACAGATATGTAGGAAAAAAATTAGAAGGAAATATACAAAATGCTAATGGTAGCTGTGTTTGAAAGTGAAATCTGGAGTTTTTCTTCCCTTTATATTTTTAAAATTTTCTGCAGTATGGTTCTATTGTTTAAGTAACAAAAATACTCTAAAACATTCTCTAAGATTCAGAGTTCAAATGCTTTCTCATATGGGGGAAAGTGGGAGGATGAGAATGGGAAAGACAGTAGAATGAATCAGACATAACTTTCCTATGTTCATATAAGAATACACAACCAGTGTAACTCCACATCATGTACAACCATAAGAATGGGAAGTTATACTCCAGGTATGATATGTCAAAGCACATTCTACTGTCATGTCAACTAAAAAGAACAAATAAATAAACAAATAAAATAAATGGTAAAACTTTCCCATTTTTTAATGTATATTTTTTAAGTTGTAGATGGACAAAGTACCTTTATTTTATTTATATGTGGTGCTGAGGATTGAACCCAGGGCCCCATACACACTAGGCGAGCACTCCACGACTGAGCTACAACCCCAGCCCTCTTTCCCATTTTTAAATTGGAAAAAAAAATGCTCTCTCATATTTTAGCATATTTTCTTAACCCTAAGCCAACCTCCTCTGGTACTCAGAATAACTTTTTCCAGTTCAGGTCTCTGTGCCACCAAGGGTGGCAGGTGTACTACCCCTGCTGCAGCAGCAGCTGTGCCTGCACCTGGAGTGCATACTTGGCACAGAAARTCCTCAGAGAACCACAGTAACTCCACTAAGAAAAATCTAAGGCCTCAGGGAAAAAGCAATAAAATTAAATTATAAACTGAAATCCCTCATAAAATAAACATAAGTGAGAACAAATATAGAAACTGATTAGCTCAAGGAACTTTTTTAAAAGGGACATAATAATTCAAGGGCACACTTTATTACATGATATAATGGTCAATTATGTGCTTCCATAATATACTTCTCAATGTTCTTTGAACAAACATCAAATTCATTTTCCCTGACAGGGGAGGACAGGTGTCATAATTCCTAATTCCAAAAGGGAAGACAGAAACAAGGCAGARTTTTAAAAACTGTAAAGAACTATAGTGCACAGGGCAGAAGCAGCCAGAACAAGCTTTTGCTTCTAGCTTCTAGGCCTGTAGACTTGCACCAGGCAGGAGTAGCAGGAGCCATCTTTGTCCCTTACTTCCAGGTCCCGGAGGAGCCATGTTTTACTGAAACCGGTTCCTTTGCTGCACTTTTTCACCAACAGCTTCAGCAGATCAGTCTGAAGAAAGGTTGCATGGGTTTCTTCAAAACCATGAGCCTGTCAAAGAGAAAAAGAATGATTTACAGCCACTTTAGAGTAAAGAAGATAAAGGTCAATTGGAAAGAAGCAAGCTTTTCTTAGAGACTAATCTCAACTCTGGTGGCCTAGACTCACCTTCCAGGGAAAATTCTAGAGTCAGTAGAAAGAACCTTAACTATAACCCTCTGTCTGCTCATTCACTCTTTAATTCATTAATTCAACAAACATTTTTKAAATTTAACTATATGTAATATCCCTCAGCTTTACCTTCCCAGAGTTTCCCAATGCCGTGGAGGCTAAAACCCAAGCCCCTCATCATGGTTGACAAGGTTCGACAAGGCTTCCTGTCTGATTCTCTGGCCTCATCCTCCAAAGCCCCAGAGGTTGTATTTCAGCTCCGTGACAATCAATCATGCCTCTTCCTCTGTAAGGTCTGGAGCTTGCTACTCTTCCTGCTCTGTTTTCCAAGGCTGACTTCTAACCGATTACCTCAAATTTTATCTCTTCAGAAGGCTTTTTCTGCCCAAGGCAGTCTTCTTTACAGGCTCCTTATAGCCTCTGGATGGTTAAAGTGGAAGATCTGTGAGTGCAGGGACCTTTTTCATTCACTACTACATACTTAGTTCTGTTTGGCAACTAAGCTCAACAAATATTTAATAAGTGAAGGATTCAAAGATTTCTTCCCCCAAGGAGTTTATTTTCCTGTTCCTACTACAATGTAAACAAAGAAATCAATCAGACATTGTGATAAATGCCATGAATAAAAAAAACAAAAACAAAAACACAGGGGCTGGGGTTGTGGCTCAGTGGTAGAGCACTTGCTTCACATGKGCGAGGCCCTGGGTTAGATCCCCAGCACCCCATTAAAAATAAATCAATAAAAAATAAAGGTATTGTGTCCAACTACAACTAAAAATAAATATAAAAAACAAACAAACAAACAAAAAMCCCCAAACAAAACAACAACAACAATAAAACCAAAACACAAAAACCAAAAAACCTGACAACTACAAACCCTTAAATTAAGGCTGGCCCAGGGCGGTAAGTCCAGTCTCCTGTGGTTTCTGAGTCCTTTCTGTGACCTTGCCACCAGTTCTACCACTGAATACCCTTCAGAGTCAAGGGACTACAAACTCCAAGTGAGCTGAAATACATCCTTGAAAGATCCTCTTCTCCACCAGCACCCCCCCCCCCCAGGGCAAGAAGACCACACTAGTCAGCAGTTTACCAAATATCACCCAGCTCATTAACTTGTCTACTTCCTTCTACCCCAATGACCAAACCTGTTGCTTAAAGATCCAATAGGATGCTAACACCCTTTATTTTTCCTCCCAGCTCCTACAATGAACCAGAGGAGCTGCCATTTGGAAGTCTTTTGTTCTCACTTGCCAAGGTCATGTCCTCATGAAGTCATAATACCCTAGTTCATGAAACAGTACAAAAAACATAGAAAACCAATCTATTGGGAAAATTTTAATTATCTTTGTGTAAGGCCCCAACCATTTCTAAAAATAATCAAGATCCTAAGATTAACCATTCACTGAAATCAGATGGAATTTCTCCCTTGTTAATCTCCTGCAGATGTCAAATCACAGCCAGAATTATTATGAAATGGAAGAGGCTCACCATTACCTTTAGTGTTTTGTATAAACCTTTGAGGGCCAGGGATAGGATCCAAGTTGCTTCTACAGCCTCGGAACAATAGCTATCCATGCTGGTTTGCAGAAGGTGACTGGCGATAAAGGCAAAGTGCTGGGAATATTGGCTCAGTTGGGCTTGAGAGTCACTGCATTCTTGTCCTCCTCCCTTCTGGACCAGCTGGTAGTCTTTCACTGGAGAGAGAGAGCAGACAGGAAGAGAAAGGCAGAACAAGTATAGTTAATGCTTCCTGTAGCCAAATCTCTTCCAGAGTAATATGCCTTATTAAAAAAAGAAATGCAGAAACAATCTCCTGGGCTCAATTGTAGTCACTATATTTAAGGCCAGCTTGAAGGTGAGCACAAAAATGGTACTGGGTCACCCATCTACTGAGCAAATAAGAGGGATAATTCACAATGCCAAGTGGGTCATCTTCAAAAAACAGTACGTGAGACTGTCACTTCCAAACAAGATGGACAGAGTAAGATAATTGATACACTCTTCCACTTAGGCAGCTAGAACAATGAGGAAAACATATGAAACAATGTTTTTCAAACATTGGGCAATAGGTAGTACAGGATTAAGATCCCTGAGAAAAAGGATGTAAACTAGATTAGCTCCTCAGTGCACCAGAAATCTGGAGACAATTTCAAGGCTGTAGGGCAGGAAGCAGATGTCCCAGAAGAGTGGAGAAATCTCAAGGAACTGAGGAGATGGAGACTGAAGTTTAGGGAAGTCAAGGCAGCTAGAATTTATGGGGCAGAATATCAACAAAAGAAATATACAGAGAGAGGGAGAGGTGGGTAGGAGAAAGTTTTAGAGATTCAAGAGGGTTCCTCATAAGTCTTAGGCTAATACTGACCTGCATATATGTGAAAGGAAACTATCTAGGGCAAGAGAAATAAATACCAAAAAGCAGTAAGCATAACAATTTCTGAAGTTCAAACAAAGCTGGAACTATTCTGTCTTCTCACCACATAGAGTGAAGATGTCCTGGGAGAAGACAGAAAGAAACATTTGAAGGAAGGGAGGGGGTATGCTGAGGAGTAACACAGACCAAATTATATCATTACATTTTATGCATGAATATGTAACAGATCCCATCATATGTGCAACTATATGCACTAAGAAAAAACTGTGGAGGAAAAAAAAGAATGACAGAAGACTTCATGCCAAAAATCTATGCTTGTTAGAAGACAATGAGCAAATCCTCTTTAAAGTATTCAAAGAAAACTCTCGGCTGAGAAATTTTTACCCAGAAAAAAATCTTTCAAAGATAAGGTAAAAATGAACACTAAGAGATTCTGTAGCAGCAAATCTCCACTTTAAGAAACGCTATGTGAAATTTCTCAGGCCAAAGAAAAATGATACTACATGAAAAATGGAATCTATATAAAGGAATGAAGAACACTAGAAATAGTAAATATGTAACTAAACATAAGATATAATTTATATGCATTTTTTGGTACCAGGGATTGAACCCAGGGGTACTTAACCATTGAGCCACATCCCAGTCCCTTTTTAAAATTTTGAGACAGAGTATTGATAAATTGCTTAGGGCCTCACTAAGTTGCTGAGGCTGGCTTTGGACTTGTGATCTTCCTGAACTACTAGAATTACAGGCATGCACCACTGCATCCACCTATTTTTTTTTTTTTAAGTTTCTAATGTTTTAAAGGAAAAAAAATGTGACATTTATATCATGTAGAATAAAATGTGTGGCAACAATAACACAAAGAATGAGTGCAAGAAATGGAAATAAATGTTATAATATTTTTACTTTATTGGGAAATGGTATAATATCTGAAGGTAGACTATGGATGAGTTTAAATTGTACAATATAAACCTTAGAACAATCGAAATCACTAAAAATAAAAGAGAAAGAAAGAAAGAAGTAGGGCTAGAGATAGGGCTGTAGCTCAAGGGTAGGGTGCTTATGTAGTATGCACCGAAAAAAGAAAAATTGAAAAGAAGATAAAGAAACAGAGTTAAAAAAGCCAATAGTGAAGATAAAATGGAATCATTAAAAAAGAATAAAGCAAGCGGGGACTGATGGCCCATGCCTGTAATCTCAGTCTCTCGGGAGGATGAGGCAGGAGGATCACAAGTTCAAGACTAGCTTCAGGAACTTAGCAAAGCCCTAAGCAACTTAACAAGGCTGTGTCTCAAAAAATAAAAAGGGTTGGAGATGTAGCTCAGTGGTAATGTGCCCCTGGGTTCAATACCCAGTACCAAAAAATAAAAAATAAAAACTCCAAAAGGCGGCAGAAGGAAAAAAGGGAACCAAGAATAGATGGGACAAATAGAAAATAAGTAAGAAGATAGTAGATTTAAACTCAACCAACCTGATAACTTCATTAAATGTAAAGTTTAAACAATTCAATCGAAAGATAGGGATCAGCCAGATGTGGTGGCACACACACCTGTAAACCCAACTACTAGAGAGGATGAAGTGGGAAGACTGCAAATGCGAGGCCAGCTTCAGCAACTAATTGAGACCCTGTTTCAAAAAATAAATAAATAGGGCTGGAGATGTAGCTAAGCAGTAAAGCATATTTGGGTTTAATCCCTTGGACTGGGGGGCGGGATAGGTGGAGAGACAGAGGCGGGATAGGTGGAGAGACAGAGAGGGGGAGAGAGGGAGAGAAAGGCAGGCATTATCAGATTGGATTAAAAAAGAAGACCCCTTCACTACGCACTATCTACAAGAAATTCATATTATTTATTTATTTATTTATTTATTTTTTTTTTGGGGGGGTGGATTCTACATAAAAGTAACCATATTAAAGTCTGGCAATCACTGGTAGGCTGCTTAAACAAATCTCTCTTTCACTCATTGTGTTGCAAGGGCCTAGTAGAAAGGGAAAAAACAAAAAACAAAAAACACCAAATGCTGACATTCTCCAACAGACTGAGCTGGAGAAATGAAGACCCCTTAAGATCCAGATGGCACTTGATAGTCATTTGATAAATGGCCTTCCTTCAAGTGAAACTACTATATTGCCTCCCAATTTCTCTTCAAGTGTTGACTGGTCCTTAATATCATCCRAGTAATTTACCTGCCACTTGTGYTTAATACCTGTACATTCCTTTTAATGGCATCTTTAGAGCTACCATAAGTAATCCTATTTTTTAAGGGTGCACTTTTAGGAACCCAGAACATAAATACTATATCTTCTTTTTTAGAATCATTTTGTACGTGGCATCATACAAAGCACATTGGTAGTCATTCAGAGGTAACTTCACAAAAGATGTGCAGGGGTCCTCCACAGTATTACCAATGTCACTCACCAAGATCTGCTTTGCTTCTCTACAATTATTTTTCATTTGTCATTGTTTGAACAGAAGAGAACTGCTTTCTTTCTTTCTTTTTTTTTGATCTTCTCTTATGTATTAGATTTCCTTAATTTCTATCATTAAAAACTTTGATAACGTCATCATTCACTGTAACTTCAGATGCCATTGTGCCTGTGGCTGTGACTGTGGCAGTGGCTCCACTTCTATGGCTCTGGGAGGAGGAGAAGGAGAGGCAGGCAGAGGGCTAAAAGAGTGTGGGGCATGCCAAGAGCTGTAACCCCAAGGAGGCAGTGGGCCTGGTGGGCCAAGAGATTGATTTTAAATGTCAAATCATGCATGTTTAAAGTAAAAGGACATGTCATGCAAGTGCTTTTTTTTTTTTTCAAAAAAGCAGGATAGCTTACATAAATATTAATGTAGATTTCGGAACAAGAACTATTATTGCCGGGAGCAGTAGCCCACGCCTGTGATCCCAGTGGCTCAGGAGGCTGAGGCAGGAGGATCGTGAGTTCAAAACCAGCCTCAGCAAAAGTGAGGCACTAAGCAACTCAGTGAGATCTCGTCTCTAAATAAAATATAAAACAGGGCTGGGGATGGGCTGAGTGGTCACATGCCCCTGAGATCAATCTCTGTACCATACAAACAAACAAACAAACAAACAAACAAAAACTATCATCAAGGATAAAAAGGAACACCTCATAATGAAACGAGAATGAACAATACACTTCAACAGTTTTTTTCAGTAATTGTTAGAAAAAGTAGAAGATCAGAAAGGGTATGGAAGACTTTCATAACACTGTTAATTGACTTGATCTAAATAACATCTGTGAGACATTCCACCACCAACAAAGTACACTCATTTTCTTCAAGTGCTCATGAAGCCTTCACAAAAAAGTCAAATTTTAAACCCAAAACTAAGCTGCAATAGTCTCAGTATGCTCTCTGACTATAAAGGAATTAAACTTGAAATCAATAACAGAAAGAACTTTAAAATAATCCACAGAGCAAATAAGAAATTATAAAATAGAAAATATTCTGACCTTAATGAAAATGACAGTATAACATATCAAAAATTGTGAGATATGGTTAAAACCACAAATAGAAATTCATAGCAGTAAGATGCTAGGGCAAAGAAGAAAGTTCTTTAATCAGTGATGATTTCCAATTTAAGAAACCAGAAAAAGCAAAAAAAAAAAATTAAGCCCACAACAAGCATAAATAGAGAAATGAATAATGATCAGAGCAGAAATTAATAAAACAGAAAACAAGAGGGCCAGGCTCAGTGGTGCACACCTGTAATCCCAGTGACTTAGGAGGCTGAGGCAGGAAGAACATGTGCTCAAAGTCAGCTTCAGCAACTTAGCAAGGCTCTAAACAACTCAGTGAGATCCTGTCTCAAAATAAAAAGTAAAAAGGATTGGGGATGTGGTTCAGTTATTAAGTGCTCCTGGTAAAGAGAGGGAGGGAGGGAGGGAAGGAAGAAAGGAAAAAAAGAAGGAAGGAARGAAGAAGGAAAGAAGGGAGGAAGGAAGGAAAAAAGAGGAAAAAAAATCCTTTGAAAAAAATCAAATAATAAATGTCTGTCTAGGAAAAGATACAAATTACCAATTCAGGAATGAGAGAAGGCAGTTTAATACCCTATGTCAGGCTGACAAAAATTAAGACCTAAATTTTCTGAGTTTAAATTTATTCCCTAGATAAATGGAGAGATATATATCATGCTTATAAATCAAAAAAACTCAGAGTTTGAAGTCAATTTTCCCAAAGTAGATCTATAGATTCTATGCAATGCCAGTCAATTACCAGCAATTTCTTTAATACAAAATGACAATCTGATTCTAAAATTTATGTAGAAAGGCAAAAATCTAGAAGAGCCAAAGAAATTTTCCAAAAGAAGAACAAAGTTAAAGAATCAGATTTCAAGTCTCAGTAGAAACCTAAAATAGTCAAGAGAGTGTTGCACTGGTGTAAAAGACAGACATAGAGAAAAATGAAACATAATAGAATCCATGAATAGATATATGCATATAAGCCAATTAATTTCTAACAAAGGTACCATGATAACTCAATAGAGAAAGGACAGTTTGCTCAACAAATGGTTGGAGAACTACTGAACATTCATTCATATTCGAAAAAACCCTCAGAAATTGTACTGGGAATGTAGCTCAGTGGTAGAGTGCTTACCTAGGATATGTAAGGAACTGGGTTCAATCCTCAGCACCACATAACAATAAATAAATAAAATAAAGGTCCATCAACAACTACAACTAAAACATATTCTAAAAAAGCTCAGAAACAACACTGGCACTGCTTAGTGCTAAAGATGAGGAGAAAGCTGATTACTTTAGAAGCTGAACCGAGAACATAATGGTTAGATAYTCCATACTGTTTGGGGTTTGAAAATTAAGTCAAAAGAACGTAAGTTGTAATATTTTAAGTAAAACAAAATGAAAAGTCATACTGATACCAACATAATCTTCAATGTGCAGTCACCTGGCTTTATGTTAAAATTACCCATAAGAAAGCAAATGATACCTGCAAATGGTAAAATGAAATGTTCAGAACCTAAATATTTGTCCAATTGAAAAAATAGAGCTATATGCACAAAATTATAGCATGGAAAGGGGCCTTCAAAATTATGTTCTATCACATTATTTCAGAGATCAAGAAAAAGTAGCTTGGGAACTTGCTTTCTAAAGAAGTCATATGCAGGGGAAAGAACCATAATATCTTCATTGATTTTAGGGCATGCAAGGATTAGACAATTTATTCCATTCTTAGAAAAAGTAAATATGTTGAAAACCTGTTTTCCTTTTCCGAGTTTTGACATCCACAATCACAGCCCTGTTCTTCTCAGTAAAGTGCTTCAAGATGATCACATTATGGGGTTCATTGGCATTATCCATATAAACACATCGGGTCCCCACACAAAGAACCTAAAACATGAGAGAGAGACAGAAAAGGCAACTCAACAGCACATTGAGACAGGAAAGAGTATTCACGGACAAATTCAGGCCTTTTTCTTGTGCCTCAGACTTCAAAAAGCACTTAAGGATACGGCTCTTTTTATCTCTAAGTCCAAAGGATGTCGCACATGCCTAGCACAGAATTGATTTGCCCCTGCTGACATGCCATATTTTTATAGCCCTCTTTGTCTCAGTCAGTTGAGAGACATGAAGATTAGAAATGAGATCAAGATAAATGCCAGAGGGAAAGACAATTTTTGACGTTCTTTGTAATTTAATACATTACAGTTATTCATTACTCAAAGCCAATTACCAGTTAGTATAATGAATCAAATAGTTAAACTTAAAAATACAAGCTGAAAGTGTGAGGCCCTGGGTTCAATCCCTGGCACCATCAGAACACACACACATACACACACACACACACATACACACACATACACACAAAGAAAAAAAAGCAAGTTGAACAAACCACCCCACCCCACAATCTTGAAAAATATACCAGTATGTATATATGTCACAGAGTCTTTGATAAGCATGATGAGGACTGGAGGGGGTGAGCAGACCTTTGATTGCTATACCTGAGGGAAGCCAACCAGCACCAGCAGGGTGAAGATGTTGGTGTGCTTCAGCTGGAAAGGCAGCTGCTTGATGCAGTGGTCTGTGAAGGTGGCAATGACATCTTGCCACAGAGGGGCACTGTTGAGTGACCGCAGGATCTCGGCCATGGAGCATGCCCAGTCTAGGCCCACCCGGCTGGAAGGCAAGAGCTCCATTAGGTGGCAGAGCACAAGGCTCCAAACTCAACCCGTTACAGCTCACTATACTCCAAGGCAGACCCAGAGGCAAAGGGCTACTCATTAATTAGTTTTAAAACTACCAGAATGATGCTGGTTGGTAGCCTACAAGCATGGTTTCAAAAATCTCTATAAATAAAGTCACCTGTGCATATGCACACATGCATACTCACATTTACACACAGAAAAATGGCTCAGGAGTAAATACACTAAAATAGCTGATGTATTAATATGGTGCAAATTAGGCTGACTTTTTTTCTTCATTTCTGTTTTTCAAATTTGGTATTGTGGTTATGTTCCTTTCATAGGAAATAGATTTTTAACCCCAAGACCTACATTTAATGCTCTCAGGAAAAAATACACCAGAATATGAATCATCAGAGTGTTAAATCAGCAGGCAGTGCTGAGGCTCAGCCGTTTAATGTGGAATGACAGCATTTCCATTAAACCAATTCTATGGCCAAAGGAAATTCTCAGACAATAGCACTGTAGCACCTAAAATGTATCACCAGTCAGTCCTCTGACCTAAATGGACACCACAGTGAGTGGTGTGGGGGTGGCGGGTGAGTGAGAACCAAGGTTACCTGTCTAGACATACAGCTCCCAGGCTAAAGAGTAGGTGGGTGGTCTTCCAGCCATCTGGCACAATGACACTGTCCCCTGCAGCAAACAGGTTGTGTTTGGCTGAGAGAACCTTGATCACTGCGGCATCTACCTCTGCTGGTAAAAGACGGATGATTAACTGGCCAAGAAGACCCAGGGTGAGGTGGTAGGTTTCATTCAGGTGGCCTGCATTGGAGATGACAACCTGAAACATGAGTGGGAGGACGTGCTCCAGGTCTATCAAGGGAACTGTGGGACCCTGCCAAGAAAGGGGAGAGCTCTTCAGTAGAGGATCCACGCAACCAGACTAGATAAACTCTTCATCCCCTTTGAGTATTATTTACAACTGGCCTAGTGCCAAAAGAATTATGCAGTAGCTTTCATAAATGGCACGTGTATGATCAATTGTAAAATAAATATTCTTGAGTATCATCTTATGGTCCTACTTTCCAATTCCTTTACCCTAAAAAGTAAACTTAAATGTTTGGATGTTTTCCCCTCCTGATATGTCCATTGTAAAATAATTAAATAACTCAGAAATACACAAAAATTAATGTTTTCCATAATCTGCCCCTTCACTAATGTCCAAGAGATAACAGCTATTAACGGATTAATGAATAGCCTTTCAACCTTTTTCTAAGTACATTAACATGTAACACATGTAAAACAAATTAGCAATTTTAAAGTCATTTTTCTTTCTTTAAATATTGCCCATTTGGGGCTGGGGATGTGGCTCAAGCGGTAGCGCACTCGCCTGGCATGCATGTGGCCCGGGTCCGATCCTCAGCACCACATACAAACAAAGATGTTGTGTCTGCCAAAAACTAAAAAATAAATATTAAAATTCTCTCTCTCTCTCTTTTAAAAAAAATAAATAAATACTGCCCATTAACTTACTTTGTTTTAAATTCTTCATTATAAATACCATTTAGATAAAGAGCCTGTGGTTTACAATGATAATTACAGGGATTGGAATGAATTTATGATTCATTCTCTCTCTCTCTCTAGGTTTATATACCAAGAGGGAGCACGTTGTGAGTTGTTATCTACAGGGTGATTCAAGAGGGCACTATGTGTATAATATGAAAACAAAGCACCGAAGAACAACAACAAAAAATGTTCTCAGAAATAAAAAATGATTCTCAAGAAGGCATGCCCTTGAAGGGGCAGCCTGTGGGGGTGCTGGTGTCCAAGAATGAAGAAAGCATCTAGGTAAGGACTGGGCTGGTGTGGGCTGCAGTCAGAGCCCAAGCATGGGGCAAAGAGTTTCCATATCAGGAACAGCAGAGTACAGATGGGTTGAGGAAGGCATTCCCAGGAATCATGCTCAAGAGTCAAGAGTTGAGCTCTGAATGGGGGCATCAGTGTGGCAGTGCAGCCTGAAGTGAGTGTCTGAGCACATGTGGAGGGGTGAGGGCGTCCATGTGGGGAGTTTAGCTTGGCATGCATTTTCATGCAGCCTAAGGAGAATGCTGCGCTGAGTAACAGCCTGCTGTGGGTGAGGGTGGCCTCAATGCAAGGGGGTACCCTGACATCAGGACAGCCCCAGGCACGGAAAGGAAGTATTCACCAGTAGAGGCACAGGGCAGAGTGTCAAGAGTCTAGAGGGAGACAAGGACACCTCTGAAAGAAGAAGAATGGCAGCTGGGAGGTTGATCAAATAAGTAATCATATAAATGATAATGGGATCTCGGATCTCACTGTTAAAGACAGGAGTTATAAAGACAAAAAAGGAAAAAACTAGAATGAACCTGTGGTTTATGATGATAATTGCAGGGATTGGTATGAATTTATGACTCATTCTTTATCCCTGTACATTTATATACCAAGAGGAACACATTGCTTTTCATGTCATGCCCCTGTGAACTGTGACTGATTCGTTAATCATTTTCAACTCTCAAGCAAAAATTATTGCTAAGTCTGAGCATCTCCCAGCAAACACTAAAAAAGGCCCTTGGATCAAAAGACCTGAGGACCAAATCTTTGGTACTGGGGACACCTCCTTTCTCCAAAACTCTGCAGACTTGAGAAATTCTGTTTCATCAATGTTCTGTCCAATTCCTCTCTGTTCAACCCCCCTCCCACCAAAAAAAGGAGACTCTTATAAAGATGTCAGTAATTACTAAATTAATATATAAATTCAATGAAAATGCTAGCCAAATCCTTGGTAAAAAATTATTCTGAAGTTCAAAAAGAACTTCATTATGGGGCTGGGGCTGTAGCTTAGTGGCAGAATGCTTGCCTAGCACATGGAGGCACTGGGTTCCATCCTTAGCACYGCATAAAAAAATAAACAAATAAAATAAATGCATGCTGTCCATCTACAACTACAATTTTTTTAAAAAAAGAAAAATATGCAGAGTCCAGAAAATTATAAAAAATAATGAWCTGTCTAGACTCTTTGAAGACTTCGGGATTAAGTTACCAAAACAAACAACAAACAAAAAGGAGAGAAAAATCAGTTAAAAGAGACTAATAAGTATGCCATGTAAATGCAATGCAATTCTTCAGTGGATTCTGATTTTTAAAAAAAATGCTTAAAGGAATATTTTAGAAAAATTTGTATATAGCCTCTATATAAGATAAAACTACTCTATCAATGTTAAAATTTTAAAATATGATGATGACACTGTAGTTATATAGGAGATTGTCTTTTTAGGAGACACATGCTGAAGTGTCAGTGATCATTTCAAGTTATTTTCAAAACTTGGAAAAAAATATAAGCAATATGTAAATATGCAGAGATAAATTCACAACTAGTAAATCTATATAGATTTTCATTCATTCTTTCAAATTTTTCTTAGCTTAAAATTTTTCAAAATAAAATAATAGAAAAATGATTATAATAAAGCCAATAAATTGTAATATATACCCCCCATACACACACGTACAAACATACATATATACAAAATGTAGTGAGGGCTCAATGAAGAAAATAATTTTAATTGAAAATTCCTCCCTCAGGGATACACAGATGACTATTATTAACAATCTGCTTCAGCTTCAGCATCTAGTATAACATCATTTTTTTCTTTTTTTTTTTTCTGAGTATGACATTACCCCCTTTACAAAGAAATGCTGCCTGTCTCTTACCGACTTTAGGGGAGGTAACATGGCTGCTAGTAATCCCAAAATCCTCTTCTGGGAACACTCAGCGAACACCTGCTCAGGGTTGGGAGTAACTGCCTTTTCCTCTATTGGCTCCTGAGGTGACACTTCTGAATTTTCAGCATCTGTGTTGTAAAATGCCAACTTTCAGATTTTGCCACATTCTATACATGCCAAGTAAATCACTGTGCTGTCCTGTTCTAGAGTAATGCTGGAACTTTAAAAAACTAGTGCTGAGCACATTTTTAAGATGTCCTCTTCTCAAGGAAGCCTGCCTGCTCCCTATGGAATGGGCAGTTACCCTCCCACACCTCCCCATTCTTCTGACTCTGCTCTTAAATTAGATGCTAACATTTTATCATTTAACATTTCATATTTATTGTCTGCCCTTTTGATTTTTATCTCTTTCAGTATTGTACCCAGGCACCTAGCAATGTCTCTGGAGCATGGTAGGTAGTTGACAATACTTGCTGCCTATGAACCAGCATGCTGGTCCTCAGGGGAATCCAACTCCAGAGGACTTTGATGGCCTGGACAGATGTGGAGTGTCAGCCCCTTCTGAGAGCTGGTTCCAAATATGAGGCAGAATGCCAGGTGCTCAGTCCCACCTCCACACAGAGGGCTGAAGGAACAGATCTGCCACCAGGGGCTGCAGTTAAGAAGGAGGCTGAGGCTTGCTTCTGATCTCTTCAACCACAGCATCATGCATGAATTCTCTAACAACCTGGCTCTCGCCTTGCCATTGCATTCCTTAGGCAGGCTGAGAAGCCTGGAATCCCTAGGCAAGCGGCTAAAGCCTTTGCAGAGGAACCCCACTGAAGAGGTCTCATTTTATCTTGTATCCCATATCTACACACCTGCCAAGAGGGACTTCTCCTCTGTATTGTTCCGGGACTTTCCTATTTCAGGGTCTTTGCTCATGGTGTACTTTCTGCCCTGAATGTTGATCCCTACCACAGATCCTCATATATCAAGGTCCCTTATGACACTTACCTATACCTCTGTCTTAAGTTCTCCTAGGCTATGAGCTTCAGCAGGGAAGTGGGGGTGGAATGGGGAGGTGGGAGGGAGGCTCTGTGTGTCCCTCTGAGTCAGTCTCTGTTCTCCCCAGGGTCTAGCATAGTGCTTGGCACATGGGAGACACTCAGTAAATACAGGAAATAAATAAGGTGGGAAAGCAGTCAAAGTGAATGAAAGGTGACTTTCAAAATGTTATCAGCCCTATCTGAACTGAATGGAGAAACACTGGTAGCTGAATAACATAAAATTGTGTAAAACCAACAAGCTCAGGCTAGAGTACATTTGAAGATGAAAGAGATAAGGTACTGGCCAGATATTCTTTACCTGGAAATCCTGGAGGTATGTGAGCATCTGCAGGTACATTTGGAATGTGGGTCTGGCCTGAATGATCCTTCATGAACAAGATACCTGCATTTGCCTTACTTCTCTGCTTGTAATCCAAAGGTCTGATTTCCTTGTCTGCAGCTCTCCTTCCCTAAAAACATGATGGTGTGTGTATAAGAACTAAGGTTTTTAATAACAAAAATTTATCCTATTTATAGTACAATTTTATCATTAGTTTTAATAAATTAAAAAACTTCTGAATTCATTATTAAAAATGCCACTCATATTTTAAATACATCTATGATTCATTAAGATAGTAGTCATTGTGTCACATTCCTCCAAACATCTTCCAAATGCCCCTGTTAGACCTTGTAGTCACATAAGCAATGGCTCTATTCCAGATCTTTAATACATTCTGTTTAGCCAGGTATGGATAGTTCTTCCCTTGGGAAAAAGAAAAAGTTATCCATTTCCTTCTAGTACACCATGGTGACTATGTTTGATGTATGTTCTTTTTCAATAGAAAAGCAAATTTTTATCATTAGAAAAAAAGTTTAGATTTCATATTATCATGAAAATACGATTATACCAAATCTAAAGCCTAGAAGCATGATACTGTTTCCATTCCACTGATGTAGACATTTTATTGATATAGAAATTGATATTTGGAATGGTGGGGGATGTAATGTAGCTCAGTGGTAGAGCATTTACCTAGCACGTGTGAGGCCCTGGGTTCAATTTCCAGTACCACAGGGCAGTGGGGTTGGGGGGAGAGTTACTTCTGGGCATGTTGATGCACCTTTATAATTTCAGCAATTTGAGAGGTTCAGGCAGGAGGATAGCAAGTTTAAGGCCAGCCTCAGTAACTTAGCAAGACCCTAAGCAACTTAGCGAGACCCTGTCTCAAAAAAAATTTTTTAAAAAGGGCTGGGGATGCATTTTAGTGGTAAAGTGCCCCTGGGTTGAATCTCCAGTACAAAACAAAACAAAAATTTAGAAATTAGCATTCTTAGGCTGTGGGACAGAGTTGTGGGCTATGYATCTATCAGTTTTCTATAGAATCTACTTTGTGTTAATACGGTAGGTGTTGATAAATCYATTGCATATACCACTTGGTCAGGGCTGGGAATATAGCTCATTTGGTAGAATGCTTGCCTTGCATGCGCAAGGGCCTGGGTTTGATCCCCAGCATTAAAAAAAAAAAAAAAAAATCACAACATATATAATTTGAAACAAAGCAGACACCATTTCTAAACCACATACTTGCACCCTCTTTAACACATTCTGGCATTAGTTGTTCTCTATTTTAACAAATGAACAAGCATACCTCTGTTGCCCTTTTGAGAATCTCATCTGGCAATGAGACTTGTTAAGGGGGCTCTTGCTGGAGCTAGGAAACTTCTGGGATTAGGAATCTGAGGGTGAGCTGCCCAACACGCAAGATGACAGCCCTCAGTCTGCATTTTCTGAGCAGGGGTCAGAAAATGAATGCGTGTGCATCAGGACCTTAGGGTCTTTCCCCCATTGTCACGCAKACTTATATGAGGTATCTAAGTGATGTGGGAAGACTTCAGTGTGTGGTAGAGGCAGCCCAGCTCTTAGTCTGAGAAATCCAAATTTGATTGCCTCTCTGCAGCCAAAGGTGAAGTGTTATGTAACACCAAACATACAGGGGAAGGTATGTCCTCTCCCAGTAGGAGCTAACTTATGCTTCCCCCTTTCTGGATACTGTTAGCTGACATCAGTCCTAACCTCCTGAGAATGGATACAGACCATTTTAAGAGACAACTGTGACTGTGAGAGGTACTTGCCTTACTGAAAGATCTCAATGTGCTCCCTATACCATGTGCCACTGTGTGAAGACAATGTAATTCAAAAGTTCTGGTGAATTATTTTAATGTTTATCTTAAACATAATCTTTGTCTTAAAGATCCTTACCTTAAATATTAAATAAAAATTATTCTATATTCATCAGACAGTCCTTTTAAGTGTCACTATCACAGGCAATACCTGGAACCAGAAAGGCTTTTCTGTCTATGCAACTACATATAAACTTATCGTGTCTACTTGCTAAATAGTAAGATTTTGGTATCAAATATTTGTTGATTGAACATAAAAATACCTACACATATACAATGCTTTTCATCTTTAAATGTACTCTAGTTGCATATCTTGTTCAGTCATTAGGAAAACCACCAGGAGGCAGATAATAGGAATAGTTAACAATGACATGGAACTTACCATGCACACATTCTAATCACTTACATGTTATTTCAAAGTGTATAAGATAACYCCTCACAACAACCATATATCATAGGTATTGCTATTATCATCCCCATTTTACAAATGAGAAAATGGAGGCAGAGATTGTAGTAATATGACCAAGGTCTGACAGAGTAGGGATGTGAACCCAGCAGCCTAATCTAGCGAGGATCTGTACTTCTAACATTTTAGCTCTGCTTCATCATGTGAATGGCTCTCGGAGCTCAACTATGACTCTGCATAGAGAAGTGCTATTTACATTGCAATGCACAAAAGGGCCTGCCTCTGCCGGCTCCTCAGCAGGCTGGACCACTTTCTTCTCTAGCTGTTGTTCCTCTGATGTGCGGGTAGGTACGCTAAGTGGGAGGGTTTGGTTTTCTGGTGTAGAGTCACCATCTGGCAATATACCAAGAAGAGCGAGAGCTTTAAGACCTATAAGGGAAGAAAGAGAATGGTTAAAAGTTTATAACAAAGATTATTTCATGCAAAAGACTCAAATCACTTATCACTGCATAGAAACAGATGGCTGAGGTCTACACAAACCAAAATCAGGAGAACTTAATAAAAACATCCCTGGCTATCTACATCTATTTAGTTCCTGACTTCAGAAGGTGAAAGTCTGGACATTTTATTATCAAGAAAACAGAGAAGATACAACAGGATTGTTTGTTTCAAAAATTAAAAATATTATACTTTCATAGAAGTGCCACTAACTAGATTTCTAAATTCCAATTGGGAGATAAAAACTTGCTCTGATGTAGGCTTGGGTTTATAGCTCAGTGGTGGAATGCTTGCCTCACATGTGTGAGGCACTGGGTTTGATACTTAGCACCACATAAAAATAAATAAAATAAAGGTATTGTGTCCATCTACAACTGAAAAAAAAAAAAAACTTGTTCTGATGCACTGATATTACCCATTGCTATCTAATGTAGGTCTGATTCTCTAAAATAACCAGAATGGGGAGTTCATTATCAGAGAGAAATGTGAATTTCTCAGAAGTTAAACATTTTTCTTTTTTTCTTTCTTTTTGGTGGGCATACCAAGGATTGAACTTAGGTGCATTCAACCACTGAGTCACATCCCCAGCCCTATTTTGTATTTATTTAGAGACAGGGTCTCACTGAGTTACTTAGTGCTTCACCTGTTGCTGAGGCTGGCTTTGAACTCGCAATCCTCCKGTCTCAGTCTCCCAAGCTGCTGAGATTACAGGCATGCGCCACTGTGCCCAGCTAAATATTKACTTTATTCCTAACATCCTTGGTGAAGTCAGATCATCCAGCTGTTATATTAAACTATTTTACTTATAAATAGCTCTCATCTAGAATAGTTACATGGAAATAGATTTGTACTTCATGTTAAAAATAATCTAGACTTCCTCATAAAATCTAATAGATCAAAATACTAAATAATCCAATCACAGACTTTAATAATTAGAGTTTTAATTATTAATACTTTCTTATATCTTCATGTAAATATTTTAGAGAAACTAAATGCCACTTGAATGCTATCATTTCTCTCAACTGAATCTGTGAACTTGGGTACCACACCAGGTGAGCCCCTCGTGTGGAATACTGGACTCTTCTACCTCTGGGTCGAGCAGTCTGAGGGTTGGTCCTGGTTTCTGGGCATGATGAATAGTCACCTTTCCCCTGGTGAGCCTTCATCAGACAGTCCCCGACAAGCTGCATGCACTGGCTCCGCAGGATGATGGCATTGCTATGGGCCTGGGGGTCCAGTCTCTCCCCATCTACGACCTCTGTGCTGGCCAGGTGTGCACTATAGAGAGCCAGGGCGGCAAAGAGCAGCCAGGAGTAGTTGTGGATGTAAGGCTGGATGAGCCTCTGAYGGTCACTGATCCGAATGGTCACCATGGGGTGGGCCGTGATGCTGTGGGTAGGCAAATGGCTGCAAAGGCAAGACATATGTAAGGCCTATAGAGTTGATGAAGCTCCAAAGAGAGGCCCAGGGCATGTGTTTAGTTGCTTCTGGGATTAGTCACCTCTAGGCTGTAGTTATTCAAAGGTTAAAGACAAGAAAAATGAACAAACACAAACATAGAACATAACATTACATTACAGGATTTTGCAATTTTTGGGGTCGGATATCAGGGATTAAACCCAGGGGCACTTAAGCACTGAGCCACATCCCTAGTCCCCCCCCCTTTTTTTTAAAGAGAGAGAGAGAGAGAGAGAGAGAGAGAGAGAGAGAGAGAGAGAGAGAATTTATTTATTTTTTTTAGTTTTCAGCGGACACAACATCTTTGTTTGTATGTGGTGCTGAGGATCGAACCCGGGCCGCACGCATGCCAGGCGAGTGCGCTACCGCTTGAGCCACATACCCAGCCCCCTATTTTTTATTTATTTATTTTTTTTGAGACAGGATTTCAGTAAATTGCAAAGGGCCTCTCTAAATTGCTTCAAACCATGATCTTCCTGCCTCAGCTTCCTGAGCTGCTGGGATTACAGGCATGTGCCACCACACCTGGCTCAGGATTTCATAATCTTTAGAGAATTGCCTGTGGAAAACAGGCTAAGAAGTCCCTTTTGTGAATTTTGCAAGGCGTGGTAATAGTGTTTTGGTAATGTGAGAAAACACTTATAATCTTCAGACAAAGTACATGGGAAAGAAGGTATTTAAGGTCTCAAATTTGCTTCAAGATGTTTTTATAAAGAAAAAAAAGAAATAAACTAAACACATATAACAAAATCTTCCTAATTGCTGAATCTGGGCAATGGGTATAGGAAGACTCACTGCACTAGTCTCTCTACTTTAGGGTATGTTTGAAATTTTCTGTAATAAAAACCTTATTTAGCCTGGTGTGGTGGCACACTCCTGTAATCCCAGTGACTTGGGAGGCTGAGGCAGAGGATCATAAGTTCAAGGCCAGCTTCAGCAACTTGATGAGGCCCTCAGCAATTTTCTAAGACTCTGTCTCAAACTGAAAAATAAAAAGGGTTGAGGATGTAGCTCATTGGTTCAGTGCCCCTGGAATTCAATCCCTAGTACCACAAAATAAAAGGAGGGCTGTGGGGTATAGCTCCATGGTAGAGCACTTGCCTAGCATGTGTGAGGCCCTGGGTTTGATCTCCAGTACCACTGAAAAAAAAAAAAAAGAAAAGAAAAAAAGAAAAAAATAAGAAGCCCTCTCTTTAAGCGAAGAAATAAATAAAGAAAAGGTTACATGGCTCTAGGTCCCTGAGACCTACCCATAGGAATATTTCTTTGCGGCATAGCATCCATAGCAAAGATCAAAGTCATCACACACATTGCAATTCATTCTCCGGCCTATAATCAAACCCTGGCAGTTGTCACAGGTAAATTCCATGTTGACCATTTCATGGTCATCTCCATGGCCCTCAGGCTTCACTCCACCTGGAGAAAAACAGGAGTATTAGGTGGATAGGGCACAGGGATCCCAGAAGTTCTAACAAACCAATCTCAGTACTAGAATTGCTCCCAATTTACTGTTGAGGAAGGCAGGAGCTGTAGGCATCCTTTGGAGACCAGGACACTCTGCCCCAGTGGCTCTGAGCATGTGAATGACAATACCAGTACAGAATTGCTCAGCAATGTTGACCCTACTTCTCCAGTGCCACAGTCTGATTAAATAAATTACCAATTCTCAACATGAATGTTGTTTGGCAGAATCAAGTCTATGCCAATTTGTGAGCTGTCTCCCATGACTCTCCTCTGACAAATATGAAGAATCTGTAGGTATGTTCCTCAGCAAACACTAAGGAATGATCAAGTATTTGCTCTTACTTTTTCATTCTAGAACCACAGATGTAAACAGACTTCATAACCTCAGATCTAGAGAGTAGAGATTTAGATGATAGACGTGAAAAGTACTAGTCAGGTGTGGTGGTGCACGTCTGCAATCTCAGCTACCTGGGAGGCCTCAGCCTCTGAGGCAGAGGATCACAAGTTCCAGGCCAGCCTAAGCAACTTAGCAAAACCCTGTGCCAAAAACCAAACACATTTTTAAAAGGGCTAGGGATATAGTTCAGCGGTAGAGTGCCCTAGGGTTCAATCCCCAGAACTTCAAAAAAAGGGAGATTGGTTGCTCTGCTCTCTTCCTATTCCAAGTCCAGCGGGACTCTAAGTCCTGATGTAGATTCTGCTTAATACTCCTCATATTTGACCACTTCTGTTCTCGCTGCCACAACCAGGTTCAGGCTCTAATACTCTTGTAACCACTGACTTCTAAAGGATACTCTCACACAGACAGAACTGTTTTCTCTATATAGCTCTGATCATGTTAATATTATGCTCGGTAAACCTTCCCTATTGTCTGTAAACTATTCAAATTTCTTAGCCTGGTATCTTGGGGTCCCACCTGTCCTAATCTATCACTTGGTTGGACAAATACTCAAGTGTGTCCATCTAAACTCACTGCAGGCATTCACTCCTCTCCTCCTGGGCTTATTCTATCCTTGATGGTGACCCCATCTTTAGAATTTCCTTTGACTCATCTAGTTCTTTTCTTCAAAGACCAAGTCTCATTCTACTTCTTCCACAAGCCTTTCCTACAGCAACACCATGGCTACTTCTTAACTTTTCCAGAAGAAATCTATACTACTCATTGATAACTCAGCATATTCACCCTTGTATTGGAATAGACATCTGTGGATACAGTCAGTCTCCYGGCTAAATTATAAATGTTTCCAGAGCAGGAGCTGTGTCTAACCATGTATACACAGAGCAGTCCAATGTTCACTTCTATTGATACGCTTTGCCTCACTCAATACCTACAAGTTAAAGATTTTTTGAATGTTTTCTTTGTGCGTGTGATTTGCTATTTGTAAATACTGCATGATTCAGAAGCAAAAACTATTTCCTGAGGTCTGGAGATGTAGCTCAGTGGTAGAGCACTTGCCTAGCATCAATGTGCCCTGAATTCAATCCCTAGTACCACACACAAAAAAAAAAAAAAAAAAAAAAAAAAAAAAAAAAAATTCCTGGAAACCCAACTAAACATATATATCCATTGGTCCTGAGTATTTATTAAGTGCCCACCCAGCACAGTGGGAGATAAAAGGCTGTCATATAAGAGCAGTGGACCTGATCACTGAGCAGGGGAGATGGAGCCAGAGTCAGAGGATACCAATGGGCAGTATATCTATTTAATAAAAAGAGGGTTTTAAAAGATGGCCAGATCACAGAAAATAGAAACAATTATGACTGTTGAATATGACATACTTAGTCTTTGAAATTTACCTAGGAAGCAAGTTTTGCACAGATCCATGTCACTGCACTGTAGACACCGGTAGCGATGCCAGGGAGCAATCTCATCACACCCATCACAAGAGATGTCCACATTTAACAGGTCACAGTAGCGAGCAATAAACATGTGCATCTGTAAGGTGAAATAAACACAATTAACCATGAGACTTTCTAATGTGGCCACTATTCATTAACCAACTCATTCATTCAATAGGTACTCAAGATGACCCAGGCATTATACTAGGTGCTAGGATTTGAAGCTGAATAAACTAAGTGTCTAGTTGGGAAATCCTTTAAGCAAGTAGATGATGATCATCTGGGTGTGATATGTGCTTTCACATACAAATTTGGGAGGCTTACAGAACATAGAGGATGGCTATCACTGGGTATTAGGAGGGTCAAGGAAGGTTTTCCAAAGGAGATAAATTCCTCAGTTGAGACCTGAGGGAGAAAGAGGTACTAGTTGGGAGGGGATAAATGTGGTTAGACATATCAGATAAAAGTAAAAGATATAGAAAGTTCTACAGGAAGCAAAAGACGGCAAGACAAGGGTTTATGAAGTTGGCGATAACCCTTTATGTAGAATATAGAGAAGGTGGGGGAATAACCAGATGAAGTTGAAAAGGTTAAACCACAAGGAACTTGAATGCTAGCCTAAGGAGCTATTGACTGTTTTTAAGTAGGAGAGTAATGGAATTAGATTTGAATGTTCTGAAAGTTCCCCTGATCTCTGAGTAAAACAAGGGATTGAAGAGGGCAAGACRAAATGATGACAACAGAAGTTGTTCAAATGAACAGGTAATATGGCCTGGAACTGAGCAAGAAGTTGGGTAGGGAAAGGTGAGCAGACTTGAGAGGTATTCAAGAGGCAGAAGTGAGAAACCTTGGTGACTGACTTGATGTGGGGTTCAGTAAAAGGGAACAGCCAAGAATAGCATCCAAATATTTAGTTTGGGTTTTTGGCTGGACATTGGTAGCGTTCACAGAGACAGGAAACACTGCAAAAGGTGCATTTTTTTTAGGTGCTAAGAAATAAACTTTTGGCCAAATTATATTGTTATATTGTGTGCCTACACCAATATGTAACAACAAATCCCATCAATATGTACAACTACAATGCACCAACAACAAAAAATGAAGAAATTAAAAAAAAAACTTTAGGGAGATAGTAAAGACACTGTTTCATAAGCAAGCAGATTGTTTACTGGAAATATTTGGAGGCTATAGTACAATTTATCTTTAGGGCCTAGAAATGAAGGAACTAAATATGTAAGTCACATATAGTAGTAGATATGTAGCAGCAGAGGAAATATGTCCATCACTTGAGAAATACAGAATGGCTCCAAATAAGGTATTAACATAAAAGAGAGAAAAAATCACAAGGCTCAATTGTGGGCCCAGAGAAAAATTCCAAGCACTACAGAAGTGCCACATGAGCAAAGTGGTCAGCGCAAGTAGGCACTCAAGCATAAAATACGAATGACTCTGAGGCAAGCAGAAGCCTGGCACCTGTGGTAGCAACAAAGTTAACACCTAATGTGGAGATGGATGGACAGGCCACCTGAGCCAGGTGCCTTACTCATCTGCATCATGCAGCTCTGACTGCAGTATACAGATGGCTGCTTCCTCACTCATCAGACAAGCATCCCTGGTGCTTGCCTCCATGAAGAAAATGTGCTGCCCAAGGACACAAGAACCCAGGTCCTGTAACAATTCTATTTCTCACTGTAAATTAACGAATCGATACCTAACACAGTACATCAGCCTTGCAAGACACTCTTTTTTGAGTCTAGTTCTGTGGGAGGGAGCCATTGACAGTCACATCAGYATGCAGAGCCTCTCAGGTTAATACCAGATATGAAGGTCCAGAATGCCCTCTCAGGAGAAAGCCTGCCAGCAGGCCCAAAGCACACCCTCCTCTCCAAACTCTAGATCACTCTAATTGGGAGGTCTTACTTTCCTCTGCTTCTCTGGATCCTCCTGGGCTATTTTTTCATACCAGGCCTCAAACATGCCATCCTGACACTCATCCATCCACTCTGAGTTTTGCTTGGCATCAGCAAGCTCATCTTCTTCACTCCACTGGCTAAAAGGAGGGCAAAAAAGAGAAAAAAAAAGCATAAACAAACAAACAACAACAACAACAAAAAACCGAGATGGGGGGAGGGAGAGGAAGGGAGGAGAGAAGAAGAAGAGGGAGCATGCATCTCTGGATATCCAAGGAAAGCGCTAGTTAGCAGATTCCATGACCTATGGGTCTAATAGACTGGGCAATTTTAAACATTTTAAGAGAAAAGTCAACTACTTTTAAAAACTGCAGGGTCTGTCTACTATTTGCTAGATATATGCTAATAAAAATGGAGAAGCCCCTTTCAGAGTAGATTACCCTGGGTGAGGTGAACCAACCATGTGCCAGGCTCTTGGGCCAAAACAGTGATTTATTTATTTATTTTTTTTTTAAAAGAGAGAGTGAGAGAGAGAGTGAGAGTGAGAGTGAGAGAGAGAGAGACAGAGAGAGAGAGAGAGAGAGAGACAGAGAGAATTTTTAATATTTATTTTTTAGTTCTCGGTGGACACAACATCTTTGTTGGTATGTGGTGCTGAGGATGGAACCCAGGCCGCATGCATGCCAGGCGAGCGTGCTACCGCTTGAGCCACATCCCCAGCCCCCAAAAAACAGTGATTAAAAAAAAAATGTTCTATATGGATATACTTAGAACATCCTAGTGGAATCAGCACAAAAAGGGAGTCAGGACATATGACTTCAGCTCCACCACTAGCTGCTACAAGGCCTTGATACATTAGAGTAGGCCCTCTGTATCTGTGGGTTCTATAGCCCAGAGTTCCATGTCCCTAGATTCAACCATCATTGAATCAAAAATTAGAAAAAAAAAATTGTGTCTGTTCTGAATCAGTTTTTTTTTCTTGTCATTATTCCCTAAACAATGTGTAACAATGTATAAATAGCTATAGCAATGTAATAGCTATTTAACTTAATAGCTATTTAAGTATCATTTATATTATGTTGGACATTATAAGTAATAATTTGAAGTATATGGGAGGATGTGGTAGTTCATATTTTATATAAGGGACTTGGGTATCTGCAAATTTTGTTATTGGTGAGGGGTCCTGGAACCAATCTCGTAAGGATACTGAGGAAGACTGTATTTTGCCCTTGTCCTGTCTCCTCATTTTAAATAAAGGATTTCAGGTAGATAATCTCATGGGCAGGTTCCTTTTAGATTCAAAACTATAAATTTCCATCATTTCAGTTTACAGTTTGTTTTAGCAACAAGTATTTTAAACACAAAATGATTTGCTTGATAGCAAATGCAAAATGTTCCAACCAACAAATAAATATACATTCATTCATGTATCCCACCTAAATGATTTTAGGTCTACTCTTCATAGCTTTGGGCTAGTGCCAGGAAGGATTGGTGTGAGGGGTGTGACCTACCCCTAAAGACTGTATCATGTAGATGCAGACAAAGCTTGAAATAATGGCAGACTGACAGAAGATGAAACCGCATGTTGATGCCCACCCAGTGTTGTGTTCCCTTTCTCTGCCCTCATTGCTCTCTGGCAGCAGATCAAGGCTGAAGTCAAACAAGAAGACAGCTTTAATTGTGTCTTCTTTTCTCAGAATATCTCTCCTGAGAGTAAAAATTGCCTCACTGATTTATTTCTTCCTCATTCTCCCCTCTTGAAGCCTGCTCCCCCCGACTCTATTTTCTTCTTTCTTTCCACACACACAAGTAGATAATGGTAAGTGTACCTGGACTTTGAAGAGACATTCGTCAAAAATGGAATGGAAAAAAAAAAACTTGCAAATTATTTTTTCTTATAAGGTAAGTCCTTATATAAGTCCCTATATTTATTAGAATATAGTGGCTAATACCACTCATAAGTGTTAAAGAAAAAAAAAAAAAGGAAAAGAATTCTCCAATTCAACAAGCTATATTAGGATCTCCAAAAAACAAACAAACAACAAAAAAAAACAAATCCTCATTTTCTGAGTTCACAATACCACTGCTGCCAATTTACAAAGCATCACTAAGTGTCAGATATCATTTGAATTCAGAAATAAAACTTATTTATTCCTCATGACCAGCCTCAGAGGCTGATTGTGTTATCATCTTATCTCTAAAGATGAGGAAACTGAGGCACAGAGGGATTAAATAACTTGCCCACAGTCACCCAGCCAGTGTGTGGCAAAGCCAGGATCTATATTACACAGACTCTTGCTCTGGAGCCCATGCCCTTCACCCTTATGCTATGATCCCTGTATCTTATCATCTACTTTAAGAATTGCGGAATACAGGACTGTGTTTTTACCTGATCACACTGTCATGGACACTTATATTTTCCTGTGACATTTTCATGAGGAGATCTGGTAACTGAATGTCAACGAAGAAGGCAAGGTCACTGGGTTCCCAGCCCATATCCAACAGATGAAGCAGGGCTGTCTGAACACAGGATAAGGCAGGCAGCAGGGATCTAAGGAGGCCACAGAAGTGATAGTTACCAGAGCTGTCCATAACCAACATAGACAACAGGGACAATGCAAGTCAGTATCTGATCTGTAATAGGAAAGCAGAAACATTCATATTCCATACAAATATCTTCCAAAGATTAAGCAAAAGAAGCCTGAAAGGTGTAAGGTAAGTTTTCCATTCTGGCAGACCTACTACAGGGCCTTCTTTACAGTAGAGGCTGAGCAGTAAAGGTCAGCAAATTGGGCCACCCCAAACTAGCTAAAGTTATGCAATTTAGATTTACAGAAGAGACATATGACTTAAGGTTTATATCTAAACCACTTAGTAAGGAGGATACTGAAAAATAGTTTTATACTCAAGTTTTAAAACTACAAATAATACATCAAAAACTAAAAATAATAGGTTATAAAACTCTTAGATAAAACAAAACTCATACTTAATGTACATATTAAACAGAAAAAAGACTAGCAAAAAATATACTAATAAATTAACATTAATGAATAGTTCTAAATGATAAGATTAGAGGCTATTTTTATCTTATCCTTTCTTTTCAACTTTGAAGAAAAAATACATTTTTTTCCTCTAGAAGTTAAAAAGTCATCCAGTACCTGTCATTTATGCTATTAAATCCTTTAATTGCTTTGACCAAAAACATAACAAGTTGATAGTAAGTGTCTCGAATTTCTTTGTGTAGATCAGCACCACAGCCTTCCAAGTGTCCAAAGTAACTAGAAAGAAAGGAAACCATGGACTTAATTGCCAAGACAGCTTTTATTTAATAATCCTTATTCCTTACATGAAAGAGCCCAGAAGCAGCAAGCTGAACAAAGTGGTGCTGAAACTTAAATGATAACAGGAGTAATAATTTTAGAAAGTAATGGAGAAAACAGCAAGTGAGTCAAATTGACCAGGTCAAGAGCTACTTGACAGAAGTTTGGAGATGATTAACTATTCATCTTTCTTTTATTAATTAAAAAACCATGCCTCCCCCCTACTCCTTGAGTGCCAGATACTTTGTTAAGTATTTTCAACAAATTATCTCATTCAGTCATCTCCACATAATCATGCCCCACCCTTTTGCCTCCCTTGATGACTTTAGTATTAAGGTCACTGGCTTTTTTACCTTCATCCTTTTTATCTTAGTGACTTCAACATCCCCAGGAGTGATGCCACTATTCCTTTTTCTCTCAAACTCTCTGCCACCTTCATTGCCAAGGATCTTCTCTTCCATTCCCTTAGCCATCCCAAGTTGATGGTCATTTCCTTGACACTGTCATCAACTGATGGCTGACTTCAGAGCATGCAACTCTGCCTAGAACCTCTCATCCTGCTTGCTATCTTACTGTGGACTCTCACACAATCTCTTCTTCAATTCCAAATGAGCCCTGGCCCATGCCAACTCTCTGGCTTCCTTCTACTTCCATCTGCTTGCCGAGAAATTTTATACTTGTATCAAAACTGCTGTATGTAGCTAGGTCACATAAACAAGTGGACCAGTGTCACTTTAAATTCATGACTATAATTCTCAAATAAGCACTTAGAAATATTWTAAGGCAGTCTCATAGACTGATTTTATCAATTTTCATATCAGCTAGAACCTTCTTGCTTCTCCTTAAACAGCCTTCTCAACCCTCCATTTTTTGATGACTATCCTCACATTTTACTTTAAAAAAAAAAACATAAGTGATTAAAGGAAATCCCTCATCTTTGTACCACCCAATTTAGCAACCAACTTGCATCTGCACTGAACTATCTGTCTATCCTGTTTCTTTCTGCTATCACAAAGCTACCTTGATTCTGTGCAAAGCCAAATTCAACTCCACAGCTGCTACTGCAGACTATCCCCACTTCCCCTACATTGGCTTCCCCTCCAGCTGATTCATTCCCATCAATATTCAAAAGCATTCCAACACCTCAGTGGCAAAGCTGGGGGTGTAGCTCATGGTAGAGCATGTGCTCAATCCCCAGCACCACAAAAAATCAAAACAAAACAAAATCCTTAGTTGTCCCACATCCCCCCTTCTCTGCTCCCTTCTAAGTTCAAAATTTTTTAACTAATTGTCTTTAGTCTGTTTTTGCCTCATATCACCCCCATTCTCTTTCAATCCAGTCCAACTGGGCTTTCAGCCCCCTGAGTCCACCAGGATTTTTGCCAAATACAGTGTGTTTTTATCTCACTTCTTGCATCAGCATTTGACACAGCTGACCATTCTTTCTTTTTTTTTAATGTCAATGTGACCTTTATTTTTTAAATTTATTTATTTATATGCAGTGCTGAGAATCAAACCCAGTGCCTCAACACATGCTAGGCAAGAGCTCTACCACTAAGCTACAAACCCCAGCCCTACAGTTGACCATTCTTGTCTTTGGAGAGACATTCTTCTCTTGGCATGTATGGCACCACCATCCCTAAGTTTCTAATATATCTCAAGGGCCCTTTTGATAACATTAGTTGCCTCCTCTTCCTCTGTTTGATTTCTAAATAAAGATTCCTAAATAAAGGCTCAATCCTGGGCTCCTTATTGTCTATCTCTGCACTCTTTCTAGGTCTCATCTGGTCTCATGGTTTTAAAAACCATCTATAGTGGATGACAATTGAATTCTATCCCTCATCCTGACTTTTTTCCAGGACTTCTGACTCTAATCTCGGTCTTCCAGATATCATCTGGATATCAAAGAAGTGGTTCAAACAACATGGTCAAAACAAAACTTTTTATTCTTGCCCTATCCATTTCTTTCATATTCTCTTCCTCTGTAAAATACATCACCATGTACCTGGTTGCTCCAGGAGAAATCCTAAGAGTTTCTTTTCCTATGATTCCTACCTTTCATTCACCCTTTCTGTCTAACCTACAGATAAGTCTGACAATTCCACCTCCAAAATCTATCCTGAAGGTCGTCCTTTTTCTCTATTTCTAGCAGCACTCCATTGTTCAAACCATCACCATTCCTTGTCTGCTTAGGACACAATAGTGTCCTATAATAACTACTATATCCTAACTGCTTTTCTTATTTCCACTCTTTTCACACAGTGGCTAGAGGTATCTTTTATAAATCAAAGTGTGCTTCTTCTGGGCCTCAAAATCTTCAATGGTTTTTTCCATCTACAACTCAGTATAAAATTCACACATCTTGGTGTGATCAGAGTCCTGCCTAACTTTCTGACCTTGCCTTATGCCATTTCCCCTTTCACTCAGCCATGCTGTTCTGTGGATTAATTCCTAGAATCTTTGTATTGTTCCTTCTACATCTTTCTCCTGATCTAATCTTTTGGTTTACATGTCGTCTCCTCAGTCTGCTTTAACCTGACTACCCAAAGTGCGTAACTGTATTAAATCACCACATAGCAATGTCACTATCTGATTCTTTACTTTTTTTTCAATCCTCCTGGTCCTGGGGATTGAACTCAGGGCCTCACACATGCTAAGCAAATGCTCTACCACTGAACTATATTTCCAGATCATTCAATTATTATTATTATTTTTTTAAAGAGAGAGAGAGAGAGAGAGGGCTGGGGATGTGGCTCAAGCAGTAGCACGCTCGCCTGGCATGCGTGCGGCCCGGGTTCGATCCTCAGCACCACATACCAACACAGATGTTGTGTCCGCCAAGAACTAAAAAATAAATATTAAAAATTCTCTCTCTCTCTCTCCCCCCTCCTCTCTCACTCTCTCTTTAATAAATAAATAAATAAATAAATAAATAGAGAGAGAGAGAATTTTTAATATTTATTTTTTAATTATGGGTGGACACAACATCTTTGTTTGTACGTGGTGCTGAGGATCGAACCCGGGCCGCATGCATGCCAGGTAAGCGTGCTACCGCTTGAGCCACATCCCCAGCCCCTCAATTATTATTATTATTATTATTATTATTATTATTATTTATTTATTTATTTATTTTTTTTGGTACCAGGGATTGAACTCAGAAGCGCTTAACCACTGAGCTACACCTCCAGCCTTTTTAAAATATATTTTTAAAAAAAATTTTAAAAAGATTTTTTAGGTATGGATACAATATCTTTATTTTTATTTATTTTTATGTAGTGCTGAGGATCGAACCCAGCACCTTGCATGTGCTAGGCAAGCCCTCTACCGATGAGCCACAATTCCAGCCCCCTTATTTTTTAAAAAAAATTTTAATATTTATTTTTTAGTTGTAGTTGAACACAATACCTTTATTTTATTTATTTATTTTTATGTGGTGCTGAGGATTGAATCTAGGGCCTCACACATGCTAGGTGAGCATTCTACCGCTGAGCCACAACCTCAGTCCTCTTTTTTATATTTTATTTAGAAACAGAGTTTTATTGAGTTGCTTAAGGCCTCGCTAAGTTGCTTAGACTGGCTGGAACTTGTGATCCTTCTGCCTCAGCCTCCCATGTTTCTGGGATTACAGGCGTGCGCCACTGCACCTGGCTCTTTTATTTTATTTTGAGAAAGAGACTCTTGTGAAGTTGCTCAAGCTGGCATCAAACTTATAATCCTTCTGCTTTAGACTCTTGAGTAGCTGGGATTACAGGTGAGTGCCACTGTACCTGGCATTATATATATATATATATATATATATATTTAGTTATAATTGGACACAATACCTTAATTTTCTTTATTGTTTTTATGTGGTGCTAAGGATCGAACCCAGTGCCTTGCACATGCTAGGTGAGCACTCTACTGCTGAACCACAACCCCAGCGCCCCCAGCATGATATTTATTTATTTAATTATTTTTAAATGCTCTCTCTTGCTCTTTAGTAGAGAATAAGCTCCATTAGAACCTTGTCTGCCTTGCCCATTATTACATACAATGCTTACAAGGGTAGACACTCAAAAAATTATTTATCAAGCAAAGGCTAGAACCACCTTGAGAGATAGGTTAATATCATTACTGTAAATGAGCATTACATTTAGCTCAAAGCTGCCAGGGGATGAATGACAGTATGGATACACAAGGAATACAATTCTGACTCTCTAATAAAATAAAGATGGTAAGTCATCAGGAAGATTGAACATGTTCCTGGTACTTTCTAAAATGATATAACCCATTTTTCCTTAGAATGAGAAAATAAATTCAGCAAAAATATAACTTAAAACTCCTAAATAGAAATGACAGTTATTCATTAGAGAAGACAATTAGGACTTCTTTACAATGACCTCTGCTTGGTCTCCTTGCAGAGTCAGCATTTGTACTTACTTGGTAAAATCTTTCTGACAGGTCAGGAGTTCCAACAGGAAAAGTATATATGGTGGATGGAAGCAGTGAGGCTGCCCAAGAGACTCTGTACAGTACTGAATTATCCTCAGGACTTCCAGGATGCTCTGGGCTTGGGCTTTCCTCAAGGAAAGAACCTTTACAACACTAGAGAAAGAATTCAAGTCAGGAATACCCAGAAAACTCCTGAATTGGGGTGGAAAGAAAATGTATCCTCCACCCAAGTTCTGAAGCCATATGAATGAAAAGGAGAGACTTATTGTGAGGATTAGAAATAACACGAACAGTATCAATATCTGTTTGCTATGTTAGGTCATCACTCAGCATAACAAATTAGTACACATTAACTGCAGAAACCCAACAATTATTTTTTTTTAGTACCAAGGATTAAACTCTGGGGCACTCAACCACTGAATCATATCTCCAGCCCTATTTTGTACTTTATTTAGAGACAGGGTCTCACTGAGTTGCTTAGAGTGTCACCATTGCTGAGGCTGGCTTTTGAACTTGTGATCCTCCTGCCTCAGCCTTCCGAATAGCTGGAATTACAGGTGAGCGCCACCATGCTCAGCTCAACAACTTACTTTTTAAAATTAAATAATTCAAAAGGAACTATAACGTCTTTACTTCCCTGAAGAGAGACAAAGCTTTCATTCTTAGCATAAGAAATTCCTCACTAACTTCAAACCCATCATACTTTCAAAGAGGTAGGTCTATGGCAAGTAATTTTTGTCAGAAAACATTAAATTCTAAATTTCCCCCATGGTTAAAGTAAGACAAAATTTTAAGTGGCAGCTACCAAAGAAATGCTTCGTCTTTTTTTTTTTTTTAAGTCCTAATGATACATTGCTGAGCTATATTTTACAAATAGTATAATGTCCAAGTTTTAAGTGAAAAAAAAATACTCATAAGGAAAAAAATTAAAAATTTTTCTTGAATATTCAAAATAAGACTTGGTTTATCCTAAATATTATCTGTTCTTTTTAACATGAACTTTAAGCCTTTGACTATACTGGGTACCTGTGTCTTGAAAAGACAGAATACTAGGAAGGAATGATTGGCTCACCTCTCATTAGAGATTGACTGATCTTTAATGAAGTCCATGACATCCTTTAAAACTGGGTATTTCTCTTTCACTGTGGGCACTGGTCTGGCCTCCTCCATGGATCTGAAGGACAGCAGCCGGAGTCGCCCTCGAGTGAAGGGGGGCCGCCGGGTAGGTGTGGAAGGTGATGAGGGCTCTTCAGCTGTAGAAGGTTCTGCAGTGGGAGGGCCACTGCTGGGTGGCAACTTTGGTGGGATCTCCAAGCCAGGACTCTTGTCTCCTACAGTTGGGGCTGCTGTTTCAGTGGGTGACGCTGAGGCTTGGAAATGCTCTTCGACCACAGAGCTTGTCCTCTGGCGCCTGTCAAGTGGCTGGAGATGATCAGTTTCATCAGCAGTCATCACCTTGTCACTGCTTTCTTTTGAACTTTTAGCCATGGGCAAAAATTTTAGTAATAGAAGACTTTTCTGAATACACTCTTTTGCTAAATGAAACAAACAAAACAAGAATGGTAATGAACAAAAAATTAAAATTAAATATATTGCCTACTTTCAGAGAGAAAATAATCTATTTAACTTTCTGATGTAGGGCAAGAAATACCTTCGTTAATACTGTGATATACACATGTACTGATGGAATAGAAACAAATTTTATCTCCCTATCTAAAACCAAGATCTTTCCAGGATTATGCTGGAATAGTTTCATGGTGAACATTTCAAACATATAGAGAACAGTGTAAGAACCTCTCAATATACCTATTATCCACCTTTAGTAATTATTAACTCATAGCCAATCTTGTTCCCCCCACCCGCACTGGCTCCCATTCCCTGAATTATTTCCATGTACATCCTAGGGATCAGACTTTTTCACCTATAAAAACTTCAGCATATTTGTTTTGTGCATATACAGTACTAGGGGTGGAACTCAGGGCCCTGCAAGCTAGGCAATGTTTCATTTTCATACAGGGTCTCACAAAGTTGCTGAGGCTGACAAGGCAAGTAATCAGAAAGATGTTCCACTTTAGAGCATGTCAATAAATAATTATTCCTCTCTGGCATTTTCTCCATTATTGACAAGTATTAGGAAACAACATTTAGCAACTTTATTACTTTTCTTTGGTCTACGTGGCCTCAACTAGCATAACCCGAAGGTAGGGTGCTGGTTCTCAAAGTTCTGAAAAGAAAACTGAAGGTCAGATGACCACAGCTGGCGGTGGCACACTCACCCAGGCTCTCTGGATTTGCCTCAGTCGCTTCCGAACTGTGTTTTTCTTCTGCCTCGCTCCCCAGGCTCATCAGGGACTTCTGCTTCATCTCTAACTGGGGAGAGGATTTGAGCCACATAATTAAGCTGTCCAGACAGGGTGTCAAGGGCAGTTACACTGAAGTACTTTAAAGGCACACAGCATTGAAGAGCACAGAGGACTTTATAGCTGTTATTCAGCTGCTGAGGACACAGGGCTGAGCTGTTTTTGTATGTTCTGAAAGTCTTCCAGGCTTTGAAATTGTCTAAATGTATATCTGCAAAACTACCTTCTTTTCAAGTATGTGTTATTTAGGAGGATTTTATATACATGACTTTATTAGTTAAAAAAAATCTAAAACATTAGTATACGAGATGCCTATAGTTAAAGCTTACTAGTACAGACAAAGAAGCTGAGGTCTAGAGAAAGGGTCAAGCTTGGACCAAAAAAATTTCATTTTTGAGATGGGCTCTCACTGTATTGCCCAGGCTAACCTCAAATCCTTGGACTCAACTGATCCTCCTGCCCCAGCCTCCTGAGCAGCTGGGATTACAAGTGTATGCCACCACATCTGACTTAGACAAAATTTGATCCATTCTATCTTGAATGAGAAGAAACTCCTAAGTGCTGTTGAGACTTCTAGGTAGAGAATGGTGATTTTAGTTATAGTCCAGGCAATGGTCACACCATGGGCCACAATGCTGAAAGCTCAGGCAGAAGGCCATGTGTGATGTATGAGGTGTCAAGGTACCAAAGAGAAGGTTGATATGTTGTCCAACTATGGACAGTCTGTTCTAGGCTAACCCAGGAGCATAACCTACAATGTGCCTTGTCAATTGCCAAATCCTTTTTACACGAATTGTCCATGGTGGCTGACTTTCCTAAATACTTCTTTCTTTAAACTTTACTATTGCCTTGGTTTCTCTGTCAGCATACTCTTCTGAATCTCTTCCTACCATTCTGAAAACAATGTCTTTTAGTTTCTTATGACAGATTCTGTTCACGTTGGTTTCTATCTATTCAGGATATATTGGGCACTAACCAATGTTATAGTCACTGTGTATCTGTCCAAGGCTGTGTGTTCCTAAATTCATATTTAAAAACAAAACAAAATAAAGAACTTACTACAAATTATTTAAAGTTTTCTTTATCTCTGCCTTGACATTTCTGTGAAGCATCATCCATTTAGGTTCTTTAATGAACTGTCCAGGTAGATGTCTTAGATAACCTAGATGTTTTTATACTCAACAGGTTCTAAACTGAACTTACCTCCTCACTCTCAGATCTAAGACTAATGCTTGGTCAACACTTCTATCACCCACCAAATCACCACCAGAAACCTGGGACTACTCTAAATTTCTTCTTCCTATTCACCACTCACATCAATCACAAAGCCCTGTGGATTTTATCTCCTCAGTTGCAAAAGCCATCCTCATCTAATTACTGCAATTAAGTCTTCTGCTTTCAATTTCATTATCTATCCTCTACTCAAAGATTTTTTTTCCTCAATTACAACATAATATTTAAGATGCATGCAAATATGTAAGGAATAATAACACTAATATATATAGATACTCATCTCCATGCCTAAGAAATAAAAACAATTTAGTGTTTATCTTTTTTATGAATTAATAAAAAGTTTTAACTACATACTTATAGGTGTAACACACAGATTTGTTTTGAATTAGGATCTTACAAGGATTTCCACACTTCTGCATTCTTTTGCAATTTGCTTTTTTGTTCATCAAGTCTGTGAGAGTTATCCATGGTGATACATGTGGCTCTTTTCATTCACTTTCATTGTAATATAATATTACACCATTATTTAATATTATAATGTAGTATTCTGTAATAATATAATATTCAGTATATCTTGTCACTTTTTCCTACTGATGGACAGCTGGTTCTTCCATGTTACTGCTGTCACACAATGCTACAGAACCATTTTTCTAAGATGCAGACCCGAGGCCTCTCCCATGCCTAAAACTGTCAATGGATGCTGAGTATATAAAGCAATCCTTTTCCTTCTGGTCTAAGAAGATCTATGGAGTAGCCTCTAGGGTTACTAAAAGATRTAAAGAGGGCTCAACTAAACCCTGTTTACTCAATATCTTCAACAATCACCAAATTACGATTTCTTTTTTTTTCCTCCACATTTTTTTATTGGTGCATTATTGTTGTACGTAGTGCTGGGATTTGTTGTTAAATGTTAGCATATGTATACAATATAACAATATCATTTGGCCAATATCCTGCCCCATAAATTATGATTATAAGGGTTCTAAATTATTATTTATATTCATATAGCCGAACTTTAGTTTAAAAAAATTCCTCATATTATATTCTTGAGAAGAGGCCTACTTACTTATTGCCATGATATCATGGTAGGAAAACCTAAAATATATCAAAATCTCATGGGAAGGAAAATCTTACCATCCATATTCGAATCCCATCCGCCAAAGAATACACCTGTGCAAACTCTTCACTCAGGGCTATCTTGCCCYGGCTGTTTACTAGGGAGAGGAGGAGAGACAAAGTGATTACATTCAGTTTACTCAATTCACTACTGTAGCTTTAAGCACAAAATATTTTCTGAACCTTTTAAAATACAGAAGAAGTCCTCCTGACACTCATGCATTAGGGGTGGTAAGAGAGACTTGAGGGGAAAAAAATCATTGATTAAGCCACAAATAGTTGGATGGGTTCTCTGTGTTATTTCAAACTAACTTCGTTCAAACTAATAATTTTTGAAATAGAAATACTACTCAAAGTGAATAAAATATAAAAAAAATACCTAAAGTAAAATCTTTAAAATATCAGGTCAGGGTTGAGTAACTCAGTGGTAGAGTGCTTGCTTATCATGTGCAAAGTACTGGGTTCAATCCCTAGCATCCTAAAACATAAAAAATTAAAACTGAGGAAAGCCAGTCACAATAGTGCAAACCTGTAGACCCAGCTATTCGTGAGGAAGATCACTTGAGCCAGTGAGTTCCAAACTAGGCTAGGCAACAGTGAGACACTGTTCTCAAAAATAAAAACAAACCAAAAACCGAGTAAAAAAATAATTACTGGGCTGGGGTTGTGGTTCAATGATAGAGCACTTGCCTAGCATGTGTGAGGCACCGGGTTTGCTCCTGAGCATCACATAAAAATAAGTGAGTAAATATATAAAGGTACTGTATCCATCTACAACTAATAATAATAATAATAATTAAAAAATAATTTAATTTTTAAAATTATTATTGAGATATCAATCAATCAATATATAACATAGATGGACATATACACACATAAAACACCTAGATAAAAGGTCAGTTTAATATATAGAAAAAATTAATAGAGATGTTTTCTAAATAGTGAGATTGTGGTTCATAATTTTTTTTTTTTCCAGAAGTAGAAATTAAACCTGGAGATTGAACCCAGGGGTACTCTAACAAAGAGATTCATCCCTAGTCCTCTTATGGTTTATTTTCAGATCGGGTCTCACTAAGTTGCCGAGGCTGGCTTTGAATTTTTGATCCTTTTGCCGTACCCTCCCAAGTCACTAGGATTACAGGTGTGTGGCACTGTGTACAACAAGTTTATAATTATTTTAAATGTTTCTAGACTTTTTCAGTCTCTACATGAGTATTTTTTTTATAATTTGAAAAACAATGTTTTTTAAAGACCTAAGAGGCCTGTCCCTCTCATAAACCAAAATACAATACAATAAARCAGTATGAAGCTCTCTGTTGCATCCATGTTCAATACAATAAACATTTTATGAAGCCCTAGCATGTGCTGGGTTCTACATTAGGCACTGTGAATACAATGCTGAGAAAAAGACATGGTCACTGACCTCATGTAGTGTATGTTCAAGTTGAAAAACTCCTTTCTTACATTTCTAACCCAATTTTTAGACAAAAAGCATTCTCAATGTAGCTCAGTTTTAAAGAACTCACGAATAGTCTCTATTATGATATCTATATCATAAAGGCAGATGCACAAAGAACTGAATGGGCCACATTCAACAAGGACAGACTAGAAACAAGCCGCATACAGCCAGCTATTTCTAGTTCCCACATTTTTAAATTTTATTTATTTATTTATTTATTTTTTAGTTCTCGGCGGACACAACATCTTTGTTGGTATGTGGTGCTCAGGATCGAACCCGGGTCGCATGCATGCCAGGCGAGCGCGCTATCGCTTGAGCCACATCCCCAGCCCTAGTTCCCACATTTGATTGTGTGTTTCTCTCCTACAAACACATATGTGGAATGGAACATGGTCTGACTTCCCCCTAGTAGGAAACATTCTGTTTCTCAGCTTTTAACCCACAGGCCTTTATCCATTTATTGAAAAGTCCCTCAAGTAACAAGGAGTGTCCAGCTTTCTTACTGTCATTTGATCACAAAAATATATATTGTTTTCTTTTTTTTCCTTCAAAACCATGCAGGTTCCCTTGTCCCTCTTCCCATTCCTTAGTGAAGATACACTCTCCCATATGACATTTGTTTCCATACATTACTCACATTTCAATGTAGTTTTATTTAGGTGGTGGCTTTTTTAAAGGAGATGTTAAGATTTGAGAAGTAATTGAGATAGTTTCTCAATCAGGAAATAAAGTGCAATGTGAGAGCTAAAGAACTAAGCAATACATGTTGCAGTGATAATATCAATTATAGTAACATGAGCAATAATCAATCACCTACTCTAAAGGAAGGAAGCATCTATTCTCACTTATTTCATCTGCATCAGAAAGAACACATACCTTGCCAAGCACCTGGGAAAAGCCTAAGCCTTATCTTTTTTTTAATATTTAATTTTTAGTTGTAGTTGGACACAATACCTTTTTATTTATTTATTTATTTCTATGTGGTGCTGGGGATCAAACCCAGGGCGTTGCACGTGCTAGACAAGTGCTCTACGCTGAGCCACAACCCCAGCCGTAAGCCTTATCTTTCTTTACATAGGATTTGCAATGCTTTTCCCTGAAAAACTGTGAATGTAGAGAGAGTAGAGATCTTCTGTGTGGATCCTGTTAGGATGTAAGCTACACATATGAACAACACGCAGAGATGGTGCCCTGAGGGAAGTGAGGAAGAGAAATGGTGATGGGAAGGATGTCCACAGACATCCCACCAGAGGCAGCCTGGTGGGATCATGCCACAGAGAAGCTGCAAGTCTAGAGAAAGAGTTAGTACCTTCATTTGCCTCCTTCTACAAGCATGTTATTAGCACAGTCAATAACTTAAATACCTGTGGCTTTAATTGGAATTTCTAGAATGTTGGAGCTAAGGAATTCTAAACCAATTTTACAGATGAGGAAACAGAGGTGCAGGAAGGTTGTCTAATTAATCTGAAGCAGTGCAGCTTCTGAGTTTCAGAACCGAAACCATTAAGGTTTCTTTCTATTAAATTTCTTGGAAGTTTTCCATGAGAATTCTGGAAAAAGACAAAGTATCTGCTAATTCAGAAACTCAAGGCTACTTGCCACATATAACTATCTGCTAACTATAAATTGGCCATGAATCTTTTGATTGACAAAGTAGAACAAGATGAAGTTTACAGTTGTAGATATGTGTTAACATTTTAGAATTTCTAAATTTTCCCTTAAGATAGGCTTCTTAAAACTTAGCAATTAGCCTTCAGATCAAACATATTCCCTGTAATATAAGTTACCATATTTTTGCAGCTTCTCATATAAGTCTGGAGTGCGATACACCAGAGCAGCAAAGGTGGCGTTCACAGCTTGATCAATAGTGGAACCAGCAACTATATCTGTCTTTGGGGCCTGTTTTCTACATGCCTGTATGAATCCTTTGAAAAGTTCTGAGTATGGCCCACAGAAGTTCTGAGCAGGCTCTGACTGGGCAAAATCAAGGAGAAAATGGCGGCAGGGATCGTCAGGGATGCTCTTAACCTAGGAACGAGAAAAAAAAAATCACATTTGAAATATTCATCAAAAAGTAAAATTTACTGAGCACCTACTAAGATAAAGCAGAAGTATAAACAAATGGTGCATACTCTCAGGAAGTTTAAATCTATTTTAGGGAGACCAGACAGATGTATATGGGTTAATAAAGGCAAATAAAAATAAAACTTAAATGCATTAAAACTAACACTACCATAAAGCAAAAGATTATCCAGTGCCAAATGCCTAAAGGGGACACCCAGTGCTGAGAACTCAAAGGAAGGAGTTCCTGGCAGGTTAAAGTAATTAAGAAAGCCTTCTGAAGGACTTGGGATTAGGGCTGAACCCTGAAGGATGGGAAGGCTTGGCCTTGAGGGATATAACCACTAGCAGAGGTTAAGAGTCAGTGGGGAGACTGACCTGGCCTGAAGTCTCAGCTGGGGAGTGGTGGGAACTAGAGTCAGATAGTTAAGGTGAAAGGAGACTGTAGAGAGCCTTGACTGTCACACTGAGGAGTTTAGACTTCACCCTGTGGGCAACGGGGAGCCATTAATGGTGCTTGGCAGTGGAATGACAAGATAATGCAGTGATTAAAAAAAAAAAAAAAAAACAACAAAAAAAAACTTGGCAGGTACCAATGTAATAATGCAGGTGTGATGAGGGCCTGGATAAAAATGGAGACAGAGGAAAGGACAGAGATGAACATCATAAGGAAGAATCTACAGGGCTTGCAACTGACTGATAGGAAAGGCAAGAGCAGGGCAGGGATGAAGGGGATGTGAGGGAGCAGTGGCTCTGGGCCTGGGCAAACAATGACTACAACAGAAGTGAGCAGTTAGTAAAGGAGACATTCTGGTTTTTTACTTCAGAGTTAATGGGAGTCAGGACATTAAAATGAAAACGCCTAACAGGAAGATGAAGATATGGAGAAGATACTGGAGTCTGGGAGAAGAAAGAGGGCTGGAAACTGATATTAAGGAATTATTCCTACAGATGGAACAGTTAAAGAGAAAAGAGAGAATAAAGTTTTGGTGGATGGTAGAAAAGGGGAGGAAGCCTGAATATAGCCTACCTTATAGAGAAGAAGGAATGAGAAGGGCCAACAGAGGAGGCACACAGAGAGTTGGATGTAGAGAAGACAGTGGACTATCATGGAATCAAAAAAAGAGAGGGTCTGAAGGAGTTTGATTTAACAGGGAAATAAAGGAGAGTAGAAATGGAGAAAGAGCCACTGACTTTGGCAATTGACCATGGAATAACTTGCAGGGGAAAGAAAGGGAGGGAAAGAAGAAGGAAGGAGAAATAATAGAATAGAAAAAGGGAAGGAGAGATGGAAAGTAGAAACAGAGGGCAAATTTTTTAGTTTTTAAAATATTATGAACACTTAAATAAAGTGCTACAGTTGTATGGAGAACAAAAGGAATAGCAAAAACCATTTACTCTAAAGTGTGACTCAGTAGGCACTAGAAACAGACTCCACTTGTTTGATTGATAATGCCATCAAGAAAGATTTACTGAATACCTACTATATTTCACTGGAGTCATTCCTTATTTTTGAACACCCGTTGCTGACTGGTCCCTGGGGTACAGTGGGATAACAAATAACAAATAACAGTTTCTGCCTCAAGGCACTAACAGTTTAATGGGGTGATAAGACATTAGTAAACAGTTTCCACCCAGATGTAAAGATGACAGAAGAGTAAATACCTCCTTCCTATCCTGGTGTGGGTGAGTGGGCCAGCTTGCTTCTAATTCCAACTCTGGACAAATCTGATGCCTGAAGACAGGTTTCCACAAAGGAGAGTTCAGGACTGAAGCCATTTTTGCCTGTGGTATTACCATGTTACTTCCTAACTCTGGAAAAAGAAGGTGACTTGTAAGAGTTCTATTTTTTCCTTAATACACTGAGATTCTTTGAACTAACAAAGAAAAGGGTTAAACAGAGAGAGAAAAAAAAAAAAAAAAAAAAAAAAACCTAAGAGGAAATTCACTCACATTTCCGAGAAACACATTATATATTAACCTAAACCAGAAGTCCTGAAATGCTGCTGTTCTGTGGGATAACTTCAGTTACAAGGTGCCTTTGAAGTGATTTACCTGTTTACTAAACTGAAAGCCAAATGTAATCTACTTCTAGCACACAATAGGAGGTCATTTAAGAATATTAATTATGAGAAAACATTCACAATTTATAAACTTAATTTTATTAAAAAAAATAATTAAACACCCACCATAGATCTAAATAGACACAGAAATAAAGATTAGGTGGAATTTTAAAAATGTTGATAATAGTTATCTCTGGGTGTTAGGAGTAAGGGTGATTCTACTTTTCTTCAATTTTTCTCCAGTATGTAATTTTTCTATGAGCTTTTACTTTTATAATTGGAAAAACTCAAGAGATCATACAGAAATAAAATATACTAGAAAGGTTTATTCTATAAGTTTTATTACTTATAAGAATTTAATAACAAGTTCTATAAATTGAATTTAATAACAAGTTGACCAAATCCATATTCACATATCTATATCTATACATAAATATTTACTCAAACAATATACAATTAATTTATTTTATTTTTCTGCCTTCTGGTTGGAGTATACCTAAATCTACCTCCAAAAATACATGATTATGATGTTGCTAAAAAATCCAGCTCTCTCTTTCTCTTGTTCTCTTTCAAYAGGGGGAATCCACAAAACCTTTTGTGATGTGGGCCAAAGACTGAGCCAAAAAACTTCATGTCAGCCGGGAGTGGTGGTGCACACCTATAATCCCAGCAGCTCAGGAGGCTGTGGCACGAGGATCACAAGTTCAGCAACTTAGCAAGGCCTAAACTACTTAGTGAAACCCTGTCTCTAAATAATATACCTATTATTTAGGGGATGTGGCTTAGTGGTTAAGCACCCCTGGGTTCAATGCCTGGTACCAAAAAAAAAAAAAGAAAAAAGAAATTTCATGTCAATGATGTCAAGTGGACAATTTATTCTGGCTTGGTTTAAAGGAAACTGAAGGGAATATTATCAATACCTTGCCCTAATCTTATGTGAAGATGCCACAAGGGAGAGTACATGTTTTGCTCTTAAACACAGTTGTAAGGAAAAGGAAGGGACAGGGCTGTGAACTTACGATACGTAGACTTGAGTGCCATGCACTGGGAGGCGAGGCGTCCCATCAGTCTGGAGACAAGGAGTTGTAAATCTAACCCCCAAGACACAGCAACATCAGGCAGGCCATAGGCAGTAACAGTGAATTTGTAGCCCCACTCATTGTTGCTGCTGTCAGAGTGAAAGAGGAACTGTAGCCGAGGACCATCCTTAAAGGTCACTTTCTAGAGACAGACAAATGTCATGTGGTCAAATAGATGTGAGGAGGGAGCATTTCAGTAGTAAACATGTTCTTTGTGACTCAAAAACTGGTCTCTATTTCCACAAGTGCACAACTACTGAAGGAGAAATGTACAAAGGTGTGACTGAAACACAAAATTTACTGCAACACTCATGAAAAAGCATAATTGTCAGAAAACTACTGCTTAGCTTTCTAAATTCAGATGCCCATCCGCCTACTACCTACTCAGCCAGTGATCACACCTGCTTAGTCCTTTGCTGCCAGCCAAGACCCCTGAGAGCAGAGAGAAGGTCAACAGCCTGGGGCAGCTCTTAATCTCCAACCCAGAGAGAGCAGATCCAACTGTGAACTGGACTCCTGGCTTTCACCATGGTCTGGGCCTTCATTCAGATCCACCAGTCCGTCCTTGACAAGAGTGACAGATCCTCATTTATTCTGGACAATGCTGAAAGAGTCTGGGGGTTGGTAAACTTTTCCTATAAAGAATGCAGGTGGCCAATATTTTAGGTTTTTCAGGTCATACAATCTGTGTTGTGACCATTCAACCCTRACAAAGCAGTACCAAAGTGGCTATAAGAGATAAATGGGTATGGTTGTGTTTCAAATCTTTTTTATTTATAAAACAGGCAACAGATTGTAGTTTGTCAACTTTGATACAAATCTTACTTTTATTAAATTGTAATATAAATGCTTCCCTTCAAAGATCACACCTCTTGCTCTAAGGGTTGACAGAATTGCTGCAGAAGTGTTTCATTTATTTCTAAGAATATCACTCACCTTGGGCCATTTGTAAGTGCCGACTTTTGTGTCATAGCGTGTTTTCCCACCTCTAGCATCAGTAAATTCCAGGTAATCATATCTGTGAAAGCATAATCTTTATTACTTTTCTTCTCTTGTTTTTGACCCATTATTGCTGGGGAGAAAAGAACATGTAAGTCTTACCTTTTTTCAGTTTCACACCTTTCGTCAAATTCCACCTCAAAATAGGTTGCCCCTGGGCTAACAAAGACAGACACCTCGTGGCAGTTATTTTCATAGTTGTGGGCAGACTCTTTGGTCCATGTATGCAGAACCACAGGCTGTTCTTGCTGCCAGGTCTCTACATCCAGCTAGGCAAACAAGTGAGTCAAGAAAAGACAGTATTCGGGCTAGGGTTGTAGCTCAGTGGTGGAGTGCTTGCCTAGCATGTGTGAAGCACTAGGTTCGATTCTCAGCACCACATAAAAATAAATAAATAAAGGTCCATTGACAATTAAAAATATATTTTTAAAAAAAGATAGTATTCATCACTCCACACCCAGCCATATGCAATAGGCTTTCTCTATCAGTGCTGTAGGCACATAAGCTTTGACAGCCCCATGCTGTCATGCAAGCTAAAAGACACCTGACCTTCCCATCTGAACAGAGATCAACAAATGTCTATCATTCAGCAAGGTAGACATGTGCTTTTAGTCTACTGTAGGAACTCTGGGATCAGTCTTTATCTTTTTTTTGCATTTTCCCTGGATCAAACCCAAGGCCTCACATATGTAGCCAAGTGTTCTACCACTGAGCTACATTCCCAGCCCAGAACTATTTCTTTTTTGGTTCTGGTGATTGAACCCAGGGGGACTTAACCACTGAGCCAAATACCTAGCCAGTGTAGTCAAATAGATGTGAGGAGGAAGCATTTCAGTAGTAAACACGTTCTTTGTGACTCAAAAACTGGTCTCTATTTTTTATTTTGAGACAGAGTCTCTCTGATTGCTTAGTGCCTTGCTGGCTTTGAACTTGTGATCCTCCTGTCTCAGCCTCCTAAGCTGCTGGGATTACAGGCATGCACCTGTAATCAAAACACACTTAGCCAGAACTATTTCTTACAAATCATTGACAATATGTATTTCCAGTGGGGTGGGGGAAGAACACTGAATTAAGAGTTTAAAGGCCTCATATTCCTACTTGGGACCTCAGCAAATCTAAGACCACTATCTCTCTTTGAATCTTTGCTTTTTAAAAAGACCTATTAAATATATGCCCTTTCTACTGCTAAGGGTTTTTTTGATACTTAAATAAGACTGTGAAAAAACTTCGTGTACTATAAAATTAAGTAAGAGAGACAATTCTTTTAAATGTCAGACTTTCTAACATGCCTTTTTTTTGGGGAGGCAGCGGGTACCGGGGACTGAACCGGAGGGTGCTTAATCATTGAGCCACATCCCCTGCCTTTTTAATTTTTATTTTGAGACAGGGTCTTGCTATGTTGCTTAGGGTCTCCGTAAATCACCAAGGCATGCTTTAAACTTGTGCTCCTCCTGCTTCAGCCTTCTAAATTGCTAGGAAAACAGTTCTAATTTGCCTTTCAAGATACATTTTCTCTTCTAGACTTCAATGATTATTCACATATATGGATCTTACGTAACTTTTTGTGTTATAATTACATAATTTACTCTTTGTATCTCCTTTCTAATGCTGACTATGACAAATAAACTTGGATCACCATTTATTCTCTTTGTTGAAAAAACCACCAATAAAATTGCCTTCTAGAGGCAACTTATTTGTGAAGATCTATAGTCAGTGGTATGTTCCATTCAGTACGGTCACATCTCTTTTGAGAGGAAGCAACACAGGGTCAAACACCCACTCAAGTTACCTTATTTGGCCCTCCTTCAGGGTCACTGCAGAGCTTCTTCAATAGCTCTGTTAGGGTACTGAACTCTCTCAAGAGTGTGCAGTGTGAAATGTCTAAAGTGCAGAAGTCCAACAGGAAGATGACCTAAAGAAAGATGAACAAAGGCACCCAGTGTCCACCTCAGGCCCTGCCTGGGGTACTGGTCACCAACCCCTACTCTGCTTGTTACATTTTCTTACCAGTTGACGAGCTGCCATCGAAAACACTGAATTACATAATTTTTCTACTATGGTTTTCCCACTATACTGTGACAAAAGGGATTCCAAAATCACTCTCATGCTTGCCAGAAACTGTGCCACATCTATCAAAACATAAAGAAAGCGGTTAATATTTTATATGGAAGGAATATCACTTGCTTAGTTGTTACCAAGAGCAAAGCCAGAGAGGACCACAGAAGCTGTGTGTGTGTAAGACTCAACAATAGAAGACCAGGGGACCACCAAGCACCATCCAAATGCTTTCCTCTGGAAGGGAAAGTAATGCAAATTTCAGTAAAAGGTTACTTTTAAAGAGATGTTTTCTGTCTTTGTTAGTTTTTGATGAAGTGGAGATATCACTTCTATAAGTGAAGTTACATTGTCAGTGGGCCCAGCTCTCAGCATCCTTTTTTCCTTTAGTATACAATGGGCCCATGCATTAGGGGCACCAATCTGAAGGAACAGGTTCCAATTATAGGACTCAGTACCCTAAGCATTTATGCCATAGCTGCTCAGGTCAGGTTTGATGAAACCAAACTTTTCCCACCCAATTTCTCAGAACTTGTTAGTTTCATATAATCTTCTGTGGGTTTACAGGACATGAATTTGAGTACTCTCAGGACTGGCAGAGGTCACAGCTGTATTCATACACCTTGGATGCTAAAAGCTCAAAACTCTTTTTTAGATGACTTGATTAAGCCAGGGATGACAGACTCTCCTGACAAGTGAGACATCATCTAAGAGTGCTGTGTGACTGAAGAGAGAATGTCAGGTTATGGAATGACCCAATTCCTCAAAAAAAAAAAAATACTAAGACATATACCACATTCAGATAGGAAATTTTGAGCAAAAAGACATACTATAGAATTCTATTTTAAGAAGACAAAAGTTACCCTATTCAGTTTTTTGGTTTTATTTTGTGTTTTTTGTTTTTGTGGCACTGGGGATTGAATCCAGTAGGGTTCTACCACTGAGCAACATCCCCAGCCCCTTTTATTTCTAATCTTGAGACAGGGTATCACTAAGGTGCTGAGGGTCTTGCTAAATTTCTGAAGCTGGCTTCAAACTTGTAATTCTCCTGCCTTAGCTTCCCGAGCAGTTGGGATTATAGGTGTGCATCACTGCACCCAGCACAGATCTAAACTCTAATAAAGAACCAAGTGCACATCTCTGTGTGAGTTACAAAAGAGAAAGTTTTTGTGCAGAGTTAAATCCAGACAYCTGCTCTTGTGTATTTAATATCAGCACTCACATTTTTCGATAAGGTCCACGGCCAGGCCTTTAGCTGCTGTGTCAGTTGCCTTTAGCTGCAGATAGCACCAGGAGAGCAGGCTGCCTTGGACAGACCAGAAGAGGGAGAGGAGCACAGAGCCAGCCTCCCCTTGGGTCCCACTGAGCATCAACAGCTCACACTACAAGGAAGCAGACAAATACAAAATGTCCCAAGCAGGCTACTCAAAGAATACAGCCAAGGGCCCTCTATGGGAGCAGCTATTACTAGCAAAAAAAAAAAAAAACTATCTGTATGGGGAATAGTCTCAGAAGAGTTTTCAACCCAGAAGTGAACCAAGAAAGATGGCATTATGAAAACTCCTCTCTTGCCCTGCAATTTTCAGAAACTTTACAGCAATGTTTTCTGCTCCATGGGATATTTCCTTCCACAGCTCAGGAACCCACCCCACTGCTTATTTCTTCCCTGTCTTACATCTTAAAATTTCTTTTCTCTTTGGCTCCTTCTCCTGAGCTTTCAGTTAAATCTTTCTCACCTTAAAATAAATCTTCATCTTTCCATGGCTCTCTAATCATCATCTTTGTTATTGGGAGTTTCTTTGAAGTATCACCTGACCTTTAGAGATAAACTCCTACACATAAGTATCATGAGGTATGCTTGTATTGGCACTGWCATGGGCTCAAGCTGGAACTAACCCAACAATCCCTCCAAAGTAAAAATGGATAAAAAAAAGTGTGACATGTTTATGGAGGGAATACTGCACACCAGGGAAAGTATATGACAACACATATATCAACATGAATGAATCTCAAAACATGCCACAAAAAGATTGTACACATATGATTCTGTTAAAGGACAAAAATCAGGAAAAATAAACACATTGGGTATGGATAACTACAAGGAAAAAGAAAAATAAGGAATGATGAACACAAACTTCAGAATGGTGGCTGTAGCTGTTGAGGAAAGTGGAAGGTGAGCCATGAAAAGACATGGGGATGGGGGACGGGATTTCAAAGATACTAGTAATGTTCTAATCCTTAAATGAGAGTTGCTTCTGTAAACCATCTGTACACACACACACACTCTTTCATGAGTGTATGTGCATATGAGGGTCCTGGAGATTGAACCCAGGGGTGCTCTATCACTGAGCTTCACCCTAACTCATCTTTATTTCTTATTATGAGAAAGGGTCTTATTAAGCTAAGGCTGGCCTTGAACTTGTGATCCTCCTACCTCAGCCTCCATGTAGCTGGGATTATAGGTGTGGGCCACGGCACCTTGTCATATATACTCTCTCTCTCTCTCTCTCTCTCTCTCTCTATATATATATATATATATATATCTCATTTTTAGAAGTTGCCTCTGTCTTCTGAGGCTTTGCTTTCCCCTTCCCTCCCACTCTGCTGCTTCTGTGGATACCACTCCCCTCAGACACCATTTACCACCTGGTGAGCAAATCCTTCCCACTGAACCTCAGAGACTCTTTGACCTCTATCCCCCATGAAGCTCTGTCTCCTCCTCCAGCTTCTGTTTTTCCTGAATTTCTTCCTGAGACTCTACCCCTTCTCTGTAAGATTGCCTCAAGAAACACATGGATGACATGATACTATCTCTAATCATGACTTCAACTATCACTTGTTTTTTACTGATTACAATCTCCAGCACTGACTACGACCCTGAGTGCAACCAGTCTCAACATCTGAACACTGGCAGAACTATGAACTAAGCATGCTCGGAGTCCACCCATTATCACTCCTGCTCTTTGAACACCTGCTCCTCCCCACCTTGTCACAGGCTTCTGTGTGTGCCAGTCCCTCCATCTACAGTGCCACTCTGTTCTTCTTTGCTTGCTTAAGCCTTATTCATGGTCTTGTGCAGAGCTTCAGCACCATCTTCTCCAAAATGCCTTTTCTCAGCTCTACCAGACATGGTGAGGTATGAATCCCTGACTCCCCCAAGGACCCCATACCCATCCTCTGACAGTCCTTGCCATGTGGTCAGAATTGTGTAATCACACATTTGTCTGATCTCAAGACTGGGCTCTGCCATCACTRTATCTGCTGTGCCTAGAACAGGGCCTCATACATAGCAGGTATTCAGTGATACCGTTGAGTTAACAGACTTAGCAGAAAAATTTCATGCTAGGTATACTTTGGATCACCTTTACAGTTTTCCTCTAAACTAATTCTACCTCTTTAACATAAACATAAATGCCTCCATGAATGATAATTCAAGGAATTCTGTTAATGGCTACAGTGATCTCTGGCCTATGAGGTCCAATAATATCTGTAACCTCTGTATCACAGATGAGTAGAGAAGAAAAAAGGACAAGAATTTGATCTCCATATGGTAACAGTTAGAGGAAATTCTCTTGGACAAATGCCACCTTGCTTCCCCACATATATCTTAAAGCAAGTGTGGCTTAGTGGAAAGAGGATAAGACTCAGAGTCCAATGGCCTAAGTTTCAGCAGCATCTATGAATACCAGGTGGGAACTCTTGAGGTTTTTTGCCCAATGGAACTGATGATATGACTTTAGTGGAAGAACTGGTTAGGGTAAGAGCTCAGATAAAGTTTCAAGGGTTTGTGTAACAGGTATAATTTAGGTGAGCTTCCAAGAGAAAGAGAAGGTGTGGGAAATGGTAAAAATAAAGATAGAGTTGAGAACGGCAAATCGGAGCAGAGAACAAGTAAGGATGAGCAATAGGCTGGAATGAGAATTTGAGGGAAAACAAGAGGTAGGCAGAAGAGTCTGGAAAGAAAGCACAATGAAAATAAGAGAAAATTAATGTGACAGTGGAAAACAGAGAACCAATCAGGTATAAAGAATTAATGTTAGCTTAAAGAAAATAGGCACCATAGTGAAATCCCAACCCTGGATTTAAAGCAATAGTAGGCCTAAATAACAGTCAGCATCAGTGTGACTGTGGCAGATAACCTAGTCAGATTATAAGCTCTCTAAGGACACTATAAGTGAACTGGTGGTGGTGGGAGGGAGATAACTATTCACTGGCCTATTGCTCCAGCCCGTGGGGAATGAATAAAATCATGGCTCTAACAGCAACTTGAGAACAGTAAAGCACTATCAAAAATATAAAAGATTTAAAGACACTAAGTTCAGTTAACAAGGAACAGATAAGTTGCCTTGACGTCCATATCATTAAATATCTCAAGGGTATGGTATGGATTGTCCTACATAACACCTCTTCTCTCTGGTTCCTATATTTAGCCCTATGAGGTAGTTCTTGGCTCCTAGGAAAGCACTTCTCTCTTTTCCAAATCTCTTGGGAGTGCTTGGTAAAAATGCACATTCTTAAACCTATCTTTAGACATTCCAAATCAGTAGCTTGGGGTAGGACCTGGAAATTCAATTTTTTTTTTTCACTATTCCTGGTGCTTCCCATCATTAAGAGCATGAACTATATTTTGAGAAGCATGACCTTTCATATGAAAAAAAGAAGTACAAAGTTTAAAAAATATCATTAACATGGGAAAAAGAGACTACATTTTCAGATTTGATTAGTCTTCAAATTTACTAAGTAATCAGTTTTTTTTTTAAATGTCAAAACAGTTTTCCACAAAATTCACATCACAAATATATAACTACGTGGTGGGATAATGACTGATAGTACCAGGGCCCTTGATACAAATCCATTCCTCTTTTTTCACAGAAGTCTTTTTTTTTTTTTTTTTAATAAACTCATCAATGAGTTTTGCCCTTTTTTTTTTTTTTTTTTTAAAAGAGAGAGAAAATTTTAATATTTATTTATTTATTTTTAGTTTTCGGCAGACACAACATCTTTGTTTGTATGTGGTGCTGAGGATCGAACCTGAGCCGCACGCATGCCAGGCGAGTGCGCTACTGCTTGAGCCACATCCCCAGCCCCTCACAGAAGGCTTTTACTCCTTGCTGACTACCAGGGGACAGGAAAGGAAAGGTCCCCTTACTTGTTCATAGGGGTTAGCTGGGAAACCTCTGTGTTCATGTGTAATCATCAAGTCATACTGTAGATAACGGTTAAAGGACAGGCATAGCGASTACCATGTCATGTGTTCCTAAAAGCACAAGGCAAAGAAAAGAGAGAGGAAGCCATGTGATACCTCTCGAGCAGCAACAGAGAGGAGKGTGTTCATGACTGCCAGGACTTCACTGATGTTCATGTCAGCCAGGTCACTTTTCTCAGGTAAAAGCAGAAGGCCGCCTGGATCCTTATCACTGAAAGGACACAAATTAGTCACCATATCTGGTTTCAAGAAGGGGATTTTCATGTTTTCTATCTTAAAAAATCCCAGAAAGATTTCAGTATCAGTTCTATGGGACAGAAAGAGTCTGCATCAGGAAGATAAGCCATGATTCCAGCTAGGACTGTGCCACTATCTGTCCACATACCCTTCTGTAAGCACAGACTCAGAAATCCTCCAGGCCTTAGAAAAGATCCTAAGGAATATATCTAATGAGTAAATCACCTTGGCCACCAAAAAGAAATACTGACCTCATGAATGCTAACTGGACAATCCAGGCTAATGATTCCCTGTCTTCAAATGTTGTTCAGATAAGGGCCCCAGGCTCTTCTATCATCCTTGCTATTTGATTCTGGAAACATTTTATATAGCTAGCCTTGTAAGTCAGGCATCCGTACCAGGCTCAGTCTGACTTGCAGGCAGATGTTTGAGCTATTAGCTTTCTTCCTCCATCAAGAGTTTATACCTGGGGGCTAGGGCTATAGCTCAGTGGATGAGTGCTTGCCTAGCACATGCGAAGCACTGGGTTCAATCCTCAATAATATAAATAAATAATAAAGGTACTGTGTCCATGTACAACTAAATTTTATATATCTATATAGATATATATTTGTAGTGTTTTGATTAACAAAGAAGCTAATGGTCCTGTGGGCTGCATTTCTTTGGTAATCAAAACACTACAAATCTCCAAGCCTCCCCTCCTAGAACCTTTCTTCTGTGAACTACAATTCTGTGCTTTTACAGTTGGTTTTAATGTAATTGGATTTGTACACTTGAGTACAGAACCCCAACTTCTTTGGCTTTTTTAGTTTTTGTCTTTAAAACTTACTTAGAAAGTGAGGAACTCAAAGAAGCCTTCAGCAGGTTCAACTCTTACTCATTTTATAATGATTGRAACTTGGACTAAGCTCTTGACAAGGCTATAATTCAACCAGTATTTTAATCGTCCTTGTTCCTAGTAATAATTCACTCCAGAAATTGAGCTTTCTAGTAGAGCAGGAAAAGTACTACTCCAAATGACATGGAAGGAGGGGATAGCTAAAGAAAATGACTTTGCAGAGATCTGAAATATCTGACAATTGAAGTATGAACTTACCTAAAATATGTGCATAGTGAACGGAAAGTGAGCTGCAGGGACTGCTTGTGCTCTTGCTCAGTGACATTCTTCTACAAAACCAGAAAGTGTACATTCAAAAAAAATCTATTCCATGACATTCCAAAGACCTATAGAAACATGAAATACCACCACCCACTGGTCCACAGTATGAGGAGAGCAGGGCCTGGACCATATTACAGTAACCACCTAAAACCTGATCCAGTGCTAAGAAGCAGCAGAACCAACCATCCACACAGAAGATGGCAGGTGACTTTGGTTTCCTGCCAAAGGTAACATCTGTAAGCCTTCCTGTAGAAAAGCCTGATACAAATGATCAGACAATGGACTTCCAGAGGATATATACTCTATCATTGGGCATGCCATCCCCAGAGCAAAAGGCAAAGACAGTGCAATTCTCATGAGCTTTCTATATTTAATCAGGATCAAAGCTTTTCCTTTGTCTTGTAGGTTTACAGTCTATGCTATCAGTAATAGGAAATAGATAGACCTTCTGGTGGGACTACCAGGCTACTTTGGGGGAACTTTATATTTTCTTAAATAAATGTACTGAACACTTTCTTCAATATAAGGCACTGACAAGGGATTTCCAGAGAATTTAAGCCCAGGGCCCTGCCTGGCACAGCACAGTGGGGAGCTAAGATAAGGTCACAATAAACCTAATTATCTAAAGAAAGAACTATTTAGAATGGTGAAAAGTCAGCAGTGCTATTCAATTCATCAGCATGAGAAGGTAAAAAAAAAATCCTTATTGCTGCTGTCTGAAGGGATGGGCAAGGCAAAAGAGACAAGACTGCATTGCTAACAGACACCAATGTCATTCAAGAGATCATATGTTCTCTTTCTACTTATCATGTGAGACATGTGTGAGCAAAAAAAATCATTTGCTCAGCTACCTGGTGAATGCTTCTAGCAAAGAAGTGAAACAGATTTTTGTATAGGATACTCCATTTGGTAAAATAATGCTTGTAAATACTGAAAGCATCTTTCATTCCTGGTATGAAGTCTGAAAAACATGGAGAAGGGGTCTAGGAGGGAGAAGAGAACCAGCTGAAGATCAAAACTTGGTCATATTTTCTTTACAGATCTATATTGAAATAGTTTGAATAAAATACAACAGGGATTTATCTCAAAATGATACTGGATTGTGGGGGAAWGAGTAGGTAAAGCATTTTATAGATGAAATAAAATTAGCCCAAGTTCATCAATGTTGAAGCTAGGTGATTAGTACATTTGGGGCTGATAGGAGTTATTATACTATTTAGTCAACTTTGGTATTCATTTTAAACTTTCCCATAATTGGGAAATAAAAATAAAACAAAATTTTGTTGAAGGCAAGTCATAAAGATGGAGACTAAATTGTGACTTTGTGACATAACACTTGTGAAACACAGATGAAATACTGTCCTTGTCCTTTGATATGTGAGTGACCCCACAAAGCTTGGCACATAGTATTAGGAAACATTTGGGAAATTAAAACTGACAATATATTCAGAGAGAACAAAGATTAATAGATCTCATCCTAATAGACTTCAGGAATGGGAACTGTCCTTTCAGATAATAATTACCATCATGGTGAAGAGATGGTTCCGTCGGGTCTGTCGATCAGGAAAGAAGATGGCAGCTCCATTGAGAAGGGTGTTCCTGACCTCTTGTTTTAATATCTCCATGGGCATGGAATCTCCATCCACCCTATCTACCACTAATAAAAATGAACAATGGAATCAACTTTAATATGTTCCATCTATTCACTTACAATATGTATCACTAAAAACTGGTGAACTCTCTGTTTTATAGTTAATATCAGAGCAAGAATTGCTTTTGTACAGGTTAGGCAGTATATTATTTTTTGTTAACATTTAACTAAAACAAAGACTATATATGTCAGTTCTTATTTCTTTCTCTGTTCTTTTGAGATATAACCTGGAAAAACCTTAAAAATACTGTCAGATTGTCTCGTTTCATCTTCAATTTGTCACTATAATCTCTTTTTTTTCTTTTAATATTTATTTTTCAGTTTTTGGCAGACACAACATCTTTGTTTGTATGTGGTGCTGAGGATCGAACCCGGGCCGCACGCATGCCAGGTGAGTGAGCTACCRCTTGAGCCACATCCCCAGCCCCATCACTATAATCTCTTCACCTCAGCCTTGATTGAGGTTAAGACTGAATAGTGTGGCTGGGTGTGGTGGCGCATGCCTGTAATCCTGTGGCTTGGGAGGCTGAGGCAGGAGGATCACAAGTTCAAAGCCAGCCTCAGCAATTTAGCCAGGCCATGAACAACTTAGCGAAATACTCTCTTCAAATAAAAAATAAAATGGGCTGGGGATGTGGCTCAGTGGTTAAGCACCTCTCGGTTCAACCCCTGGTACCACCCCCCCCCAAAAAAAAAGAGCTCCAAACTAAATAATATAACAGTAATTACTCTCACTGTAACACAGGAGAAAATGGGAAGAAGAGAAGTCAGTTGATAAAGAAATAAATTTGGAACTTGAAATGGTAATTCAAAGAAATCCACCACAGCAATCCCTTTCTGGTTTGCATGAACACAGGAACCTCCCCATGCCAGCAAGAGGTCAGTGCAGGGTTGTATTCAGGGAATTTCCCAAATCCTTACCATCACATAAGTGTATGTAGAGCTCCTTGGCAGCCTCCACTCCCTCAGGGCGCTGGGTTGGAGGCTTTTCTTCCCCAGAGGCAGCCAGTGCATCTCCCTGCAGCACTGAGAAGCAACTCTGGAGGAGCCGCAGCAGCAAGGTTTGGGCACATATGCACTCTTCCCTTGGGCTGCAGAAGGACAAAAAACATCAGAGAGCAAAAGAGCAAGTTGCCTTCACTCTCCAAAGCCATACAGCGGTCTACAGAGGACTCTCCTCTGGATAACAGGCTTAACAAAAAAGAATGCCAAGCAAGAGGAAGGGCAGAACAGCAAGAATACTGTACTAGGAGTCTGAAACGCAGGCCTCATCTGACGCTGCCCTCCAMTGAGAAGGAAATTCATTTCTGATCCTGCCATTTCATCTGTATAATGAGGATGAGTACCTTGAGACCACAATGTTTCAGATTTTGAACTTTTTCTGATCTTGGAATATATGTACACACATGAGATATTTGTTGGTGGGATCYGAGCCTAAACATGGAATACATTAATGTTTCATATACACCTTATACAAATAGTCTGAAGACATCTTCATACAGTATTTTCAGTGTATCTGTAGTTGTTGGTTAATTTTTAGTGTACCCGTGTTTTGACTGCAGTTCATCATGTGAGGTCAGGTGTGGAATTTTCCACTTGTGGTACATAAAAAGTTTCAGATTTTGGAGCATGTTTCAGATTCTCAGATTAGGGATGCTCAACATGTACTACTAAAATATTTGACCTGCTTATCCTAAAAGTTGTGAAGTTAATCAAGTAAGAAAACATCTGTGAAAGCACTTCTTAAATAAAGTATTTCATCAAAATTTAAGGTATTTTTTCAATAATAACCAAATCTTTCAAATCAGAATAATATATACGAGTAGAAAGTTAAAAAAAAAAGAACTGTCTATTCAGAATAGCAAAACTCAATGTTTTCACTTTTGTTTGTGATTATCATAACAAATTCTGACCTACTTTTGCTTTAGTTTACTGTAAAAATTCCAGAAGATCTGCAAATCAAGACCCGTAAAGTCCAGAAAAGATTTATATTTTAGGCCACTTTCCTTTTGCTGCACCTAAAAAAATCATAAAGACCAGAAAAAGCAAAATTAAAAAAAAAATGCATTTACAGCAATATTGTAACGCCTTTGTTAACTCATTGTTAAGGGGTGAGGTGGCTCCACATGAGTGAAATTCTCATATAACTGACACTCTTAACTACTAAATGTTTGTCAGGAACTATTTCTGGTATAAAGTTTTCTATGTATGTGTATGCACAATTTATATATATTGTATAAATTTATATATATTGTACATACACACATATTTATATATATGTATGTACATATGTATATAAATGTATATATACACATAACCCTCTTAACACACACACCATACACACATCTGCAAAAGTTTCCTGACTTCATAATGCAGCACAGTCTTTACCTGATGGTGATTAATGTCCAGGACCTGTTTGACCCKTTCCTGCATATGGACTGAACTTCTGTTGTAAATCCACCTGCTATTCCTAGGTCTCTCCCTCTAATTTGCTCTTTTCTGTTGCAATATGAGCTCTTAGATGACAGAAACCAAACTAGTCATATATGTACTTTGAGTCACCAGCCTCTAACTGTCCTGAGGAAAATGAAAGCCAGGAGCAGACACTGTTGTATACACCCATGAGAGGGCTCCACTGGATTTCTGAGATGAGCTGTGTACTCCATGGTAATGTTTATAGTAATCTTCCATTGAATAAATTGTCATTGGGTTTTATTAGTGGCTATAAAAGTTGGTATCAAACCCACAAATGATTTTAATTTAGTAAATAAATTTTATTTTAGTAAATAAATAAAATTCACCTAAACTTCAATAATAATTATCTTAAGACTTATAAGCCTCATGAATTTACTTTACCTTCCTCCCCGGGCAACCATTGCTGGGGACCCTTTATTTTTTAATTTTATTGTTTTGTAGTGCTGGAGGTGGAACCTAGGGTCTTGTGCATGCTAAGCAGACATTCTTTCACTGAGCTACACACCCAGTCCTATGGCTAGAGAACTTTAAGCAGTGTTTGCAGGTCTATTTGAGGAGAGATCACAACAATGGCCACATGCCACTTAGTCTTTCACTGGCTAATGCCATAAATGCCCAATATTCCACTTTCCTTGGCCCTTCAATGTCATTACAGAAGCATGATGTCTGTTATACACATTCATACTGCCATGGTATAAGTAGACCCAGGTTTACTGGTTGGTGTTCATTTCTTTTAACACTGTCATTTGTTTTTCCTAAAGAAATGTAGTGTAACAACCGAGGAAAGCCTACCAGGTCATGGGCGAGTTGCTGGATGAACTGAAGRGTCCTGAGGAGCAGGGTGGCCCCACAGACACTCTCTGTATCCTTTCTGCAGTGGGCACAGAGGATGTTTTGCTCTGCCTCTGCTCTTGCAGGCCGGAGGTACCCACTGATGCTCAAGCCTTGCACTCCCAAGCGCTCTGCCGACTCCTGACGGGTGCAGAGGAACTTCACCATCAAATACTAGAAGGGGAAAAAGAGATTTCAAGAGGACTCAGAATCCTTAAATACAATAAAAGTGGGGAAAAGAGTTTTGTGGGGAGGTTCCAGATTTTAATAATTTATTAGATACCATTATGTCCACTAATTCGGATACAAAATCTACATCCAGAATCTACAACAAACAGAAAAATAGATAGTACAAATGCAGAATTAAGTCAGGTTTTGGTAAAGATCATCCTAAGAGAAATAGCCCTCTTCAAGGCAAAAACAGAATAAAAGAAGTATATTTGCCATTTAGTATGGTCACTTAAAAACAAAAATCAGATATGTGATGAAAACACACATGCCTTCAATGCCCTGAGGAACTCTCTCCAAGTCCCCAACTGATACATGCAACTCATGTGCTGGAAGCCCAGGAAACAGTCTTATCTGCTCAAAGCTAGGCTATTTTCAAAGTCCAACTTTTGTATAATCAACCTGCTTCTTAGAGTTTAAGTTATAATCTACTACTTAACTGCATAAATATCTACTGAGCATCTGATTTGTGTAAGTCCTAAAGATAGTTCTGAATTCTCTTACGTGTAAGATTTATGCTTGAGGTTAAAAAAAAATGGTCATTGCTTCTTTTGCAGCCATGGAAAAACATCTCTCCTGCATTTATACATGGACTTACTGTTCTCACAGCCTGATATGCCTACTCTACATATCTTAGCCTGGCTAAAGATGAAGGCTAGTCAATTTCTAAAACTTGGCATCATATCACAATTCCTGGGAAGCCTTCCTGGGTGAATTGCAGGCTGGGTAGAATATTCTGCATCTGGGCTGCAAAAGCCCTCTGAATTTCCCTTTATCACAGCCCATATCACATCTCTCTCTTTCACTGGACTAGAAACTCCTTGAGGTCAATCCTTCTCTGAGGTTCAGTGTTGGCACAGGGCTGGTAAACAAGCAGTACAATATATACAAAATAAAAGCAGGGCAGCAGGCAAACACATAAAGGCCACACTCATGCTTACTTTGGCAACTCTGCACTGCTGCAATTTGACATCTGCTTCATCCCACTCTTCTTCCAGCTCAAACCAGCCAATAGGATCATCCTCTCCCAGGTCATCAGATGAGCAACCAATCCTGTGAACACAAGGGTAATCACAAAACATTTTTCTATTTCTAAACTTCTCTAGTGTTTGTCAAGTGAGGCATCACCTGGTGGCATTTAGCTTATATAGAAAGCCTGTCTGTGACCAATTAGGGACTGGGTGTGGCACCTGGTACTGCTTGGAATACAAAAGGTAGTTGATGGTAATTGCCTCTCCATCTCTCAGGCTTCTTATCTGTAAATTGGGAACTATGTCAGACTCAAATATAATTTGGGAACTAAGAAGAAAGTGTGCTTCTCTAAATAAATAGCTCATCTAAAGAATGAAACATGAAGTGAGGAGCCTTAACTGAGATTCTCAGGAGGAAGATACAAACAAGGGCAGTCCCAGAAAGAACTAAGGAGAGATTTATTTTCTTCCCTAGGTCTGGTTAATATGTGTATGACCAGCCTAGATGAACACTTTCACACCTTGGAGCTCCGACAAAACAAAATAAAACAAAACATCCCAAAACCCCAGCCTTCATAATCCTCAGAATTCTTTCCTGTTCCTTAAGAAGTCCTTCCAGGAAAGCATTCCAGCCTTGAAGCCATAGAAACACAACTGTGAGCCATTTCTTTTTGAAAACTGGGTACTAGTTGTACATGGTGCCTGCAGTTCCAGATACTTAGGAGTCTGAGATGGGAAGATTGCTTGAGCATATAAATTTGAGACCAGCCTGGGTAACACAGTGAGACCCCATCTCAAAAACAAATAAATATTTAAAAATGCATATCTATTAAAAAACTGCATTTAAAAATATTTTTTAATTACAGGTGGACCGAACTTTATTTATTTGTTTGTTTGTTTGTTTGTTTGTTTTTATGTGGTGTTGAGGATCCAACTCAGGGCCTCACATGTGCAAGGCAAGCGCTCTACCACTGAGTCACAACCGCAGCCCTTAAAAAACTGCATTCTTTAATGCTACTCCCTTTTCAGGAATTAAACAATTAAGAAGAAGAAGGTGGCTGTCTTTTCAAATAACATTCCTAAAACATTACACTATTCTGGCTGTGATACAGTTACCAAGCTAGGAACACATGACGGATATTTTCAGAATAGTTCAGGCTGCATGGATACCAGCAACAAACTCAGGAACTATGACAAGAAGAAAAAAGACAATCCAGAGTAGATTCTGGAGTAGAGGGGAAAAAAATGTTCTAGTAACATAAGCCGTTCTTGGCACAAACCTTTTGTGATACAATTAACCCTTAAAGAAACAGGTAGAATTCTCTTAGACCAAAACCACATCAATGAATTTCATTCACAGCATACATATGAAGATTTTTACAATTTACTTTGGGTACTATCAAAGAAATGTCTGTGATATACAGAATATGCAGAGTGTCAGAGAAGACAGAAGCAACCATAGTCACTAAACCATACTGCATAATAGGCAAGAAGGGGAAACAAGAATTGAATGCTATTGTGCTTAAGCAAGCATAGCAGCCAAACAGCTGACCCTGGAGCATGGTGCCTTACCAATGCTCAAACAAAGAAAAGAAAATGTGCAAGAAAATAGATGTGTGCACATTAACATTTTAATTTCCACACTGTAAAGAAACTGTTAATATATAGGCAAACTAATCAGGATTTAAGAGTAGTTCAGGCTGGAACCAGGAACTAAAATCATTAAGGGAATAGTGAATAAGCCTGTATTTARGTTAAAAAAAAGGGGAGGGGGCTGCAGTTGTGGCTCAGTGGTAGTACACTTGCCTAGCATGTGTGAGGCCCKGAGTTCAATCCTCAGTACCACATAATAAACAAATAAATAAATAATATCCATTGACAACTAAGAATATATTTAAAAAAGATGTGAAAGACCTTGTTTGACAGCAGTTTTATTTAGGGGAAATAACTATTTTAATATGTCCCAAGAGTGGGATATAGAAGCTTCAAATTAGGTGTCATTTTTGGCTATTATTAAAAAACAAAGCATTTTTTAAAAAGGCATGTGTGGAGCCAGATGTGGAGGTGCACACCTGTAATCCCAGTGACTTGGGAGGCTGAGGCAAGAGGATACCAAGTTTGAGGTCAGCCTTAGCAAACTAGTGAGGCCTTAAGCAACTTAGCAAGATCTTGTCTAAAACATAAAAAGGACTGAGGATACGGCTCCATGGTTAAGCACCCCTGGGTTCAAACTCTGGTACCAAAAAATAAGTGTGTGKGGGTTGAGGATGTGACTCAGTGATACAGTGCTTACTTAGTAAGTAGAATGCCCTGGGTTCAATTCCTAGTACTCCCCCCACCCCCAGCAACAACAACAACAAAAAAAATATGTGTGCATAGCAAAGGGAGATTTCAGGAATGAGACACAATTGTTCCAATTCACTTAGAAGGCTGAAATTAAGACCACCTAATAGAAATTACAAAAGTGAACTTCAGACAATGGGTATAGTTCAGTAGTAGAGCACTAGGTGAGGTCCTGGATTGGATCCCCTAGTAATGAAGAAAAAAAGAAAAAGAAAGCTTCATATTCTAATCATTGAAGTTCCTTGATTTTCATCACTGAATACTCTGTGGAGGCAGAATGATCATTTGTCAGGGAGGCAACAAAGGAATTTCAGTGAAGAGAAAGATTTATTCTAGATCTTTGCTACTCAAAGTGTGGTCTATGGATGGCCAGCATCAAGGTCACATGGGAGCTTGTTAGAAAAGAGTCTCAAGCTCTATCCAAAACTAATGAATCAGAACCTGCATTATCACAACATCTCTCAGTGGCTTGAATGCATATTAAAGTGTAAGCAGCACTGCACTTGATAATTAAATACTTGTATTAACTCCATTCTATTTCCTGTCAAATACAAGTACACAAATGGAAACTACAGTTCTGCTCTATGAGTTCTAACTTACTCACAGCAATAAGGGAGGCAACATTGCCCAAGGGTTGCCAATGACTTCTATGACTACATCAATAGATCTGCTTTTAGCATTTATCTTATTAATTGCTGGGTAACAGTGGACACCTCAGTCCTGCTTTCCTGCTACTTCTCTGCAGGAATTTTTCTATGTTGCCCCCTTATATTCTGGTGCCACTTGTCTTGCTTATTATGATGTCCTACCTTCTCTTCTTTTCCAAGTCCACACACCCTGGAATAACAAAGTGATCTCTTCAGTCCCACATTTTAAACTATCGTTTCAATGACTTGCTTTTCTATCCCTTCAGCCTAAGTTTCTCTTCTATGCTCTTAATTTGTTTGTTCAACTGGCTGCTGGACATTTCAAAGGTTTCCTAGAATGTCAAATTCTGCAGGGCCAACACTGAGCTTGTCATCTTATATTAACCTGTTTCTCCCTGGGCTATTTTCTATCCCAGATAAAGGTGCTAACAAGATCCCCAGCTACCCAAGCCCCAATGCCCCTGCCCCCAGACCTAGTGCTATTTAAATCATCTTCTCTCTCTTGCTCCCCCATTGGTCTGTTCCCAGGAACTGCTATTTTGAAATTCTAGGAGTCTCTTTATCAGTTCACTTCACTCCATTGCTACAGCTGCTGTGGCTGCCACTCTGGTCAAGGTCACCCCAGCTCTGACTTCCTGGGCAACAGTGCCAGACTCCTTCTATCCCACCTGCCTTTGTGATTGCTTTCCTCCATCCATGCTGTACATAACACAAGCCAAAGTAGTTCTTCTAAAACATACTATCTCATTTTTCTTCTTTGAAACTCCTCCATTACATGCTTCACTCTCCTCCCTGCTCTACTCCCCGTCACCCTCTCCATAAGGGTAAATTTCCAGTGTCCAGGTACTTTCCCCTAATTCAGGAATGCATTATTCTCCAGACATTCTGAAGATGTGTGACCCTGCTCATAAAAAGAACAGAGTAGGAAGCAGCAAACAAATTAACACACATTTTTACATATGCAGTCAATGTTATCCACTGTGGTGGGTTAGTGGTACTTTTTATTTTTTTTCCCCCTCTACTGGTTATAAAAAAACACTTGGCAGCTTTATTAATAATGTTTCAAATTATATGTAATCCAAATTTAAATGAAAAGGAAGACTGATAAACAAATTGTGGTATATTCACATAATGGAATACAACCTAACAATAAAAAGATGAATGATGACACAAATGAAAATTAAAATCACATTGAGTAAAAGAAGCCAGACATGAAAGGATATACACTCAATGATTCCATTTATATAACAGTCTAGAATAGGCAAAATAAATCTACAGTGACAGRAATCACAATGGTGATTGCCTTAGATGTGGAGGGTACTTAATTGGGAAGTGACTGTGAACTTTTGGGGGATGATTGAAATGTGCTATGTCTTAACTGGATAGTGAATAAATGTGCGTATAAAATTGTCAAAACCCATGAAATAGTAGTGGTACTTTTCTATAAAAACAAGAAAGCATATTTCACCAATTAGAGAATAAGTACATTTTTATCAAGTACACAGATTTTTGATCTGCTCCTTACCTGCTTTTTACAAATTGCCTGAGCTCCTGAAGCTTCCATTTGTCATATTTTTCAAACCGCTTAAAGTGTTCCTCTGCATGAAATTTATCAGAAGGTGAGTTATAGGCAAAAACCAGRCCACACTGGGCACCAATGCCGCCACGTCGAACCTGAAAACAGAGATCAGGATGGAGAACATCAAAGTGGTAAAAGTTCTACAGCTAGCTGGGTGCAGCAACACACACATGTAATCCCTTCAACCCAGGAAACTGAGGTAGGAGGATCTCAAGTTCAAGGCCAATCTCAGCAATTTAGCTCTAAGGTAATAATAAAAAATAAATAAAATAAAATGTTTATAGAAATTGTGATTTTTAATTTGAAGAGAGAAAATATATCACAACTGACCATCTTTATGAGTCATATCTAAAACCTTGACTGATGTTTGATCAAGTCAAGCAGGTTTAGAGGCTGAGAAAGAGATTAGTTTCTAGAACACTGTGAGGAAAGACTTATGTAAAAGACACTGAAATGGACAAAAAGAAGCTCAGTGGTAGAATGCTCCTGGGTTCAATACACAGTACAAAAAAAAAAAAAAAAAAAAAAATTCTATGGCCGTTTCGTTTCCAATTAATATGGTTAAACTCAAACCTCTAATACAAAATCAAACCAGTGAAATGATACTCAGACTTATTAAGCCATAGAAAAGTGAGAAAGCAGCATCTCAAGAAGTGTTCTTTTTCAATCCTTACAGTCATACCATTCACAGATTTCACTAATCTATCCATCTTTGTGCCCTTACCCTCTGCTATAGGCCTGACAAAGGTCAATAATCACTATATACCCAATGAAACAGTAACAATATGGCCTTCTAAAATGTAATCCTACTATTTTAAAAAAATAAGTAGTAACATTGCTTAAAGAAGTTAGTAGGACAATTACCATGATTCTGATTTGTGTAACTTGGAAGGCAGACTCAGTTCCTGCAGAAAAAATAGTACTTGCTCTGGTTTTTCCAGTCTCTGTAAGAAAACCTGAAAGAAAGAAAAATGTACAGTTAGGATGACTGTGCATTTTTATAACCCTAAGAACTAAGATCACAAAAACAAGGGGGTAACTAGTCTATCTGGTACCATCATAAAAATGAGTAAAGGTTTCACCTTTGGACAGATGCAACTTCCCTGACAAAGCCCTAGGTAAGCAGAGCACCACCCAGGTACTATTTCCTCAGAGCACAACTCTTCAACCTTACAGGCAGCTCTGCTCTGAAGTAACGATTAAAAAAAAAAAAAGGTTTATAGAGATAGTGAGTTTAATTCAGAGACAAAAGACTGCACACTCAATCATCTTCCTAARTCATACCTAAAACCATAACTGATGTTTGACTGGGCTGATCAATGCAAGCAGGCTTAGAGGTTGAGAGAGGGATTAATTTCAGAAGACTGTGGGGGATTGATTGTAAAAGACACTGAAATGGACAAAAAAGAATCACTGGGTGTCCTGTCTAACACGTTCTTTGGTTAAATCCATCTTTTATTGTCTCTAAGCTATTCTATAATTCTGTGGGGGTTGTAGGATATTAATGGCAATGCAAATGATTCCTGTTGGAAATAAAAATTGTGTTCTGTGGAAATGAAACTGATTATTCCTTATGGAACTAAGCAATTTTGAATCTAACTGTAAATTAATTTCAGTATTCTTACTGTTCTATGTGTATTTTATGAATTCTCCATTAATAAAAAGTATGTCATGTTTGTTTCCATTTGCACAGCAGTCATGATTTACCTTTGTTGCTAATTATCCCTTAACAACTCACAAAAAGCTCTTCTGCAAGACTCACAGTTGCCTTTCCCTTTCAAACATCTTTATACATAAGGCAAGCATATGGTCACATCAGCATTAAGTGACCATTCTTCYGGGAACCCTGACTTGTTCTCAACCATTTTCCCTGTCAAGATGAAAAGACTGAAACCAATTTCATGCTTCTTATTTCATTATACTCAATTCAGTAAAATAAAAATTTATGAGCCTGAATCTCCATAGAACAATGTGCAAAATTTGTCACCAAAACCAATGAAAATGAAATCTGAAGGAACCTGTACTAATTCATAGACAGATGCTATGATTTAGTTCTACCAAACAGTAGTTCTGTAGACAATTTTAAGAAGGCATAGTGGCAGAAATGCATAAACTCTCCTAACAGCAATACCAAAAATTATCCTAATTATTGAACTAAAATCTTTCTCAGAGGTCTGGATGACTCTATTTGAAAGTATTTATTGCAAAAGAAAATAAATAGATAATTTTTTAAAAGGAGTCTACTGTGAAGACTATTAATACTACCTAGAAGTTAAGTGCTTAATCAGCCATTTAAGTTAGTCTCAAAGTTGTAGAAGCAATAATAATTTAAAGCAACAGAATTGGAAAGACAATATTTTTTATATAACACTGTCACCAGGTACACATTTAAAACGGGAGACACACCTTAAAAAATGAAACCTTGTGTTTCCTTTTCTGGGTAAAAAACCAGCTTGGAAGTTTAGTTGTGATATTTTATATTTTATATGATCATTTGAAACCCTACCCCTACTTGTCAAATTTACTCTCTTAAATGACAGGGAAAAAAATTAATCAACCATGGATTTAAAGGACTTAAGCTGGGCAGAGTGCATGCCTGTAATCTCAGCAACTCGAGAGGCAGAAGTAGGAGGATCGTAGTTCAGTCAGTCTCAGCAACTTAGTGAGACTCTAAACAATTTAGCAAGATCCTGTCTCAAAATAAAGAACATAAAAAGGGCTGGGGGGGCTGGGGATGTGGCTCAAGCGGTAGTGCGCTCGCCTGGCATGCGTGCGGCCCGGGTTTGATCCTCAGCACCACATACAAACAAAGATGTTGTGTCCACCGAAAACTAAAAAATAAAATATTAAAAAGTTCTCTCTCTCTCTCTTAAAAAAAAAAAGGGGGGGGGGCTGGGGGTGTGGTCAGTGGTTGAGAGCCCCTGTGTTCAATCCCCAGTACCAAAAAAAAATAAATAAATAAAGGATTAATATCTTCCGCTTCAGTTCCTACTAGCCAGTTTTCCTTTCATTTCTAAATAAACCTTTATGTTTACATTTTAAAGTTTTTATTTATTTWTTGAGGTAGGGGCCTCACTAAGTTGCTAAGGCTGCCCTGGAACTTTGGATTCTTCTGCCTCAGGCTCCCAAGAAGCTTGGTTAAGTCCTGATGTATGTCATCATATTAGGCTCCAGTTTTCCTTTAAAATACCAGACCAAGTGGCAGTGGCTTTCAGGAGTGTTAACTTTCTGGAATGTTGGCATTTGTTCTCTGGCATTCTTGGGTACTACAGTGGCACCTGTCCACAAATGGCACATCCCTGCAGTGGTGGAACCTGAGGTAGACCAGTGAACAGAACTTTCATCCTGTAAGGGGGAAAAAAAATCTGTTCTTCCAAACCCAGCAGTTCTGCTTGTAAGGACTTTGCTCTTGTCTCTAGAATCCTTTTTTTTTTTAGCAGAGCAAGAGACCCACAGGTAACCCGAGTTACAACATAGGGAGTTATAATGAGAAGCCCAGGAGGAACTGAGGGCTCCTCCCTCACCCATCCACACAGAATCACAACAAAAGTAACAAAGCTATCAGCTACAGCAAGATTTTCAAATTCACTCATCCAAGGGGGTGGAAGGTAGGAAGGAGAGGTAGGTCCATATCAGACACAGAAAAAAATAACAAAGTATTAAAATCATACACCACCAAGAGCTAGCAAATGCAACTTGCAGGTGTAGGAAAAACTAGTGTAGGTTTTTCCAACTTAAAAGTGTAAAAAATCTACATTCTGGGCTGGGAATGGTAGCATGTGCCTGTATTCAATCCTAGCTGCTTAGTAGACAGGAGGATCCCAAGTTGGAGGCCAGCCTAGGTAACTTAGTGAGACCCTGTCTCAAAATATAMAAGGAAAAATACATAAATAAATGAATATAAGAGGGCTGGGAGTATAGCTCAGTGGTAAAGTACCCCTGGGATCAATCCCAGTAAAACAATAACATCAAATCCTCATTCTGGTGTCAGATAATTTGGTTCCACATGCTCCAGAGGCAAAAATTCCAGTTTTTCAGAATGAAGGAAAATGTAAAGGGTCTTTGGCAAAGAAGTCTTACATTTCCTGTGTAAAGTAGGAGAAAAGTACAAAGAGCTGTCTCTACCTCCTCCCAACCTCACTGGCTTTAGATGGCAGGTGACTCAACAGACCTAGAGAGTGGCCGGACATGGATGCAGTGAAGGAAATTTTCCTGCAGAGGTTGAACTGCTAAGGGAAAACTAGGGAAACCATCTTGTGCAAGTATAATGCTTAAGAGGAGGTACTGAGAAGAGGAGGTACAACAGGGAAGGCATGTTTTCCTAGGGGTTTGTACTTAATTGGTGCTAAGAATGAACACAGGAAACAGGAAAGAGAAGAGGCAACACTGAGAATGTATGAATGAAGACAGCAGTGCCGTGAGGAAAGCCAAAGGGAAACCAATTCAAAGCAACAAGCCATGCCTTCCTAYGTTCTATACCCTCCTTTTAAAAATCAGTGAGATTCAAAAAAGTACCGTAAGTAGAAAAGTGACACATATATGGCACTGAGCTGGTGGCCACCAAGATGGATGAGGAACAGACTCACAAACACCCTCTGGATATGCAAAAGAACCACCAGCAAAATGAAATGCCCATTAGGAATCATTAAGTTGATACTAGGGATGAGTGACGCTTCCTCCTAGGTAAACAAATGCCAAATCAGCTGCATTGGGGGAATACCCCTTTTAGCTGTGTTTTCAGCAGTGTGGTGCTACTGATCTACTGAATTTCTTAACACTTTGATATAATACATCAGAAGGACAATCCAAACTAAAAAACAGAGAAAAGCAATAACTTTCTGTTGTAAGGGAGAATTTGCTTTTCAAAACTTGAGTTTGAAGAGCTCTCAGACTTTCAAATACTTATAAATTCTTATAGGTTATTAATACCGATACAGATTACTAACATAAATAGTTCAGCAACTATTACCAACAGGCTGAGATAAAGACTGCATGCCTGAAAATGTCAAAGACCAGAGTATGACTTCACACAGCTGCCTTCTGAGCACACTAGCAATTGTCCCACCCACTGCTCACCATCCCTCGTCCACGGTTCCACAAGGAGGTTTTCAGGTCCTGACTTGTCTTCTTTTCCTTTGACATCACAAGCCTGAAGAGTCAACTGGAGAGGTTTACCTGCCAAACAAAAGAGAAGGCAAGCCTTAAGTTAGCTCTATGAAAAAATGAAAACTAGTGGGCATTGTGGGTGGAAATGCAGGCCTATAGTTACCCACACCATTAATAAGTTATTTATTTATTTATTTATTTTTGCGCCAGGGATTGAACCCAAGGGCACTTAACTCTAAGCCACATCCCCAACTCTTTTTAAAATATTTTTAGTTACAGTTGGACACATTACCTTTATTTTATTTTTATGTATGTTGAAGATGAAACCCAGTGCCCCACACATGCTAGGCAAGCACTCTATCACTGAGCCACAACCCCAGCCCCCCAGCCCTTTTTTATATTTTATTTAGAGACCAGGCCTCGCTAAGTTGCCGAGGCTGGCTTTGAACTCTCCTCCTGCCTCAGCCTCTGGAACCGCTGGAATTATAGGCATGCACCACCACATTCAGCAAAGTTACTGATTTTAAAGCATGATATTAGGCAAAAGTGGACATTATTCCTCTGTGCTTTCCTAAAAGAAAAAAGTAAAGCTATGTCCCTGAGTGATTCCAAAGAGAGGTCTCTAAAATAATCACTGTTTCAGCAACAAAGCATATTATAACATAGATTAATACTACAGATTCAACATACTTTGTAGGAGGTGGAGTCCTAAAATATCATTTTGACGCTAATAATCAGTTTTACTGGTATTGTATTTTAAATATATAAACAATGTTTTAGGTTTTATTTCTTCAAAACATCTCTAGGAGATGTCTCAAAAATAAATAAACAAACAAATAAAAAGGATTAGGAAATGTAATTCAGTGGTGAAGTGCCCCTCTAGTCACTCCCCAGTACACCCCCCAAAATATCCAGGTCAATTTTAATAAAAATCAATTTTTGTTACGGTGATCTGACTTCTTTTAGTAATATAATAAATACTTGTTAACTTCTAACACAACCCATAACTGGCTAATTATCTGCTGTTCCCCTCTCAGAACAACTAATCTGAATCATAAGCTTTCCTGAAGAACACTTCAGCTTCTAGAAACTACCTCTCCCTCCTACCTAGCCATGCCTGAATCAGGACCCTACCACTCCAAATGTAGAACGAAATTGGATTTAAAAGACATCAATTGTATGACTTTAGAAGTTAAACATAAAATTAGATCATGAAATCATATTAAAACAGAGGTACAAATATCACAGCAATGCCTCTATTACTAAAGAGGATGGGATCTAATATCCAAAGTTTGTGAACAAAAACTTATTACTAGAGGTCAGGATGGCAAGCAAGCTGTTCCTCACATGACAGGTGCAGTCATTGGGGAACAGCTGTATGGGGTCCTATGTTAGGATGGACTGCAAATGGGCCCAGGAGGGGAAAGTTGTGGCAACTATGTACAAACATAATTCTAAGAAGCTATGTGGGGATAAGAAGGATACACTCTAAGCCAAGGATCCCTTTGCACCAGGTCTTGACTAGCTTCCTCCCTCCAGATGAGAAGTACTCCAACTTTTCAAATCTCTTAACCTATCCAATATTTACTAAAGATGGCTGTGTTCAAATGCCACCAGACATAGGGACTATTTTAATAAATCTTGGGAGTATAACCCAGGATACACTTAAATGTCCTCTTCTGCCGACCCTACCATAAATAAAACAACATTCCCCCTCTCCCTACCAGCTATAGTAGAAGTCTTGCACTGGAAGGATATRCACAAGGAATCATGGTACAACTACAACAAAAGACAGTCCACAAACTACCCCCCAAAGACAGGAAGATGCCAGGAGGGCCCAGATTGAGAATGCTTTTAGGATTTGTCCACTGCTGGYATTTCTATCATGCCCTGGTCATTTACCGTATTTGAGGAGCAGGTTCTGTCTGACTGATGCCATGGATGAGATGAGGGACGAGGCATCATACCCTGTGTCCAGGTGGTCAGTGATAGTACACAGAGAGCTCATCACTTTGGCAACACTTCCTCTTGCTAGTGCAAAAGCCAGAAGAGTCAGTTCCACCTCTGGGGTAGAACAGCAGCTATAAAGAACAGAAACAACAACAACAAAAACAAAAAAGACCTCTTCACTTCCAAAGAATATAAAGAAACCCAGATAGCTCAAAATCATGTAATTGATCAGTGAGTGAAATTAATCTGCCATATGCTTTCTTTCTTATCTCTCACTGGTTTTTTTTTTTTTTTTAGTACTTAGGGATTGAACCCAGGGCCACTTAATCATTGAGCCACATCGCTGACTCTTTTTTAAAACATTTTATTTTGAGACAGGGTCTGGCTAAGTTGCTTAAGACCTCACTAAGTTGCTGAAGCAGGCTTTGAACTTGAGTTCCTCCTGCCTCAGCCTCCTGAGTCACTAAGATTACAGGAATGTGCTACTATTACTGGCTGCCATATGCTTTCTATATATTCATCAGAAATACTTTATTAATATCCTTAAGATAACTTAGGGAAAAACTAAATCAACCCAGGGGAACCAGGGAATTAAATTCCCATTTCTGAAATCATACTCTATAAATACTAAATGATAATCATAAACCAAAAATAAACGAGCTGCTGCAATAAGCCTTTACTATTCAGAAATCTGTGGTAATGAGTTGTCTTGGCTAAAGAGTATGTTTCTTGAGAAGCATGAAATAATTTTATTTACTCCCTTCACATTTCACTGCCTTTTTAAATACATCACACTGAAACATTTAAAACTATTTAGATATCAGGGTCTGGTTTGTCTTATAACACAGTAATGTCCCCAGAGCTCACTGAGGCAGAGCTGAGTGTCCCTACACTAAGTGTTCCCTCGGTCAAACAACCAAGAAGCCCCTTCCTGTTCTATGTAGAATCAGGCCTGATCCCTGTGCAAAGGTAAGCAGGCTCTGAGGGCAGTGGCCTGGGGATAACAGTGAACTGAGAGGTTTCACATTTTGAACTTTGAGACATCTCTTCCAGATGAATCTAAGGACTTTTCCTCCTGCCTGAATAATTCTAGAGGACAGGTGATACCAATAGGACTAAGGATGAACTATTATTTCACTTTTTCTTCAGCCACAAGATAGAGATCATTTTCAGTAGTAATTTTTAAAAGATTTCCTTTTTAAATTTTGAAAGACTTAGTTGAGTGTGGTGCACACATCTGTAATCCCAGCAGCTTAAAGACAGCCTTAGCAACTTAAGGAGGCTGTAAGCAACTTATCGAGGCTATAAGCAACTTAGCGAGACCCTGTCTCAAAATAAAAAATAAACAATAGTTAAGTACCCTTGAATTAAATCACTGGTACCAAAAAAAATTTTTTTTAATAAAATAAAAAATTTGAAAGACTTAACATGCATACATGCCCTCCACCCCCCACAAAGAGTTTACCTCATCAACCTTGATTTTACCTAGTTATTCTTATGAGGAAGCTGTCCACTTCTTCCAGGACATTGGGAGACAGGAAAGTGGAGAAATCTGTAGATCCTGGTGAGAGGGAAAGTGGAGGCATGTGCTGTAGTGCCTTCCTAGAAAAGTAATAAGCCAAACATGCATTAGACAAAAACATTGTTGTTCTGATTCATCCCTTATAAACAGCCAGTATGCCTACAGAGAACCTAACACAATATAAACCAGCCTTATCCCTAGGAGTCATAGTAGATTAGATTTAGCTAAGTAGTGTAATAGGGTTTCTTTCTTTTTCAAAGTATCATTTCCCTCTGGAAAAGTTTATGGGGTACTCTAGAAGCCAGCATTTATTTTAAGTAGTGTAAGCGAAAGACAAATTACAGAAAATTCAGGGGTTCTTAGGGAATCTGACCTCAGAGGCAAGTGCAGAGTGTAGTTCAATAGGAAGCCTGTTTTATACATAGGCTCTTAAGATCTATGGCATCTAAAAAGGTGTCATGAATTTTATTGTGTTCTAAATAGATCAACACCATCACGTTCTCTATTCCTGTGTGTATGTTTTGGCCTTTCCACCTTCATGTCTCTTTTAATGTTTCTCTTTCCTCATCACCTCTAAATGTTTAGCCTTATCTTTCTGAATCCCCCAAGGACTTGTCTTCTCTGGACTAGCAGTCAACTTTTCTTTTTCTTTTCTTTTTTTTTTTTTTTTTTAATTTGGGATTGAATCCAGGGGCACTCTACCACTGAGCTACATTCCCAACACTTTTTATTTTTTATTTTGAAATGGGGCCTCACTAAGTTGCTGAGGGATAGCCTTGATCTTGTGATCCTAGTGCTTTAGCCTTCTAAGTCTCTGGAATTACAGATGTGCATCAACACATCCAGCTCATCTAACAAATATATACAACAAATGATTAATGAGTCCTACCACATGTTAGAAGCTATGCTAGATGAATATACCATGAAAAGCTTGAAGGTATACCACAAGTGGATCAAAAAACCCTCAAAATTCTAGAATTGTCATTTTATGACAATAATAATAATGAGTCCCTGAAACATTTTTATTTTTGCATTTCAAGATACAGCAAAGCTAACACTATGTCAATTTCCCCTCTGCTCTGATTTCCTTCTTATCCACCTGACAAGCTGTCTTTGGGCTGTATGGCAGCTACACTCAGGTACAGCTCATCAACGAGATCTAAGGCATACAAGTAGCATGTGATCATTTGCTGAGTTTACTTCCACTGATAAAAGCAAACACTTATGTTCCAAATATAGTTTTTCTTATTTATTTTTCCTCATTGATCTTTTTCACAATATATTTTCAATCTTAGGAAAGTTTTAGATAACTGATTTTTAAAAGTGAAGGGGTGCATAAAAATGTCATTGATGATGCACTAGTAAAACTGAGCAGGATAATTCCATTCTTCAATAACCTGGCACATCTTCAAAATAATAATAATGTAGAAAGCTCTTTCTTTCCCCCTTCCTAAAAATCTAGTCTATTTAGTAGAGCTGTACAAGCTGTACAAGTGTGCCAGAGGTGGGGAGAGCCATGGTGGCCTACAGCTGGGTATCTGCACAAAGGAACAGACCAATTGGAATGCAGGTACCAATGATGGCAAGAAGGGTGGCCTAATACAGGGAAGAGGGGACATACAGACTCTACAGAGGACAAGAAAGGTGGCCATAGCAGCAGCCCTGCTAAAGGTGTTGAGCAGGAGTAAGAAGAGAAGTGTGTCTATGCAAGGACAGGGACAACAGGACTCTGACTATATAGAAAGAGGTTGAGGAAGTAAGTACAAATATGAAGGATGATGGCAGCCAGGTTTGTCACTATCAGAGAAGGCAGTTACAAATCCTGAAAGGGAGAAAACTAGAATGAACTCTGTAGTACTGGATTAGAACTGAAAGTATCAGTGTAAACTCAGTTTTTATTTTCATAGAAAAATAATACAGATATAAATGTTTATACAATATTCCCATACAAATGGATTCTGCCTAGCTATGTCCACTGAAAGGATATGAAAGAAGTAACACCTTGACAGTAATGAATTTGTCCAAAAGCATCATTATCCACTAAAAAGGACCCTGATTCCTTAGAAAAATGTTTGATTCTAGGACTAAGGGAGGGAACACTCAAACCTGCAATGCCTTGTGCTAAAAGCAGCAGCAGGGTACATGGTGTTCACCTGAGTCCCAGCTATTTGGGAGGCTGAGGTAGGAGTATCACTAGACCCCAAGAGTTTAAAACCAGCGTAGGCTACAGAGTAACACCCCATCTTCCCCACAACACACACACACTGACACGCATACATGCATGAGAGAGAGAGAGAGAGAGAGAGACATACCAGTAAGGAAGTATTCTTAAAATGAGAAGGATATTAGCTAGACTGAAGGGGTTGCCACTGGCCAAATCTGGGACAATCTAAGCACCAAACCTGTGGCTAATTATAACCCAGTTAATAAGATTCCATGAGTCTTTTGTGTATGTGTATGTGTGTGTGCAAATGTTCCCCAGTAGATAAGAAACAGGCACAGCACAAGWGACCTCCTAAGACTGAGGTACTCAGTGAGCTGATAAAGACACTGGAGGAACTGTGTAAGGAGAAACAGGAAAGTAGAATGGATGCTTCTTCAAAGTCTGTGAAGTCAGGGCTGGTGATGTRATTCAGCAGTAGAGTGCTTGCCCAGCATGCACAATGAGGCCTGGGTTCAATTCCCAGGACAGCAACAAAATAAAACAGTCTATGAAGAAAGAAGCAATGTGGAGCTGAAAGGTACAAATAGAAGACAATAGGTAACCAGGGATGAGCTATTGACTGAGCCCTGATGATGGAAGGCTGTTCAGTGACATTCCATAGAGGGGTGGAGAAGAATGAGTGCACCTTGATGGGGTGGAAAACAGAGATCGACTTACTGAGTATTGTGCAGCACTGTCTGGACAAAGGCGGGATTTGTCTCCATAGAAGCCGTTACCAGAGATGTCAGCAGAGACCAATACCATATTGCCGAAGCATCTGAGACTGAGACCCCAGACTTCTTAACTCTCTGAAAGCCAACAGCCCTCAGACCATGAATCCTAGTGTCACATCCATCGCTAAGACAACGCTTTATGTTAATCTGGACATCTGTCAAGCACAAACAACAAATTCAGTATTGGATTGACTTCTTTAGTTCAGTAAATGCTAGGCTCTCAACTAAAAGCAAAAATGGTAATTGATGTTTTGAAAAGAAAATTCTGAAGACATACTTTGATGACAGAAATAAATGTGCACAATGGAACTAGTACATAATAAACCTGTCACAAAACATTGATGAATCCAAGAAATTTAAAGAGCAATTTGTAAAATTAAGGGTGGCTTATCATAGAACTTCTTAAGAACTTGTGAGTTCTGAAAAGTTATAATGCTTCACAAAGAGCATTATAAATCCTGACTGAACACTTGGTGAGAACTTTCTAGAACTCTTCCTAGAGTTTGAAATCTGGATTGAGTTATAAAGCAGCTGGCTCATAAGTAGTTGTGCAATCAAGTCCAAACAGAAGACACAGACATGATTCACTTTTAGGAGATGTCACAATTTCTTATTTGAGTTTGGGGGTAGGTGAGAAGTTAAAAAGGACACAAATTAGAGAAAAGAGCACCAAAGGGGGTAAGGCAGAAAGCTTCTACTCCACAAGCTTTACTACTTCTTTGCCTACAGGCAAAACACAAAGACACTACCTCCCTAGGCCTCAGTTCCTCTGAGCCAAGTAAGAACACTTCTTTTGACCCAGGAAAGCATTAGAAGAAATGAGACAAAACATGAAGTATTCCGGCTCCCTGAATGAAATAAGCCTGGAAAGAAATCACACAATTGTGATTATTTCCAAAAAGCTATGTGTGAAGCAAGGTGTAACAGTATAAAGTTAGAAATATAAATGTACAAGAATAAGAGTGGGTTAAAATTGACTTATTTTTACAACATTAAATAAAGGTGTTCATGAATATATGATACAACAACACATCAAAAAATACCAAAGAACTTGAGTAGATTATTATCATTTTTGTAAAAAGATATGTATAGATAAATGTATATGTGAATATAATGCTTTTTTTTTWWAAAAAAAGTGTGTGCATGTGTGTATATGTGTTTATACATGTGCACATAAATACACAAATACACGAGAAGTTATGGAAGGATTCTCACCAAGGTAGTCATACTGACAATCCCTAGGTAGTAGGATTTGAGTACTTTTGTTTTTCCATATTTTTCTAATTTTCCAATAAAACAAAAGAATAAAATATTTTAAACTAAGAAAAGGGTTTATTGTTTTTCAATAGTTTTAAAAACACTTATGAGGTGAAATAATGATCACTTATGTGTGTGTCATGAGAAGCAAATCAAATCTCAAAAGAAAACTAGCMGCTTTTCTACTTCAAAGGTTCTACTGCTAAAAAATAAAACTTCCCTTCATCTCCTCCCCATCCCCTTAGTTTTGTTTGACTCACAGAGCTGACTGATATTGGCATTTTCCAGCAGTGTCACATAGCCAGTGACATTGCTGGGGATGTGCACATCTCGAACTTCCTGAAGATCGCCGGCACTCCTCCCCACAGCTACTGTCACCTGCTGTGGCATATAACTCTGATCAGTGGCAGCAACTGCAATGGACAGGTGCCTAAGCACAACATCTGGCTTCATTTTTAAGCTGGAAAACAGAAAGTAGAAACCACAGTGTTTATATGAATGCACCTTGATGGGGTGGAAATCAGAGATCGACTTACTGAGTATTGTGCAGCACTGTCTGGACAAAGGCGGGATTTGTCTCCATAGAAGCCATTACCAGAGATGTCAGCAGAGACCAATACCATATTGCCGAAGCATCCTAGACTTAACTCTCTGAAAGCCAACAGCCCTCAGACCATGAATCCTAGTGTCACATTCATCGCTAAGACAATGCTTTACATTAATATGTGTCAAAAACAAGACCCATTTCAAAGGTCTGATATTTGATATAACCAAACACTGATTTTTTCCTAATAGCAACTAACTTAAATACTGGTTATGAGTTTCAAGGTCCATATGACATTTCCAAATCTCTAAAAARCCTTTCGGGTCAAGATTAATCTTATATTTCCTTTTCAGTATTAGGATAGGCAAGAAGGGACAATATGAACAACAAACATTCTAACAAAATTCCTTTACATGCCAAGAAGCAAATTCTAAACTGCATTCCCTAAACTGAGTATATTCCCTTATCTTTAAATTAGGTAGATGGTTAAAGGTCAAAGTGACCTACCCCTAAAAGAAAATTAGAAAATTATTTCTATTCCTGCCAATTAAACTTAGCCCATTTTCTGAAGGGAAATGTGAAAATTTAGACAGCAGTTTCAGAACTTCTAGAAATTCCACAGTTTACTGCCAAGAACATCACTCCAGGATTCCTAGCCATCCCACTCTCTTCTGAACTGACTAACTYATACATGAATTTTGAAAAAGTATAGAAGTACAATTACATCTATGTAAAAAAGTTCTTGTCCTTTGTAATATTAATTTTCCTGAGAACTACTGAAAAGGATCTGAAATCAGTATTATAAAATATTAGTCAAATGTTACTTCTTCCTTTTAAACATCAAATAAAGAAACTATATGTTTATGAATATGTGAACCAAGCTACATGATTTTACATGATTCCTTATACTTGATTGAGGCATCTTTACAGAAAGCTACTCATAAGAAAAAAATTGGGCAATTGAGTACAAAACATTCCAAATTTTAAAAATAATAAGCCAGGCGCAGTGGCGCACATCTGTAATCCCAGCAGCTCAGGAGGCTAAGGCAGGAGGAGTGGAAGTTCAAAGCGAGCCTTAGAAACTTAGCAAGACTCTGTCACTAATAAAATATAGAAAGGGTTTGGGGATGTAGCTCAGTGGTTGAGTGCTCCTGGGTCCAATTCCTGATACCTAAATAAATAAATAAATAAACGTGCTGTGCTACCTACCGAATCCAGTGTGAACGGGCACTGCCATCTGACTGCCAGTAGGATGATGTTTCTCCATTTGTCATCTTGTCGATGTCAGCAGGGTTGGAGGATGTTTCTATATAAGCATAGCACTTTGTTACTGATTTGAGTTTATCCATCTCTGGGCTTCTGGTTAGATCTCCAGGGCTTTCTGCAGGAAAATCAGAATTTACCACATGACATCTCTTTCACAAAGAGAAAAAATGGTCATTTAAAATATCTAACAGAAAATGCTTGGTCACTTTGGCACCAGAAACTGTAGTGTTCCTTAAAATCTCCTTCCAAAGAATCCATTGGCCAAGAATTGCCCATTATCTCATTATAGTACAATACTCAAATCACTGATATATTTACAAAAAGATGCCAAGAAAATGTTTTTTTTAACTCTATTTTTTTAAACCTTTACTTTATTTATTTATTTGTTTGTTTTATGTGGTGCTGAGGCTTGAACCCAGCGCCTTGCACTTGCTAGGTGAGCGCTCTACCGCTGAGTCACAACTCCAGACCAGAAAACGGTTTCTTATACTTTGAGTTTATATTTCTTTAATTATGAGTGAGGCTTTTTAAGCCACTTATGTTTCTGAGTTCTCCCTCTTTCATTTTCTTCTGGGTCACTAGTCTATTAAGTAATGCACTTTATACATTGTATCATGTATATACACCATATAATAGCTAACATTTACTTGAGTGTTTACTGTGAGTCAGGTTTTTCTGTTTGTTTGTTTTGTTTTGGTGGTTCTGGGGATTTAACCCAGGGGTACTTTACCACTGAGCCACAACCCAGCTCCTCTCTAGTACTCTTACTATTTTCTCACCAGTTGAACTTTTTGATAAATCTGAAATCTATTTTAATGAGTGAAATGAAATAAGAATCTAGTTTTATTTTTTTCTCCAAATGGCTAAATAGTTGCTCTAACCCTATTTGTTGACAACTCATCTTTTCCATTCTAATTTATATAGCTGATTTTATCTGGTTCTACAGTTCCACATAAACTTGGATCTATTTCTGAACCCTATTATGTGCCAGAGACCTGTCTAAACACCTCAACTTCTGTTACCATCACTAAGTGAGTCTGAGGTAGTTTCTCTCATTTATTCAATATATATTCCTTAAATAAATATTCTACTATGTGACAGAGGAGTCTCAGTTACAAAGGATAAGGAACCAAAAAAAAAAAAGCAACACAGAACAGCCAGGCACAATGGTGCATGTCTGTAATCCCAGCTGCTTGAGAGGCCAAGGCAGGAGGATCATGAGTTCAAAGCCAGCCTCAGCAAAAGTGAGGGTCTAGGCAACTCAGTGAGGCCCTGTCTCTATATAAATTACAAAATAGGGTTTGGGATGTGGCTCAGTGGTTGAGTGCCCCTGAGTACAATCTCTGGTACAAAAAACAAACAAACAAAACCCCCCCCCCCACAGAACACAGGTAACAAATAATGCTAAGACTTCAAATAATCAGTGCTATGTAAGTCATTAAACCTACAAGGTAATATTAATCAGAAGTTGGAAACTGAGGAAATGGAGGCAGGGACTATTAATTAGAGTAATGAAAAAAGGTATCCCTAAAGTAATATCTAAACTGAGAGATGAACGATGAGAAACTAAATCTGGCTGTGTGGAAGGAAGGAAGGAAGGAAGGAAGGAAGGAAGGAAGGAAGGAAGGAAGGAAGCAAGCAAGCAAGCAAAGATGGATCATATTAGGCTACAAGCTGGTTTCTATTACGTTTTCAGAAATAAAGGCTGGGACAATGACTGGCTCATCTTATTAAATGCATGGTTTAGAAGAAACAATGATAGAGTCAAGAGAATCTCCTATGTACATACCCTTTTCTTTTTGTACCAGTTGATCCAGAGACTCCTTTAGAACCGAAGACCGCATGGTGCACATGTTATTGCAGTGGTCCAACATCGGGTAGGGAATTACCATGCTAGAGATCCGATTGCGATGCAGGAAGCGAAGTATCATTGATGAGTGAACACCAAGGCCTTCTTTTGACTCTGAAAATATGTCTATAAAACCTAAAGAGATAAAATACATTTTTGGTGTTTTGGGGAAGCTACTATAATAGTTTCCACACTCCCTGTCTGGTGGCCCATCTGAATTAGCTGAACTAAAAGTAGTTATTAACAGCCTTCATTGATATTTTCAGCCTTAATTATTTAAAAATYTAAATAAGTTTTAAAGAAACGAACCATTGGCAATCTCAGTTTAAGAATTATTTTCATTTTTGTTGGATAGACTTTCAGAAGATGAAGAACAATGATTATTTGTTTTAATTCAAGTGTTAAAAATGTATAAGCAAAAGGGAGAGAAAAGGGATATTGCATGGAAATGGAAGGAGACCCTCATTGTTATACAAAATTACATATAAGAGGTTGTGAGGGGAATGGGAAAATAAACAAGGAGAGAAATGAATTACAGTAGATGGGGTAGAGAGAGAAGATGGGAGGGGAGGGGAGGGGGGATAGTTGAGGATAGGAAAGGTAGCAGAATACAACAGTCACTAAAATGGCATTATGTAAAAATGTGGATGTGTAACCGATGTGATTCTGCAATCTGTATTTGGGGTAAAAATGGGAGTTCATAACCCACTTGAATCTAATGTATGAAATATGATATGTCAAGAGCTTTGTAATGTTTTGAACAACCAATAAAAAAAAAGTATTCAACTTTCCAATTAAATTCTGATAATTGGGCTGGGGTTGTGGCTCAGTGATGGAGTGCTCACCTAGCACTGGGTTCAATCTTCAGCACCACATAAAAATGAAATAAAGATATTGTTTGCACCAAAAACTAAAAAATTTAGAAAGAAAAAAAAATCTGATAATTACTATATCTCAGAATAAAATCAATGTTCCTTTTCTAAAAACAATTTATTTAAATAAAGTTTTCCGTCTCCATATTTATTCCACATGGTAGATAGCAAGGCATGAGGGAGATCAGTAATCTATCTATAAAGTAGCTTTTTTTAGGAACACTGATCATTAAAAAAAAATGTATAAGCAAGTAAATATTAACTAGAGATTTTTGTTTCCTTAGGATTTCTCAGGGCTGAGGACTGAACTCAGGGCCTTGCATGTGCTCTGTGACTAAACTAATCTCCAACCCTTAAATAGAGATTTTTAAAGATATAGGATATAGGCTAGGGATASAATTTATTGCATTACAGAGTAAAAACACAGCTGGTTTTATATTAAGTTACAATACAACTACTGCCATTACCATGACCTCTGATGATGTTTCACAACATATAAGGTACTTGCATGCATATCCTCATTCAGTCCTCACAAGGTGTAGACAGGGAAGGTAAAGGTATCCTTGGTTACAACCGATGAAATGAAGCTCAGGTAACATAACAATGTGTCAACAAGAAAGGGGTAAAATAAAGTTGGGCACAGTGGTGCCCACCTGTAATCCCAGCTACTTGGGAGGCTGAGGCAGGAGGACAAGTTTGAGACCAGCTTGGAAAATTTAATGAGACCCTGTCTTAAAATAAAATAAAATAAAATAAAATAAAAAGGGCTGGGTATGTAGCTCAGAGGTAGAACATTTGTGGGTTCAATCCCCAGTATCAAAAAAAGAAAAAGAAAAGAAAGGAACAGAATGGGGAACACTTCCTCACACTCCCTTTGATGCTCCTTCCAACATTCTAGTCTTTCTCCCCAGTGTGACTCCTCTGAATTTGCCCCTCTGTTCACCCTCTGCCCTCAACACCTCCTGCTCATATGCCCTAAACAGATGTGATAAGTGACTCCCTGGCTGCCTCCCATGTAACATCATTCCAGGTAATCTTATAAGACACAAAACAGACCATATATACCTCTGTTTAAAATCTTTCCCTGGTTCCTCATAACCTATATTAACACACCTCAAACAAAGTGGCTCATAACCTAGGAGTGCTAGGGTTAAGTGAAGGGAGGATAAACATGATAGTTTTTTTTTTCCCCCTGGAGATTAGATATATTTGTGGATTGGGGAAGGTTTTTTTGTTTGGTTTAGTTTTGGTTTGGGGTTTTAACCTTCCAATGAATCACGTAACACACATAACAAAAAGTACAAATAATTGTATAGTTAAAGAGTTTTCACAAATTGAAAATACCCATGTAAGCAACCCCCAAGAGTCCAGAGGGCTGAGGATATAGCTCAATGGTACAGTGCTCGCCTAGCATGTGTGAGGGCCTGTGTTCAATCCCCAATACAAGGAAAAACAAAACAAAACTCCAGAAGTCTCTAGAGGAGGCTGTCTTCAATAGTATAAGAAACAGATTCATTATGCAGAATGAAACTCTGTATTAATTTTTAAGATGAAACATGAAGCTGAGGATAAATTTTACACTTGAAATAGCCTAGTTCAACTATGTGCAAACTATATCCCCAATGCCTAGAGACAGCTGATTTATGAAAACTCAAAAAGTCCAGCTAATCCCTCCCCACCCACACAGGAGGACCCAGGCCTCATATTCATAACACTGCTGATGTTGCACTGAGTTGCTCAGAACCCACATCAAAAAACATACTGGCTGAGTGTGGTAGAGCACACCTATAGTTCCTGTAATCTGGGAGGCTGAAGCAGGAGGATCACAAGTTCAAGATCTGCCTCAGCAACTTAGTGAGATCCTGTCTCAAAATAAAAAATAAAAAGGGTTGGGATGCAGCTGAGTGATAAAGCACCCTTAGGTTCAATTCCAGAATAAAACAAAACAAAACGGCAACCACAAAAACACTAAAACAACCCTCCAGAATGATGGGGAAATCTGTTCAGATGTTGAAATATTAAGTAAATGAATGAATTGGTTCAATGAATTTAGTAAAACGCACCACTACAATGGGATACAAAAGGAACTAGTCTTAGTATAGGAGGATATCAGAGAGAGGAATTAGAAAACTGTGAGATGCCAGTACAGAGGTGACTTCAGCTTACAAAGGTTTGTCCTAAGATGGTGATAATGCAATTCTTTTAAGTTGAGTGTTGATGGAAATCTTTTAGTAGAAAGTCCTAAGTCATGTACCTACTGTGTAAGCATTTTGGGATCTGGACACTAAATTTTTCTCTACCCTCTTTTGCCCCTGGCCCCAGGCATCAGCACAACAGTGCAATAGGTACTAACTGTTGATAGATTCCCTGGTGCATACTCCCTTTCTCTTCTCCAGAAAAATCTCACTAAAGTATACACATGAAGATCCTGCAAAACAATGCAAAGATGACAGTAATATGTAAATGCTAAAATATATATCAGCCAAATGCAACTCCAAGTATAATTTATTTATTTACTTATTTTTTGGTGCTGGGAATTGCTTTGCCACTGAGCTACATCCCCAGCCCTTTTCATTTTTTTAAATTTTGAGATAGGATCTTGCTAAATTGTTCAGGTAACCTTGAACTTGGGATCCTCCTGCCTCAGCTTCCTGAGTCACTGGGATTATAGACACATGCGACCTCGCTTGGCTCACAGTATAATTTTAAAACTGCCACGAGACTAGAAAAAATGCTAATATGTACAGGCTACCTATAATGCCCTATAAAAATTACATAATTAAAGACAACTTAAGGAGGAATGGAAGTATGCATTCTTCATTAAAATACAGATATCCTTCCCTAGCTCAATACATCACTAAACAGTAAGCCAGAGGGGTCAAAAGAACTAGGTTTACATTTGTCTATCAAATCTATTTTGCCTCCACTGCTGCCCTAGCTATAGTAAGTATTCTATTTTTTTTTTTAAGAGAGAGAGAGAGAGAGAGAGAGAATTTTAATATTTATTTTTTAGTGCTCGACGGACACAACATCTTTGTATGTGGTGCTAAGGATTGAACCCAGGCTGCACGCATGCCAGGCGAGCGTGCTACCGCTTGAGCTACATCCCCAGCCCGATATAGTAAGTATTCTAACACAGAGTGTACAGAGCAGGAAAAATTCTTAGGTAAGATGAACTGCAACTAAAAGGAAGATGTACAATGTTTTTTTTTCCCCTTGAAACTCAACTGTTTTCTCTTTAGTTTTTTTTTTTTTTCTGATTCTGTCTTTACATGAGTCAGAGCTCCCAAAGAAAATCATTCAAAAATAGGCTAAGTTTTTCTGTATGTACAAGATAGAAGCAGCAATGCTTACTTTTAATTTATTTATTCTTAAATTTCAAAGTAATAGCTTTCTAAAAACACACACAAAAACAAAATGCTTACCAAGTACAAAAAAAAAAAAAAAAAAAGTCAAATGTGAGGACAGCAGAATTAAAAGAGAAGGTCCCTGTCCTCGTGAAGCTCATAGTACAAGAATGAAGACAGACATTTAACAAATAATTGTGTCATTTGTTAATAAATTATAATGCTAATATGTTCCAGAAAAGAAATGCAGGAGGGACAGAGAAGTCTCTTGAAGAGTGAATAGAAGATCCACTAAGGAAGGCAGCCTTCTGACAAAGGTTCACAAAAACAGTAGAACTGGGGAGTCATCATTATAATGGGGAATGAAAGAGATGGCTATGCTGAGTGCTAGTTTAGATTATGTGCCCAGTGAATACTAGTGGGGGAACTTTATTCATTGTGCCAATAAGCTTGCCCAATTTCAAGATTGTCTAATTTCAATTTAAAGCACAATAAATTAATTTTGGTTCTAAGAGAACACTTTTGAGCATTTGAAAATCCCATGAAAGTCTTACCTGGAACAAGAGAGCAGGCTTGTAGCTGTCTGATGACGTGGCTTAGCTCCCCCTGAAGATTAGCTCCACTGGAATTCTTGAGGGCCTCCAACATGTTCTCAGCATCAACAGTACCATCACCCTCAGCATCAAACTGGGCAAAGGCCTATAAAACAAGGATGCAAAAAAATCTGCACTGTTTCAATTTTTAATTTCTTTTTTATAATTCAAGACCAATGATTTTTTATTTTGTTTTATTGTTTTGGTTGCAGGGAGAAGAGTCTCTATTTATCATGCAAAGAACAAATAAATTCAGAATCATAACCCTCACTGTGCTTTGTAGGACATATTACCAGTATACACATACATGCCATTTTTGCCATCTTATCTCATCTCATCTCTCCTCCAAGGAGATGCCCCTCCCCAACAAATAATTTGAAAAGAAAGAATCCACTGCAAAATTTTTCAATGGTTGCATAGTGTCAAACAAAAAGCAAAACTTAAAAAAAAAAATTGGCTTAGAGTAGCACCTCAGGTTTATCTAGGATTTTTCTTTTAAACAATCTTTGTACTCAGTGACTTAGGAAGCTAAGGCAGGAGGATCACAAGTTCAATGTCAGCCTCATCAATTTAGGGAGACACTAAGTAACTTAGCAAGACCTGGTCTCAAAATTTACAAACAACAAMAAAAAAAAGGTCTGGGGATTTAACCCACTTTATCATTGCCTCTGGGTTCAATCCCCAGTACCAAAATAAAACAAAACTCTTTGGAGCATGGTGCAGTGGCACATGCCGGTAATCCTAGAGACTTGAGAAGCTCAGGCAGGAGGATCACAAGTTTGAGGACAGCCTGAGCAACTTAGGGTGACCCTAAGCAATTCAGCAATACACTGTCTCAAAATAAAAAAATACAAAGGGCTGGGGATRTGGCTCAGTGGTTAAGAGCCCTTGGATTCAATCTCCATACCAAAATAAAAATAAAAAATAAAAACTTTCTTTGGACATTCTTTTTTTTTCCTTCTTTTTCAGCTTCTTGATCTGAAAAATGGAATAAAAATTGCCAAACTCACAGACAGCTACTTTCATAATGGACACGTGAACAGAGTTTAATACAGTGAAAGCCATTTGCAGTACAGTGTTCCCTGCCTCCTTTCTAATAGGCAGCCTCTGGTAACCCTGACCTCATTCCCTCTTATATCCTACAAGACCTTTCTCTTGGAACAGCTACACCCTCTACCTGGATCTCAGTTCCTGCCTCATTGTGGCTTCCATCCTGTTGTGATACTTGTACTCCCAAACCTCATTACCATGAAATACTCTGGAGTTACTGGTCCTCTTTGCCAAGTAAGCCTTTTTCTTCCTTAAAACTTTTCCTTATTTCACTGCTCTATAAAATATGGAAATATCCTATTGAGGTTTCATAACACAGTAGTTCTATTTCCATCCCAACACAGATCTCTGAACAATACAGTGTTTAATAGGAACAAATGCAAATTCCTGTGCTTGAGCCCAAAAACCATGAGCATGAGTGCAAGATGCGGGACAGAGAGCTTAGAAGTGATGTGCAAAATAAAGATGGCAGCATTCTTTTCATCTCTAATCAACCTGACACAGAGTATCCAAAAAGTTAACAGGTTCAAAGACTGCACTAATCAAGTTAAAATGTTCCAAAGGAGAGATCTTGTTCTCCTCTGATTAGAACTAACTGGGAAAGCTGAGTGAAGTTATATACCAAAAGAAATGAAATAAGAAGACCAGAAATTAAATTATAGCCTGTGGGGACCAGCTCCATGGAATCTTTTTTTTTTTTTAATGGTGCTAGGGATTGAACCCAGGGACTTGTGCATGCCAGGCAAGCACTTTACCAACTGAGCCATATCCCCAGCCCCTCCATGGAATYTTAAATATCAACATTTATTTTGTCTTCACTTTCTTTTCCTTTCTCTTTCTCTTCTTTTTCCCTGCCTTTGTACCTCTTTCTCGGTATTGCTGAGGATCAACCCAGGGCTTCACATACACTAGTCAAGCACTCTACTAATGAGTTATTTCCCTGGACCATGGACTCTTTGCAATGGAGAAGAAATAGTAGGAAGTAACAGAATCCTTCTCTTTAAATATGATGAGCTATTATGGGAAGGTGGGAAAGTAGTGGTTGAAATTAACTTCATCAAATAGAAGTTAGAGGGAAAAGCTGGACTTGTTTTTTTTCAGTATATAAAATGGATTAGGCAGCTCTAAGAAGGAATGTCCACCCCATCCCTCAGAGTTTCAGAGGAACAGCCAGACAACCAACCATGTATTAAAAAAAAGTCATACTTAACAAATATACTTACCTCTGTTTCCCCATAGAGTCCCATTAAGACAATATTATAAATGGATTTCCTATTTTTTGAAAGCACAAGGACAAAGAAAATAGGAGATAATGCAATAGCTACAAAATTTTGGAAGCTGAGAAATAGACAGATGGGTAATACCAAGTAGGCTGACCCAAGAAAGTGGGATCCTACACTGGGAGTGGGTAATCTGAGAAACAAACTGCTTTACACTGCAAGACTCCAGAAGCTTAAGATTTGATAGAATAGGTACTACAGAAGATGGAAATGATTAATCAAAGTTCATTTTAAAAGCAGTTATAGGGCTGGGGATGTGGCTCAAGAGGTAGGGTGCTCGCCTGGCATGCGTCCGGCCCGGGTTTGATCCTCAGCACCACATACAAAGATGTTGTGTCTGCCAAAAACTAAAAAATAAATATTAAAATTCTCTCTCTCTCTCTCTCAAAAAAAAAAAGCAGTTATAAATCCCAGCTACTCTGGAGGCTGAGGCAGGAGGATTCCCTGGCCACCTGGGCAACTAAGTTGAGACCCTCAAAATAAAATTTAAAAAGGGCTAGGAATGTTGCTCTGTGGTGGAGCATTTGCCTATGGTATATGAGACCCTGGGTCCCATTCTCAGCACCACAGAAAAAGAGACTGGATGCCGATCTTAYGGAGTCACTAGCTATTTTGTTTTGTTTTTGAGTGGAAAGAATGTTATTATTTTGTGGGTTTTTTTTAAAGAAGTTCTTATTTTTTGGAAATACATAATGACATTTATGGATAAAATAATATGATGTCAAGATTTGCTTCAAAATAATTTGAATGGGAGAGATTAGTAGGTGAAGTCTTCTAATCAAATAAAATTGGTCTTGAGTTGGTAAGTGCTGAAACTGGCTAATAGGTACATGGGAGCCGCTCTACTCTTATTTCTACTTTATGCTTAAATTTTTCTGTTAAAAAAAAGAAAAGGCAGATTCCCCTCCCAATCTTATAGAAGCCTGGAGTTGACTCTGTGGAGAGCAGTCCAGACTGTGAAGCAGGAAATACAGAAATACCAGGCACGGCTGAAAGTGAGAACCCCATGCTGAAAATAAGGGAATTGATGCTCACTTGCTAAATATGTCAAAACTCAACCTCCCCTCAGGGATCTCAGAATGCTAGCACATGGTCCCATACCCTTCTCAGTAGGAGAAGGAAGAATCTTCTCTGTGGAACCTGACAAGCCCTAGGGAATAGCCCTGTAGAATCTGAAAAGGAGTTTCCCAGTGAAAGGGCCCAGCCAATTCACCTGACATCAAGGTTCACCAGTCAACAAGCCAGATATATGGAGCATCCAAATTTTAAGTTCTTAGTCCTCATTCTTTAGTGAGTGGACAATCCGGAACCAGGAGACATTTGAGAAAAGCTTTAATGTGAAACACCAAGAAAGAAATGAGAAGAAAAGGAAGACTATGCAAGGAGAAGAAAACTTCAAAAGGATGATTAATGTCCTCATAAAATTGTTTTAAAAGACATTTTAATTCTACTTTCACTGAGAGTAAAGACATTTTAATTCTACTTTCACAATTTACCATAAAATTCACTGTTAAAATGTATAATTCACTGGGTCTTAGTATATTCAGAGATGTGCAACCACTACCACCAGTATCAGATAAAATAAGATATTGCAACCATGAAAGAATAGGAGACTATTACTGAAGAGAATATATTGACAAAATTCTTTTAAAAAAATATTCTTTAGTTGTCAATGGGCCTTTATTTCAATTATTTGTATGTGGTGCCAAGAATTGAACCCAGTGCCTCACACATGCTAGGCAAGTGCTCTACCACTGAGCCAAACCCCAGCCCCTGAGAATTTTTTTTAAGAGGGAGGGGGGAGGGAGAGAGAGATGGGGGGGGGAGGGGGAGAGAGAGAGGGAGAGAGAGAGAGAGAGAGAGAGAGAGAGAGAGAGAGAGAGAGAGAGAGATTTTTAATATTTATTTTTTAGTTTTCGGCAGACAACATCTTTGTTTGTATGTGGTGCTGAGGATCGAACCCGGGCCGCACGCATGCTACCACTTGAGCCACATCCCCAGCTCCTGAGAAAATTCTTAATGCTTTTAAAAATAAAAATATCACAAAGAAATCAACACCTTTAGAAAGGCTGGAAGGTAAAGTTAACTAAAGGGCCAAAAAGTAGAGCAAAAAGACAAAAATTATAGAAACTGAGAGAGAAAAGAGAAAAAAATCAGGGGACTGGTCTAGGAAGTCCCACTTCCAAATAACATGAGTCCCAGAAAGATGGAACACAGAAAAGGAAGGGAAGGATATCACAAAAATTATGATTCCCCTATCTAAAGGGTGTGAATTTGGAGACTGAAGGAGCTGAATAATCGGCACCATGGATGAGAGTATATCACAACAAAATGTCATAACAACAAAGTGAAAGAGTTCCTATTTCTGGGAAGAAGAAAGTTTCCTCACAAAAGGTCAACAACCAGAGTAGGGTGGATTCGGCAGTCACACTGGAAGCCAGAAGGCAAAGGCAGCAGTGCTTGCAACATTTTTGCCCAGTTCTAAAAACAGAAGTTAATACTCTGCCAAAATACTGTGGGAGAGTAGAATGGAGACATTCTTACACATGCAGAGTTCTCAATAAATGAACTACTTAATGTTCCCTTTTCCAAAAAGCTACTAGAGGATATGGCTACCAGAATGAACATATCAAGAAAGGGAAAGAATGAATGGGATCCAACTAGAAGAAAAAAATGAATCCCTATGATGATGGAGATTCTAAGACCACAGCACGGCTGATCTAAACTAAATCAGAGCAGAAAGCTCTGGGAAATATTTCTTTGAGAAGACAAAACT